CCCCCCCCCCCCAGATCTGAAGTGGCCCATAGTAGCATGTTTGCTGGGTAGAAGGATTCCTGGTTACTTATTCTTCTTGCTTCAATAATTAGCATGCAAAACTTGCAGTAATTTTAAGACCATCTTAGAAGTGGCTGATGTATCAGAATTCCTTTTTTCTTGTTTTACTTTCATAGGGCAGGAATCAGCCACTATTGACTATGAGGATGGTGTACGGATCACCCCATTCAATTTGCAGGAGGAGATGGAAGAGGGTCATTTTGATTCAGAGGGCAACTATTTTTTGAAGAAAGAGGCAATGATCCGGGATAATTGGTTGGATAACATTGACTGGGTAAGAAGCCAGTGAAGAACACCTTGTGCAAACAAGGTCTCTCAGCCATAAGTGAAGAACAGGTTATTCCTGCAGTGTGTAGGGCATCTCTGTGGGGTCCCTGATCACTGCCTAGGAATGTAGGAATTTGCAGCGTCTGTAAAGGAACAGTTTCTTATACTTGTAATTAAATGCGGAGACTCTGAAATGACCTGCAGAGGGAGCCATGGTGGTCAGATGGACGTGATTATATAGTCCTGTATGAATGAACTGAGTTCTTGGTGGTTTGCGGGCCTGATGGCTCTTGAAGTAATGCCCAGTTGAAGGAGTCTCTGCTTGTCTGAGCACACCCCTCCCCTTCCCAGGGGGGCTCTTGGCTGAGTAGGGATATAAATGTGGGGCTCCCCACAGTAGACTCATCACACTGTACTATTTAGACTTTTACTAGCTTTTGAAAATAGATTGCCATAGTTGAATGTAGGTCTAGGAGTATCTTTTAAAAATGAAATAAACAGGAACAATGTTGTCTTTGCTCACCCACTACCACAAGGACAGAACTGAGCAGCCAGTGCTGCAACACTGCATGAAACAAGGCTGATGTGATACTTGGGGATATTATTAGAGAAACAGAAAGTGGAAAGGAAGGCATTGCAGTTTCAAGTATACACTAGAGTTCAGGCCCGAAAGCCATATATTTTTAATAGGGCACCACTCCTCTATTCTGGCCACACTCATCTTGCTGTCCTTACCAGGTCAAGATAAAGGAGCAGCCTCCGGGTCGGAAGAAGCCTCCTTTAGATTCTGTGGATGGTGAGGAGGAGGAGGAAGAAGATGACCTTGAAGTTGGCCAGGCACCTTTGGACAAGAAAGAACTGTTGAAAGGGATGGTGGATTTGGTGCTACCTGGTGAGACAGTGGCTAGAGCCATTCAGAGGCTGGGAGACAAGGGTGGGCCAAAGGGCAGCGGGCGCCAGCGGAAGCCCTGGAGCCGCCTCAAGGCAGAGGATGCAGAACCACCTGAGGAAGGTGATTCCCAGAAACCTGGGTCACCCGAGCGGAAAGAACGGCTCGAGCGCCTGTCAGGCCTGGCCGATCAGATGGTGGCGCGGGGCGTGTACGAGATTTACCAGGAGACCCGGGAGAAGCTGGCGCTGAGGCTGCGGGCACTGGAGCAGCCTCCTGCAGCACCGTCTACCGCTGAACCCGAGCTCGATATGTTTGCCGAGGATATTGATGAAGCAAAACTAGTGGAGAAGGCACCGGCAGGTGAGAGCCTTTTGGCACTGGGGAACTGTGTGCTTCTGGGAAAGGGAAATCTTAAAATGGAAATGCACGGGTTGGAAAATCACACAGAGCTGCTCCTGGCTGAGCATTACCACGTCAGCAGGAGAGAGATCATGCCTTTCCCTGCATGTAGAAAATGAGTATGTCAGAGGGAAAGCTCTCCAGCCTGCCCTGGGTTCTGTGTGCAGGGTGCTTACGTGAGAAAGCATGCATGCAGCCCCTGCCACCCTGCTGCGTTACAGTACAGCCCACCGGTGCCTGCAGCATGTGGCGGTCCTGACTGTGTGTTTCAATTCTTAGTTATTGGGATTCAGGTGGAGTCAGCAACCTGACGCATTCTCATCCTCTCTAACAGCGGTGAGTGAGGGGCAGCAGCAGGATGATGACAACGTTCTCTCTGAGGTGATGTGGGAGTATAAATGGGAGAACACAAACACCTCCGAACTCTACGGCCCCTTCAGCAGCTCACAGATGCAGGTAAGCGACTCAAGGTGGGGCAGCAGGCAAAGTACTGTTAATTTACTTCCAGATTTTTTGAGGGGGAGTCTCATCTTAACATTCCTTGTTCTCAGTTCTTCGTTCTTTGTCAAGTTAATGTTCTTTCTTCTGCCTGTATGTCAGCATTTGGCCAATCATTTTCTTCTTTAGTTTCATCAGCCTTTTGTTTCCCCCTTTTCCAATTTTGTTCCATAGGGTACTCTTCATATGCATTCCTTCTTGAATTCATTTGTCTTTCATGTTCACCTCCATCCATTTATTGCTGGTGATTTTTATCCCATTGGACCTCTTTCTGGAAAGCCCTCTGTGGGCTGCCTTTGGAAAATGTTTGGTACATGTCACTGTGGCCTGCCTGTTAAAGTGGGTCAGACATCATGAGCATCAAACAGGATGCTTCTGTCAAAGTTGCCTTATTTACACTGGCTGCTTCAAGGTTTATAAACAAAACTGATCAGTTTTCACAGAGATAATTTACTGCTACACATCCTTTTGCAGAGGTTGGTCTTACAATGAAAGGACCCTCCCCCCCCCACCCATGGAGTTGGAAGTGTGCACGTATGTGTGCTAAACATTTCAAGTATCATAGAAATGACCCAGGATCTATGCAAGCAGGTCCTAGATGCATATCATACAACCTCCCTTTTTGCCAGTATTCCATCAATGTCCCAAAATGAAATTATGTGAGAGGGCTTTTTAACAAACCCAGCCACATTCCAAGTTTGACCATCCACAGTGCCTTTGAGGTCATATTGGTAGCTCCTCCATATTATCAGAACAGCTTTGCTTTGCATCATGGAAGTAGTATAACTTTAGGCTGTTCAGTCTCAAGTACAGAAATAGATACTAGATGCTGAATTCGGAATCTCAGCTTTCAGCATAAGATATGTTTCAGGCCCGTAACAATCTCATCTGTCCCTTTCTGCTTTGAAAAGCTGCCAACTTAAGCTACATAAGCATTTCTCATGGTCTGCCTTTTTGCACCTTATGTGTACAACTTCTGGCTTCAGCTGCTTGCTCATTCTTTATCAGGCTTGAGTTTTGGTTGGCTCTTGAATAAGTAAGTATGTGAATCCAACATTGGTGGGTTAATATTAATCTCTGGCTTCGATATTTGTTGGTCTTGGTATTTTTTCTTTTCATCTCCCTGCCTCTTCACACTCCCTTCTGTATCTCTCTAGGACTGGGTTTCCCAAGGCTATTTCCCTGATGGGGTGTACTGCCGGAAGGCTGATAACTCTGAGGGCCAGTTTTACAATTCCAAGCGCATTGATTTTGATCTGTATACGTGATCGGAACCTGCCTCCCGCCCCATGGAACACAACAGGTGGAACTCAGTGCAGTGGCAGACTGAAAGAACTTGCCGGACTTTAGGGGGTGGGGGCCTGGAAAGGGGTGTGTGTGTGTGTGTGTTTGCAGAGGGGGAAGAGCTTTGATTCACCATCAAATTCTGAGGATGTTTAAGTTTTTGTGAGAAATAAAGTATCAAACTTAAACTGGGTTAGTCAACAGTGTCTCTTTTTTTGCTATTTATCACATCTGGTCATTTCTCTGAATAGATGCTGGTTGTGGTGCACAGACCATCATGTCTGCTTTCCTTCCCAGTCCTCTGCTGCTTCTCCACACTTCCAGCAACAAGCTGGGGATGGAAAAAGCAAAGCGCCAGATAAGGCAAATGGGAAGGAGCGGAGGGTAGGGTGATAGACCTGGTCAGCTAGCTGATGACCAGAGGCACAGAAGGCCACAGTTGATTCTTTTATCGTCTCCCATAATGTTTGATGGAGAAATTGTAATCTAATTTGCTGTACTGATTAGATTTTGGTGCCACCCAACTGGCATATGCCCTCGGAGCAGTTTGCAATGTTGGCTTTAGTCAGATGGTGACTTTGTATGCTCATTGTCTTGGGTGGGGTGGGGTGCCTACAAAGCTCACGTTACCACTTCCTGCTTACCCCACAGTCCAGATACTTCTTGCCACTTTGGCATGTACTTCGGAGTTTTATTCAGTGTCAGCCAGCTCCTGCTCCCTGTTAAGAATAGGTTAACATTCTAATAACAAAACACCTCAAACAAGTGGCATGCAAACTTGGAGGAAAGTAATTTGATCATTCAAAATCCACTACAGCGCACTCTCCTTTTTATAATAAAACACTGTGGAATTTTTTGCCATGAGCAGTGCAGGAGCTATTGTTTCTGGAAAAGTTGTCCCATTCTGTTCTTGCTCTGGAAGAAGAAGCTGAAATCTGGTGTCTGGATTTTCAGGTTTCTTTCTACTTTCTCTGGTCCTGGAAAGTAAAGGCTTCATTCCAGCAACAAAGAACTGAATGACAAGGGGGCCATGGGGTTGTTTACTACCCCATATTAAAGTCAACAAAAAGAATTTCCTGTACATAAAAGAACTTGACCAGTAAGGAAACGTTTTTTCAGAGAAGGATGGTTAAGAAAGCCTTAAAATAGATAACATTTACATGACGCAAGCAACTAAACCAGAAGTGTTGAGATAAGTTTCTTGGTGTGGTAAGAATAGGAAATGAAATGCAACATTCTGCAGCAGTCCTGCTCGGAGTAGCCACAGAGGCTTGATGTGACGGGCAGCATGGGATATACCACTGAAAAGAAGCTGATCCTCGAGATGGCATTTCTGCTCTGCATCAGCCCATGTAGGTAGCACAACTTGCTTTGGCTTGTGGCTCAGTAATAGGAGGACCAACCTGAAAAGATGCTTCTTGCAGCCTTTGCAGCAGCCCGATCTGCTGCAACCAATGCTTTTGAAATGCTTTTCCTAGCCCAGGGAGAGGAATTCCCACTTCTTCATGCGCTGTTCTGAAAGGCAAAGGTGCAGGGCAATATAGGAGAGGAAACATTGGCAGCTGCCACAAGACACAATGGAGGTGGGATGTGTTGTGGGTAATTTGGTCCACACTAGCAACAGGTGGGTGTTCTCGGGCCTTCTGAAATCAGGAAGAGCTTTCGATGAGCCTGGAAGAGGTTTAACACAGTGATATACTGAAGAAGGGTTTCTTAATGACAACATGCTACTATAAATATTATATAGTGATTTTATGTGCTCAATAAGTAATTATGATCCTTTCTGGCTCTTAGTTGTGCATTCTTGTGTTCATGTAAATCCCCTGTAACAAGACCTGCTTACCAGATGGTTTGCACTACTATATAAATTGTGTTCAAGGAAGGGGGGCGGTCAGCCAAGACTGAGAGAAACTGGTTTGCCTAAAGCTGCCTCATGATTTGGTTGTCAGGTAAAATTTGAAACAGCCTTTTGCTCTCTCACTTGGGCACTCCCCTAGCCTAACTTTCTGTCCAAGGATATTAATAATATAGATGCCAATGCCGCTAGCCTGGAAGGGCTGAGTACAAATTTCACTTCACACCATTACTTTTTGATTTATAATTCCACCTTTCTGCCAAACTGGCAGCTTAAGGGTGCAACACTATACATACTCAGAGAGAAAGAGGTATTCTACAGCTGAGTGGCGCATGCTGCAAGGGGGGTGGGGGGGCATCAACATGCATAGGATGGGACCCCTAAATGGCGTTGAAGCCAATAATTTAAAGTTGCTGTTTTACTTTGAGCGATCTGAGGCAAGCTTCAGGCACCCACCTACTCCATGAGATGAGGTGGCCACTCAATGGTACAAATTCTGCACCGGGTTACTGAACATGTTTGGTGAGCATCCACGTACTGCAGGGTGTTGCCCAGGGGTTGCTCTTGAAGTCTCATGCCTTCAGCTGGTCTGCAGCCGAGCAGTGAGTTGTGAACTGGAAGTGAACGGTTGCAAAACATTTTGCGAGTTTCAAAACTACTTTTTTTAACCTTCCCTGTCCATTTTCAGGCCCAGTTCAAAGTGCTGCTTTGAACCTACAGAGTGAAGGACAAATCTGTCCATGCGTCACCTGAACTTGCCTGATCTCTAAGCCCATCTTCCCAAACCTTCCAGAAATATTGAACTACTATTCCCAGAATCCCCCCCCCCAATGCTTCAGGAATTCTGGGAATTGTAGCCCCACTCGTCTGGAAGACATCAGTTTGGGGAAAGCTCCAAAGGTGATAATTAAGAGAAACAGTGTGGTGTAGTGGTTAAGACCAGGGGACTGGGACTCAGGTGATCTGGTTTCTAGTCCCTGCTCAGCCATAGAGCCACCTGGATGACTGTGGGCCAGTTACCCACAGCCCACCTACCTTGTAGGGTTGTGGGGATACAACTGAGAGCAGGGAGAGGAGAATATGTCAGCTGCTCTGAGCTCTTTAAAAAAAGAAAAGGTGGGATATAAATCTAATAATAAAGAAGTGCCAGGTGTCCTCAGTCTCAGAGATTCAGTAGTGGGAATGGGAAATGCAGCCTCTTCCATGGGGGAAGCTTTGGCTTTGCAACATTTGGTGAACTTTCTTACCTATCTGATCATCCAGGCTGTCCCTGAGTTTGTGGTGTTTGGTCAGACTTTTAAAAAACAGAATTGCTGGTATTCCCCCCAGCCTGATTTGTTTTTTAATGAGGCCTATTTTTCTTAACTTGGTTTTGCTTGCATTCTGTCAATTAATCCTAATGTGTATCTGTTTACAACTGCTGTAGTTTACATCTCAAGATTTTATTTTTAATTGCAAGGCACCTTCTACACTCTTTTTGAATGAAAAGATAAGGCAGAAGTAAGCAGGGTGGTAGAATCCTGCACTGTGGGTTGTACCACTGGAAACTGAAGGGGTGGTGCTGCATCTTTTTAATGCGATTGTGCACAAGTAACACTGATCCAAAAAAGCCTGAACTTTTGAAAGGGAGGGTATTACAATATACCTTTCTTCTTCCTGAAACTTGGAGGTTTCCTTCCATTTTATCCTCACAACAACCCTGTGAGGTAGGTTAGGCTAAAAGTCTGTGACTGGTTCAAAATCACCCAGTGAGCTTCATGCCCAAGCAGGAACTAGAACTCAGGTCTCCTGAGTCCTAGGCCATTACTCTAACCACTAGGCCCCACTGTAAGCAAAGCAGAAGAGAATTAGCTTGTGTGCTTAGCTTGTGTCAGGACTGGCCCTGTCAGGCAGATACCAATGCCTCAGACCCTCAGAGGGCCACTCGGTTATCACATATGTCTGCCACATGCTGCTGTAGGGCTTGCATGGCTACTGACCCAGGGAAATGGTGGCAGCAGGCTGGCCTATGAGGCCCAAACAATCTGGCCAGTCTAGGGGTGGCAGGAAGGGATGCCATTCGCTGCTGCACCTCAGACAGCAAAATACTTCAGGCTGCCTTGCTGTCCTTCTTCTCCCATATTTGGCCGTGCCTTTTCTCTGCGGCTTTTCTGCCTCACCCACGGACAGCAACTGGAGGCCTGTTGCAATACTTCTGTCAGAACAAGCTGCGTGTCTGGAGCCAAACTGTTTTTTAGCTTCAGTGGGTTTATTGGGAAGTGGGCCTCACGAGCTAGCTATTTAAGGAATAGAGTTCACTTTGCCAAAATGAACCCTTCCCCATTTCTTGTGCACAACACCGATACCTTTGTGTAGAAATTAGTGTGTATCATAAACTGAGGGAAATGTGGTCTTGTGGTTATTGGTGAAGAAAAAAAATCTTGCCCAGCTGCGCTCCCTGAGTTTGCATGGGAAGGTGAGGCAACGTGTCACGGCCTGCTTTTTCCTGCCAGACATGTTGGTTGCTGCCCACTCCAGGAACATGAGGAAAGATTATTTAAAACAAATCCCCCTTGCTTTTCTTTTCCAACTCTTTCTGAGCCAGGCTTTACTTAGTACAACTCGGAGTTTATCTATGTTCAAACCATGTTACAAAACATTATTTAGCTGCCATAATTATGACGGCCCTTTCCCATTATTACAGAGGGAGGGTGGAAGCTGAGAATGCTTGCCTGAGGCTACGATGTTGGCTTATGGCCAAAGCAGGATTTGGAATGGTGGCTTCTTCATTCACAGCTCAGCCATTATGCTACAGCACTGGCTCTGGGCCTCCATCCATCCAAGCATTTGAAGGGTCAATTCAGATCGATGTGTGAAATTCAGCTCCCACAATGCCACAGTTCCTGGCTATTTGTATCTCGCTTCTCTGTCAGTCCTTCCTGCCAGCTTTCCTCCCTCTGATTCTTCTGAACATCTCCTTCATCTTGGCCACCTTTATCAGCTGCCCTGCTGATCCCCCTCTGTGTTGCAGCCTCTGCAAGCTTCTTTGTCCTTTCCCAAACTTCTGTAGCATCATCTTCTCCTCCCAAAGCTTTGGCCGTGCTGTTGAGCTGAGAGATCTGCTCAGCCAATGGCAGTAGACACTTTTTTGTCTAATCATCAGGAGCCCAGAATCTCTTACTGCATTGCAATGTAAAATAGCTCATCGGGGTAAAGGCTACTTCCTTCTCTTTTGCAACACTAGTCCTTTTTTGGGGGCTTTCCCAAAGAAAACGGCAGACTAATATGGCAACAGAATGCTGGAGCTATTAGTCAAGCCACAAGGACAGCTATTCGGATCTCTTAGTCTCAGAGCACAAGGAAGCAATGCTGCCATATGCTTGGACCAAGATTCTGTGAGACCTTCATAGATGCAAGCATTCAGGATTCTGAATTTCTCTGGAGCTTCCCAGGTACAGGAAGCTTATGATGTTTATTACACATATATGCAGGCTGAACTATCTCTCTCTATCAGAAACTGCTTTTCCCTGACCCCACCTTAGATTTCAAGGGAGATTCCTGAGAACCAAACTCCTTCCAGATATCTTCTGGCCAGTAAGAGCCATTGCCTTAATCTGCAAATTCATTCAAACACCAGTCCTGCATAGTTTACAATCCAAGTCACTAGTCAGTAAAAAACAAGGGTGCCAAACTTCTTTCAGCCCAAGGGCTGGGTTCCACTTCAGTGAAGCTCCTGAAGCTCCACTCCATCAATGGCTGGGGTCGAAGGCAAAAGCATGGGTCAAAAATACAACCTCCCCCATCCCAACACATTCCTGCCAGTAACTAAGGCTTAGGAAAGGCATTTCAACCTTTTAGCAGAGGGAAATAACTACTAAAGTCAGGAAAGCATCTGTGTGGGCGGGAAAGTGGGTGGAACGGAGGCTGTCTGGGGAACTCAAGAAGGCCAGATTTGTTCCCCTAGGCCTGCTGCAGAGGTTTCTTGACAACACTGCCTCGTTTCATTACACAATGTGATTATGAAAAGAGATATCTCACCCAATGTCTTCCAGTGGTAAGAAGAACTTGTAACGAGAGAGAAACCTCAAGGATTTACGCCTTTATTTATTTATTTAACTTTACACCACCCAACAGCTGAAGCTCTCTGGGCAATTTTCAATAATTTAATATGTTTATTTATAAAAATGCAAGAATAGCATGTTAGAAACAGAGTCCTATCACAGGTAACACAACCATTAGTCCTGGGTTACATTCCCGATAAACAATCGCATCACCTCTCCCATCTGCAGTGGGAGTTTGCTAAAATGCCCCAGCATCCTGCCCCAAAACACAAGTCGTTTCTCTACTCCTCCTGCTAAATGAGGGCTGTGATGTTCTAAAAAAGCAGTTTTCTCCAACTTGGTGGTCTTCAGATATATTTGGCTACAACCAGCATCCCCGGCCATTGGGTGGGGGGATCATGGGATTCAGCATATCTGGAGGGCACCAGGTTGGAGAAGGCTGTTATAGAAGGAATGCTGAGGACTATTTCACTCTACTCAGGAGCTGGCAACTTAGGGCTCTCCAGATGTTTTAGCTGACAGTTCCAGTTGCCCCTTACCATTGGCATTGCTGGCTAAGGCTGGTAGGAGAGGAAAATTAACCACATCTGGTTGGCCCTCCTCTCCCCTCCTCAGTACTTTTGGATGGTTTAGGTTTGCTCGTCAGATGACATGCTTTGGCCTTAAGCCCCTATACCAAACACGCTAACATTTCACAGGAAAAAGCAAGGGAATGCTCAGAACATCTCAATTCTATTCCTTCAAGGATGGCTGCTCAACTCCTCCCCCGCCATCCTGGTTGAACCTTGCAGGAAGTTCTGCGTTCTGTGTTGCATTCAGCAGTCTCCCTTTTGCCATTAAGAGTCTTGGGAAGGCTACAAGCAGAGGGGAATTGGCAGGGCAGATCCACGTGTGAATTTCAGCTCCTACAAAGCCCAAGTTCCTGGCTATTTGATTCTCACTTCTAACTGCCTGCTAGTTTTCCTTCCTCTGATTCTTCTGGATTTCTCCTTCACATGGCCTCTCATTGGCCTTTCAATGGGTAAAAAAGAGACTGCTGAATGCAAGACAAAATGCAGAGCTTCTTGCAAAATGGCACTTTAGGTAAAGAACCCATTTGAAAATCACAGTTGTCCTCTATGCAGCTCAGTGCACACCCCTGTGGCTGCTATGTGTGAAATGGAATGATGATTTTGTGTCCGTGCATGAGCATTGAGACCAGGTACATCTTTTCCCTGGTCTGACTTAGCTCCTAGAGACCCCCAGGAAGGGAGCTGAACTGGAAGAACTGGCGCTGCCTCCCGGGTTTTGTTCTGGGAGGGCCCACCACCCCCTTGGTCCTGCCACTGCTGTTCATTCAGGAGCATCTCCTGCTGGGGCCCTCACTCTTCCTGCTGCTTGTATACTGAGAGAGCAGGCGAGCAGGCAGTGCAGCTAAGAGGAGGGGAAGGATCAGGGCCCGGAGGCTTTCCAAGATTGAGAATGGGGCCCCTGTTGGGTTGGGGGGTGGGTCTTTGCAGATGCCCCCAAATGAGAAAGACAACTGTGCAACTTGCACTAACAAAACGTTTGTTCAAAGCTTTTATATCCCAAGAAGGCTCTCAAAGAAGCTTACAGGCCAATAAAAACCAAATGCTTTCAAACTCGCCATTTCAAAAGCCACGACACAAAAGAATGAGAAAAGAACAACAAGAAAACTGAGGCAATAATTCTTTGTTTTACATGCCTTTTGTAATTTCCAGCTGTACAGCAGACAGATGTTGCTGGATTTCTGTCAACTAGCTGGAATAGAGACATTTCAAATAAAGGCTTCAATTTATTTATTTATTATATTTATATCCCACCTTTTCTCCTTTGAAGAACCTCAAAGCCTCTTATATAATTCTCCTCTTCTCAGGCTAGATGAGCTGATACTGGTCCTGCTTTCTGTCTCTCCATCTTCTACATCCTGCTGGGTGACAGAGACCAATGAATAAGGACAGTTGAAAAGTACTGCTGGGGTGGAGATGGAACTTGCGGCTCTTCAGTTGTGGTGGGAACACCATTCCTATCACCCCTTGACCATTGGCCAGCCTGGATGAGCTGATGAGGTTTGAGTCCAGCAGCTTTTGAATCAGTACTGCAGGGTCCTTGCCCCAGTGTACATATAACAATAGTATAACAATGCACACTTGGGCCTGTTTATTGAATTGCCAATGTTTTCAACTATCTATACAAATTCAGTCTAATATACTCTTCAGCTAACTGATTTCATTGGGTTTACTTTGCTGTACGCTTCGTTGATTTTTATTGGGTTTGCTTTCAGCTGGTCTTTTGTTGTATCTTTTCCTGTATCTTACCCAGTCATGCACACCTTTCCCCCACTTGGCTGACCCTGCCAGCTCTTAAAAAATTAAGACACTCTTAGTAGCACTGATGCCATGTACTCTCCACCCCAGGCCTGTCACACTCCTCAAGTTTCAGCATCATCGACACAGAGGCTCCAGTGGTTTTCAGAGGTGACAAGGCTGCCCAGTTTGGTTATCGTGTCATCCAGACAAGAGTGAATGGAATGCCAGGGTGAGAACTGAATGAAAGATGTGACATTATTCATTTTAGGTTTGACCCTATCACCCACCTAACCGTTAAATATCCCTGTCTCTCTCCCACAGGTTGGTTGTGAGTGCTCCACTGTCGGGCAATCGAACAGGGTCCCTTTTTCGCTGCTCATATGGCACAAAGATGTGCCAGCAGGTGGTTCTCCATCAGGAATGTAAGCTAAAAACCATTTTGGTACCTCCTCAGTTCCTAGAGTTGAGAGTGGTCTAAAGTTTGATTGTTTAACTTCATGAGAAGATCAGACAGAACTCTTGTGGGGCATCTCCACATGACAGGCTTGACTATCCATGGTTTTCCCCAAAGAATGTTGGGAGGTGTAGTCTGGTGAGCATGTGCCAGTAGAAACCACAACTTAACCCTTCTCACTGGACTCCTGTTTTCAATATTTTGGAGGAGCCAGTCTGAATCAAGAATTAGCTTCAGTTAATTGGAAGGTGATGGGTGCTGAAGTTTTTTTTCCTGTCCTTTGAGGATTGTTTGGGACAAGATGCATTGGGACCTAACCTAAGGAAGATTTAGCTCCAGGGCAGGGAATCTGTGGTCCTCCAGATGTTTGGACTGACACTTTCCAGTGAGGATGGACCTTGAAGTCCAAACGACCATGCAAAAAGCAGCAGAAGCAAACTACATTTTATTCCTGTAGTTACACTGGAACTATGATTTAGGTGAGCTTAAAATGCAAAAGTTCATGTGCTCAGAAGTTCATGTGTAGAAGTTCATGTGTTTGTGAAACAGTTTTACTTTTGTTGCAATGTATCAAGAATGCAGACTTGCAATTGTAAAACAAGAAGAGGAAGCTGTGGGAAGCGAAGAGAAATGTTAGTGATGCATTTCACAACTGAAGGAAAATGTGCAAACATCTAAACAAGTGTGCAGGACCCCTTCCCAGTACTGACCCCTGCACCTCCATTTCCCCAGTGACTTTTCAATCCCATCCTTCACTTAAGTGCTGGCCAATCACAATTCTCCCCATCACATTCTTCCATCTGATTGCAAAAAAGAAAAAGAAAGAAAAAAGAAAAGAAATAAATCTAAGCCCTTATGTATAATGTGTTTGCATTTTTTCCTTCATGGACTTGCACAAGTGTGAATGATCACCTGACTTCTATTGAGCCAAGCACACTTCTTGGCAAATCCTTTTCAATTCCATCCTCCACTCCATGGTTTTTCTTACTAATAAGCACCATTTTTTAAAAAAGGCTACTTCATATTCTTCTAAAATAAGAACATCTACCCTAAAACTGTTTGTCAGCTACTTTCAGATCTCTCCACCCTTCATACTTGTTGCTTTGCTCACTGGACTTTGTTGCTGCCTGCCATATATGCACATGGCTTATCCAGCAGCAAGCAGAATTGCTGAGTCTATGCAAAGCGGTTTTGCTGAGTCTATGGAAAGCATGGCAAAGCAGTAAAACTGAGTGGAAAATAATGAAAATTTCCTTGCACTGGACATTCAGCCCTTGAACCTTTGCATGGGGCTGGAGAAAAATGTACCCATCCTGCTCATCAAGACTAGTAGCTCTTGATCTCTTGGAATAAAAGCACTGGAGGTGCATCCCTGACCTTGATGCACATGCGTGCACATATGTGGACGCAAAGCAAGTGCGTGCTCTGTCCCTTTGCCTCTCCCATAAATACCTCGAACAGAAGTCAAAATTGCTGAATGGATTGGAGCTGCAACCATTCTAGGAATGCAGCCAGCAAGATCAGCTGTAAGGTAAAACAAACCACTGGAAACCTGTATTCCGTTCTGAGTTGTCTTTTTAGTCAAGTTTATCAGGTTTATAAATTGACTGACTGACTGACTGACTGACTGAAGAAATGAAAAACAAACTTGGAGGGTTACGGGCATCCTAGTGAGACTGTGAGGAACATGGAGAAGAAGCTGCGCTGCCCTGCAAAAGACTGATGGGGCTGATTTTGTGGGGTGGAGCTGATGCACAAGCCTCACTCTCCCTGCTGGAGGACCCATGCACCACTGGCTCTGAGTCCAGGCTTTTCACCTGGGAGCACACAGCTGGTACAATCCTTTCCATGCTGGCTGTGGGGCAAAAGGAAGGGGCCCCCAAGTTCAGAGTCTGGCGCATTTCTGAGGTTGGAGCTGAGATTTTGACCTCTCCTCAGGCCATCTGGAGAGTGGCTAGTGTCCATACGGTTGCCCCCTAACTCAAATATTCCAACAAAAAAGCCTTGCTGGGTGTTTTTAAAAGTTGATGATTTTAAAAAGAACTAAGCAAGTGGGTGGCAAGCACACAAGAGTGCCTCTTCATCAGTGCATTTCTGACGCAGTGCAGATTGTCTACATGCACATTCGCAGGAGCTTAGTTTGGGATATGCTGACAAACTGTCTTTCTCTCTTTGATCTGTCATCTTCTCCTATGCCTAAGACGTCCCTGGAATATCTCTGGGCCTCTCACTAGCAGCTGATGAAGCATCTGATTCCAGTTTAATAGTAAGTAAGCGCAAATGTGATCCAGGGTCTGACTGAGAGGCCTTGGGTATATTGCTCTGAAAAAACAGGAGATGCTTCTTTCGGCCTTTCTCAACCGGGCACCCTCCAGAAGTGTTGGGCTAATTGTTGGTTTTGATCTTGGGATTATCTTTGTGATTTTAAATTTGGGTTGCCATCCGGGGAGGAGTTTCCTTCAAAGACAGTTCATAAGGAATGTAAACAAATGACACAATCCCCATCATCACTATCTGTGGATGATGGGGGTTGTAATTCAACACATTTGGAAAACAGTGGGTTGCAGAAGGCTGGCTGGGAGTATCAAGATGAAATGGTGGGAGAGCCAGAAAGTTCCTTCTTCATTTCCCACAGGCCTGTGGTCCAACGTGGGAGCGCCGGTGCGGGAACTTTGATTATCTGAATGGCATCTGCTACACCTTGAGTAGCTTTACCCAAAATGCCAAAGTGAGCCGTCCAGGTTTCCAAGGTTAGATTTGGAGAGAAGCAGCTTTGCATGCCTGCTAGGACACTGAGGTTGTAAGTGAAGCTGGGGAGCACTGCTGTGCCTGGGGAAAGGGAGGCAAGAATGTGGACTGCGTTTAGCCTTTGGCCGGCTTTCCACTTCATTTTCCCTGACACATACTCTTGTGTCGCAAGTCCGGGGTGAGAACATTTTCAGTCCAAGGGCTGAACAGCTCAGGGCCAGAATGCTTAAGAAATAGCCTTAAGAAATAGAAATGACTGGTTCATTTGCTGCACTTCTATATAGCTTCCCTCTAGGTGGTACCTAAAAATTTGAAGGTCTGCTCCACCATGGCCCAGAATAGGGCTTTTAGTGTCATTGTGTCAGCAATTCCCAACCTCTACAGATTAGATGAGCCCCGGTCCTTCTGGATTTTCCATGTCCACTAAAAACAAACCTTTCCTAAAGGCATCCCCTGCAAGATAACCTTGTGCACCGTACATCAGTTAGAGATGTATTTCATATAGGAACTTTGTAAATATCATTGCACAAATGAAACAACATTGCAATCAAGGAAATATTTCTGGGGCCACAATCCATCTGTTTGTGTGGCCAGAGGAAGTGTAGCAGCAGCCTTACCGCATTTATACTCATTTGACTTTTACGCCATCTCAGAAGGAATCAGGACAAGCCTTGGCTCGTCTACCCAGAGGTTTGTGGGGCCGAGAGCATCCCAAATGCCAAGCCCCTCCCTGTCCACTCACAAGTGAGCAGCACAGGCCTCCGATGTGACCTCTGCAATGGATGCTTGGGATGTGATTTCCAAATGCTGCTCAATGATCCAGTTCTGTTTTCCTCCGAGTAGACACACAGAGGCTTGCCCTGCTTACTTCCTGAGTAGGCTTAGAATACAAAAACATCATTGAAAAGGCCTACCCTGCCATTAGCCGCACCCACTTCCCCTTTGGCCCTCCCACAGATGAAATGAGACCTGTCGCAGAAAAATCATGGGTCTGTTGTGAACAGATAGACCATGGAAAAGGAGGAATTGGTCCCCGTGGAAACCTAGTAACCTGCCACCTGCACCCAGGTGCACGCAGCCCTTTTCACCCCGCTTGCCATGCCTCTTGTCTACCCAGAGTGCGTCTCCGGTGTGGATGCCGTGATCCTGTTTGATGACTCGGGGAGCATCGGGGATAGAGACTTCAACATCATGCAGAACTTCTTCTTGAGGTTCATGGATTCTGTGGCCGATGTGGATGTGCAGGTGAGAAAGAGGCACCTGCACTGTGGATGCTGGATGGCTTGAGAGTGATGATGACCAGCATTTGTGAGTGTGAGCATGGATTTTGATCAAAAACTGGCTTCGCTTATTACAGCCACCCAATGCACAGCCAGGTAGGTTAACATCTACATATGTTTTAAACCAAAAACATGTTAGTATAGCCTCCTATAGGCTTGCTGCTGAACCGCTGTAATATGTCACTGCAGACTGTTAGATCAAATTAATGAGCTTTTCTAGATGGGGCTGTTAATCAGATCTGTACCTGTTTATAGTTTTGTTGCAGAACTGAGATTCAGGTGCTACACAGAGTTTTTCCTTTCCTGCTGCACAGCCTGTAGGTGGCACCATAGTATAGCAGAATAGCACAAATACACAAGAGGAAAAAAAGAAACATTGCCGTTTAATGCTGCATTTCCCCTGCCCTAAAAAAATTTGCTGAAAGAATTCTTTAGATTAGAAATGAAACTGGGGGTCAAAAAATGATTTAAATAGCCCATAATCAGTCATTCGTTGGGAGTGACAAGTACATGATATACACAGAAAAAGCAAAGCACAATCCTGTATGTGTTTAAACAGAAATGCGCCCCATAATCCCCAGCATTTGCTGGGGGATGCTGGGAGTTGAGCTTATTTCTGTCAACATAGGCGTAGGATTGCACCTGTAGTGAGTGTGGCTTTTTCCAAAACACTCCAGGTCATCTGGGTACTAACAACAACAACAGACTTCCATCAATTAGCTTAAAAGTATTTTCCCCTCCATTACCCAGTTTGGTGTCATTTTCTAGACAAAAATCAAAGGGATAAGTCATTCCCTGGAGTACATCAAATGATACTGAAAGCACGTATCTGTACTGTATATCTGTACTCCTTGTTGCACAGGGTAAGGAGAGTAACTTCGAGTTGCTTCATATGCCTTTTCTTCCACTCCCCAGTTTGCGGTGGTCCAGTACTCCACTGCACCCTACCTTGTTTTCGACTTTGCCCAGTATAACCAAACTGGAGGTAAGGTGAAGCAGCAGCTCTACCAGATCCAGCGTGTCCGAGGAAATACCTACACCCCAACTGCAATCCAGTTTGTGGCGTGAGTATTCATTTATTTATTTATTTTCCCGAGTTATATCCTGCCTTTTTCCTACAAAGGGCTCAAGGCAGCTTACATCATTCTCCTCCTCCATCTTATCCCCACAACAAACCTGTGAGGGAGGTTGGGCTGAGAGTCTGTGACTGGCCCAGAGTCACCCAGTTGGCTCCATGGCTGAGCGGGGACTAGAACCAGATCGTCTGAGTCCCAGTCCCATGCTCTTAACCACTACACCATGCTGGCTCTCGACTGGGGAGATGGCATTGGCCTGTGGCCCTTCCAGAGCTGACCCAGACACTGTCTCCATCCTTTCAGGAATGATGTTTTCACGCCTGAACGTGGCATGCGACCTCACAGCAAGAAGCTCCTCATTGTGCTGACGGATGGCGTCTCCAATGACTTTCGTACCACGTTTGAAGATGCTGCAAAGGCAGCAGACAGAAAAGGCATAATCCGCTATGCGATCGGGGTAGGCTGAAGCAGGGGAAGGAGGTGGTTTGGGGAAAATAATTGCTTATGGGGCTTCAGGTTAACAGCAGTGATTCAAACGTAATCATTCCGGGGCTCTGCTAGACAGTGGCTGCGCACATAAGATTTTCTAGGCCCTGGTGTCTCAAGATCTGTTTCTCTGAAAATCAAATATCCAGTTCTTCAGGCTGCAAGGAGAGGTATTTGGAGGCTCCTTGGCAAAATCTCAACAGCCGTGGGAAATGTTATGATGGGTCTAGGAAGAATGGGATTTGGGCACACCATGAGAAGGTAAAATTCCCTGGAGAAGAGAATAATCCTAGGGAAAGTTAAAAAGAGAAGAGAAAAAGGAGGGCCAGATATGAAATGGACTGATTCTATGAAGGAAGCCACAGCACTGCACTTACAAGAGCTGAGCAGGCGGTCATAGAAACATAGAAACAGAGCGAGTCAAAAGGGGTCTCCCAGGCCATCTAGTCTGACCTCCGGCACCAGCCGGCTCCGCTCACGACATGCCCATCATGTGCATGTCCAGCCTATCTTTGAACACCCTCACCATCATGTTTCGGGATTTTAGAGCATTTTCATTCATAGGCTCGCCATAAGTCAGAGACAAGTTGACAGCACATAATGATAGCCAGAAAGAACGGGGAGGCTCTGGAGATGCTTCAGAGATACCCCTGGGAGCAGATCTAGTAGACCAAATAAAGGTCTCTTTCCCAATGCTTAGCAAGGGGAGGCACTTGTTGATCAGAGAAGAAACCTTCCCAAGGGGTAGGGGAGGAAGTGTGGAGCAATCCACCCATGTCCCATCTGGAGCCTTGTCCTGGTTTACTTGTGAGGCCTCACCCATCCCTTGCAGTAAGAATGCAGCAATGATCATTTTAAAACTTCTGATTTGCTGCATGTTCATAACATGGAATCTCATCCACTGGAGGCAGCAGCCTGGCTTTGCTTAATGAAAAATATGGGAAATATTTGAGTGAACTGGAAAGGAAAGAAGGGGAGGGCCCACAGTCTTTGTAGGCAAAAGATGCAGGTCCCACTCCAGGCTATCTCCAGACTAGGAACTTTGCCTGCCTGAAACCCTGGAGAGACACTGCCAGTCCGTGCAAGCAGTTCTGAGTTGGTGGGAGCCACAGTCCAGCTTTGTGTCGTGTAGCTTTGTAGGTTCTGAAGGAGGCTGGAATTACTGCGTGTTGAAGCTTTGTGTGGTCCGAACAGCCTGGCAGTCATGGGTAGAAGGTCATCAAGGAGCTTTTGGGGGGTGGGAAGGGCCAGACCCCAAAAGTGCTGCCTGAGGCCATCTTGATAGGCAGAGACAACATCCCACTGAGAGATGCAAGGATTGCCTCTACACAGAGATTTAGGAAGAAGGTGAAGTCCGCTGGCTGTCAGTGGCAGGCGGGGTAGTGGAAGATCCAAGAAGCTCGTGTGTCCTTCGTAGAAGAGTGTGTGGGAGGGTGTGGCCTAGTCGCAAATAATTCCTTACACCCATCGCAGGGAAACTCTCTGTTCTGTCTTGTAGGTTGGTCAGATGTTCCTTACAGCTCAACAAGAGCTGCGCGAAATCGCTTCCTCTGCTGAAAATATTTTCCCTGTTGGAAGCTTTGCAGCACTTAATACACTTCAGAAGCAGCTGAAGGATAAGATCTTTGCCATTGAAGGTTTGAAACTGCGTCACAGTCTTTTCTGGAGGACCCTCCGTTGGGTCTTTCCAAATAACTTTTTAAAGAAAACCCTGCATTCTCTTCTTAAAGTTAGACTGATCCTGTGAACTTCATCTAGGCCAGCAGGGGTGTCGAACCTGAGAGCGGAAGCAATATCTGGCCACTTAGGGCCCCACACTGGCCCCAAAAGCTCACCAAGAATTGTGGCGTGGATGTGTGGGGAGAAGCGCTTGTCATTAGTATCTCTGACATGCACGCCATCAGGCCTTGCCCAGCGGGTACCACATGCCCTTGAAGTGCAGGCTGGGGGAAAATGGGCTTACTTCAGAGGCCTGGCTGAGAGCACCTGCAGATGGAGCGCTCCTGGCACTATTGGTCCAAGGCGTTGTGCAGCTTTTCCGTCATGCAGTTTTTCCCCATCTGCTTTTCCAAGTTCGGGGAGAACATGGGAAGGTTATGAGTGGTCCAGATGTCGCCATCCAGACCGCCAGTGCAATTCCGTGAACAAGGCAGGTCGAAAGTGTTGTATCAGCCTATCGGCATGATATTTCCCTAACAGAAACACTAGCTGTTGGAAAGGAACGTACTCCAAGACCTACATATTAATTATGCTACAACAGCTTTTCCCCAGCTTTGTGACTTCTGGAAGTTCTGGACTACAACTCCAGCATCCCTCACCATTTATGTATTAATTATATTTATATCCTATCTTGTTTCTTATTGTAAGTAGCCCAACACGGCTTAAATAATCCTCCTGCTTTCCATTTTATTCACAACAGCCCTGTTAGGAAGGTCAGGTCTAGAAGCAACGGCAAGCCCAGAGTCACCCAGTGAGTGTCTTGACCAAGAGGAACTAGAATCCAGGTCTTCTGAGTCTCAGTCCAACATGCTAACCACTATGCCTCACTTTCTCTCATCAGCTATGCTGGCTTGGGTCAATGGGAGCTGAAGTCCAAAACATTTGAAGGACACGAGATTGGGGGAAGGCTAGACTTGACACAGGATGTTCCTGCTCATGAAGACTAATTCTCCAGATGTTTTGGGCATCACCACCCAGCTTTCCAGACCATTGGCCATCCGGGGAGAGGATGCGGGAGCTGAAGTCCAAATCATCTAGAGATGTCTCTGTGTGACATGACCTTTTGGAAAGGCCAGATTCCAAAGCTCTTTTTCCCCCTTTCTTCCTGGGCCACAGTTCTGTATCATTTACTTCTTTAAAAAGTATTTTTTTCCATAAAAAGGCACCTCTGGAGCATCACCAGGTAGCTCATTTCAGCAAGAGCTTTCACAAGGCGGATTCAGCACCCTTCTCATCCCGGTGAGTAGAAATGACCGTCTGTTTAGTGGAGTGGCTTCCTTGGTTCTCCTGAGGCTTCTCTGCATGAGATTTAGGATGCAACACTGTACCAAGACTACTTCCCTTTTCTTTGCAGGAGCATTAGACCCTCTTCCACCGTGGTCTTTCTCCCAGTGGTTTTCCTCTCTGTCTTTCTGTGTGCTGCATTACACAACACAGTGGCCCTGTGGTGTAGCACAGAATTGCAACCTTCCTGTAGGTTTCTGTAGTGAATAATGGCATCATCCAGGAAAATACTAGATTTTTCTCACTCCAAAGGAAGTTGCGAAAAAGGCCAGAAAACTCAGCAGGGGCCCCAGAAGATGATGTGGTCGTGAAACGGCCGTGCAAACTTCCATGAGTAAAGGTTCAAGGGCACACAATAAAGGAGGAGTCCTGAATCTTTCAGTTGTGGCTCCAGGAAAAGCCCGAGGAGCGCCACATTATGGACTGCTGGGTTGGCTGGATTTGTGCATCCTTCCCCACTCAGATCTTGCTTGGGGTGACATGGTAAATCAGCCTTGTTCGGGCACAGAGCCTTATCACTGCATCCGGGGGCAGGAAAGCAATGCCTCTGCCAGCCAGCCTGAGAATTTTGTTGCCCTCCCACCTGTGCCTGCAGTTTGACTTGCTCACTTGAGTCAAAAAAAAATCTACACTCTGCAGAGACCTTCCTCTAGTAAAGCTATATGCGCTCACGACACACGGTGATCTAGGTTTTAATCTGTTCACTGATCTACAGAGGGCAGGAGCAATGGGGGAATTGCCTTACCATGTGGCTGTCATTGAACTAGGCCAGATGTGCAGGACGCCACACCTGGAGGCCAAGCCTGCCCCACCTCCCTGCTGGGATGGCATACCCTTCCCTGCATTTCCCACTCTCCCCATGGACTGCTTAGTGTGGTTGCTCTCCTGGCTGCTGTGTGTGATTTTTCCCATTCTCCCTGCTCTGCTCTGATTTGGATTAGTCCGCACTTCCTCCCCGCACACCTATTATTCCTTTAAAAAAATAAGGAAGTAACAACTAAACAATGTGAATAATGTCACTCCTAGCTTGCTTGTGTGTGTCTACATTTCTAAAGAAACCCTAATACATGAACACTGCCAGCCTCAATTTTGCTCTTTTCGGAAGAAACTGGACCCTTTTAAAGACTGTCCTGAACTTCTAAACTTCTGAGCTTCAGGGAATGGGGCATCAAGAGTTGTTTATTCACTTATTTACATATAATGTTTCTTGGCCATCTTTTGGGGCAGGAGCCCTCTCAAGGTGGCGGACAACAACAAAGCACATAAAATGAGAACAACAATATATACAGACAGAGAGGGCTCCCTCCATTTCCCTTCGCTTTCCTCCTCCCCAGGAGCACGTGGTGTCTGGGACTGTGGGGGCTTACGGCTGGTCCGGAGGTCTGGAGGAGGCGTCCTTGAAAGACCCTCCCCAGGTCAGTTTCCTGAACATATCCCAAGAGGCCTTCAAGGACTCCTATCTGGGTGAGTGAGGGATGCGCCCTGTGTCCCCCTCCAGCACAGGTTGAATTTGCCGGACGGAGCAGCCCTCATCGGTTTCTTTTCTGTGCCTGGCAGGCTACACAGTGGCTCTAGCTCACCGTGGCCAGCTGACCTTTTACGTGGCTGGAGCTCCGCGATACCAGCACGTCGGGAGGGTCGTGGTTTTTGGAAGCCAGCACGGACGAATGATAGGGAGCGCATGGGGCAAGCAGGTAAGCGGGGGCAACTCAGGTGAGTTCTGGGCTTCTGCTCACGTCATGGTGGATGGAAGAACAGCAGCCACCCAGGACGTCTCGCCTTAGCCAAAGGGCCAGGGGAGCTCTTGCTGCATATGTAAATCAACTGCAGCTGCAGAGAGATACGTATCCAGAGATGAACGTATGAAGTAGGCAGAAAGAGTTCCTACCAAAGAACTTGGGGAGGAGGAGTGGAAGGGTCTGTGGCTTTCCAAATATTGGTGGGTTACAACTCCTATCGTCCATGGCCATTGGTCATGCTGGATGGGGCTGGCGGCAACTGGAGTCCAATGACATCTGGAAGGAGGGCTGTACAAATGCACAAGAAAAGAAAGGAATTTTCTTATGGTTTTACAATTAAATACTGCATTTTCCCTGCCACAGAGGGAAACAGTGGTTTGTTCTTGGGTTGTGAACTTTGGGTTATTTGGGGTTAACAAGCCATGGGTTGTTATCATGGCCAGGTTGCCACAATGCAACAACAGTGTTGTTCAGTGACAACCCACATTCGGCCCTTACTCTGGCTTGTCATCTTGGGGTGAACCAGGCCTGCATGTTTCTGGTTTTTCCAGGTGGGTTCTTATTATGGTGCTGAGCTCTGCTCTGTGGATCTGAATACAGATGGAAACACTGACCTCATTTTGATTGGGGCTCCGCTTTACTACAACAGGATGCAAGGCGGGCTAGTTGACGTCTGCTCCATCAACAACCTGGTGAGCAAAACCTTTCTAGAGGCACCAACAAGCATGTGGGTTGAGTATGAGTTTTTTGCATCCAGTAAAACTGTCATTTTCAAGAAGACTTTAAACCAGGCTTCATGAACACAGGGCCTCCAGATAGTTTGGACTACAGCTCCCACCTTCCCCAGTCAGGTGGAGACTGTGGGAATTGTAGTCCAACCCACCCAGAGGCCTGCAGCTTGAAGAAGTCTTGGCTTTCTCCTGTGGCTCCTTTCTCTACCCCTAATACCAAACTAGATTGACAATCATGGGCTGAAAGCAAGGATCACGCATCTTTTAAATTTGCAAAATCATCACCCCAGAGGAGGAGGAAAGCAAGATCAGAAGGCCAGTCCAAGGGGGTGGGAATAACCCTTTCCTTCCCACCCCCCGCTGTGTCCCTGAGATTCAGCACCCCTGCCCTTGTAGCTTGTAGTCCTACAAGCTATTCAACCCAAGATGGAAGCTCTCCTCCATGCCGGGGCAGGCAACCCCGGGTGTTACAGCAACGTTGGTGGTGATTATTTTCATGAGGACTGTAGCCCAGGAAGAAGGCTTGAGCCCCTCTTTCTGTGCACTGCTTTACCAAAGAGCATTCCCCAACATGCATGCAGGGAGTAGCAATTTATGCGATGGTTTAATCAGGTTATTGCTTTGCTTAGCATGTCTGCCTGGCTGCTTTATTGTGTGTGTGTTGCTGTGCAACTCTGTTAGTGCTATTTTGCTGTTTCATACAGTATCAATTAATAGATTTCCCCGCAAGTTGTGCTAAGCCAAGTTTCAAGGGGCAGCCTTGAAATTTGTAAAAAGGTAGATGATAGTTAAATGACATGAATGAACGTGTCTCATTCCAGGGAGCCCTGGCTCGCCTTCAGACAGTTGGTGGAGTCCCGGGCGATGGACTAGGCCGTTTTGGGGCTGCAATTGCCTCACTAGGGGACGTGAGCGGAGATGGCCTTGCAGATGTAGCAATCGGGGCCCCCATGGAGGATGAAGATCGCGGGGCTGTTTATATCTTCCTCGGAGCAAAGGACCGGCTGAAGGAACTGCACAGCCAGGTGACCCTGTGGATCACAACCAGGAAGTATTGGGCAGAAACACGAGGACTTACTGTCTGCCTCCGTCAAGTGAGGCAATGTGGCCCTGTGGCTGAAGAGCTAGCTTTGGTTCTGGGTCTGCTTTTCCCACACTGGTCCCCTCCAAATGTTTTGGCTGACAGCTCCAGCATTCTCAAGCATTGACCATGCAGGCTGGGCTGATGGGATCTGAAGTCCAAACTATTGGGACGGCACATTGATGAGAAGGCTGAAATAGCTAGGAATGGGCAGAAAAAAGTTCTCCAGGTGTTCATCTCCTGCCATACCTGACCATTGGCCACGCTGACAGAGGTTTTTGAGAGTTGCACTTCCAAACACCCATGGGATCCCCATGCTGACCCCAGGAATACTGTGGATCCATAATTTTGATTTTGCTGTTCATGTGAAATAGAGCTGGCATATTGCCCTCTTATCTCACAGGGGTTTGGGGAGGCAATTGTGGTCCCATATGGATGCAGATATGTATGACAGAACAACCCTTTGCTCTGTGCTGGTTTCATCTGGGGTTCTCCCCATTTTGGAGGCCAATAAAAAGATGGTCGGGAAAATATTGTACCCCAACTAGAAAATACATGCATCCTGTGCATTATTGTACTGCAAGAATTACTGTAATATTTATACCTCTTTTTCTCCCCTGTTTTGGTATGGTTTGAGACAACCCTGTGGAAATGATTTCAGGGGTGGTAAAACAGAGAAGCGAGCGGGGTGGTCAAGGGACTGGCAGGTGGATTGTAACAGGCATTCTTCTCTTCTGGATCTGAGTTCAGAGCTGTGGAAATTTGCTCAATATTACTGGGCTTCAGTTCCCATAGTCCCTGCCCACTGGCTATGCTAACTGGGGATAGTGGGAGTCTTATTTATTTGAAGTTTTTACAAACCATTCTATAGCACCTGCTCTCAGAACGGTGCACAGTCATTTAAAGCAAAACAACTGTAACATATCTTCCATAAACATAAAAATTCAGGAGTAACAAACAAGTAAACAGTAAATGAAATAATGGTACACAACAACAAAGACAATTAATCCACAGTAACTAATCATCATCTGAAAAACCAATATAAAATCATAACCATCTATTCAACAGTTAAAATGACAGGAGAAGAAAAAATTTTTGACCTGGAGCTAAATGTATAAAGTGTCAACATCAGGTTCACCCCTTCAGGGAGCTGATTCCATAGTTGACTAGACAAAAGTCTAGTGATTAGTATTCTTTCTTCATTCACACAGAAGGCATCGTCCAAGATTGCCAGCAGCTGCAGCAAAACACACACACACACACACAATCTAGAAACAAAAGGTTAGATCCAGATTTAGTTGTGTTTAGGGTAGACACTTTAAAAGTAATAGGACTTAAGTTGGTCATGATTAGTGAGTGGATTCAGATTAATTGTACTTGGAATAGACTCACTGAAATCAGTTGGTCTTAATTTAGTCTACTGTTCATATTGCTAAGTTTGGAGCCAGCTTAACAAAAGATGGCTTTCTTCTCCAATATACGAACACGCAGACACAATCAGTGAGTGGATGAATGGTTCAAAGCTGACTTTTGATGAATTGACTAAGATTTCCTTCTTTGGGCAACAGCTCCAAAACAAAGTCTCCATTTTGGCTAAAGGGGGGAAATAAGAAAGTTGTGGGTGTTTCACCATAAACCACTGGTGTGTCCTAATCTCATGTTTCTTCTTTTTCCCCACAATCCACCTGTGCAGCGGATTGCTGCCAAATCTCTCTCTTCCACGCTTCAATTTTTTGGCCAGTCCATCCAGGGAAGGATGGATTTGAGTGGGGATGAACTGACCGACATCACCATCGGAGCGCTAGGAAATGCAGTGCTACTTCGGTAGGAACACCAGGGGCAACGAATGGGGTTAAACACGTCGTTATTTGTTTTTCGGCGCCAGACTAAGACCTTTTTATTTAAACAATATTTTAACAACGCTTAATATCTATAGGTTTTAATTGTGCAGCCAGGGTGTTTCCGGGTTTTAATTGTATTTGCATCATGTTTATTTATTTATGTGAGCCGTCCCGAGGCTATAAGCGATGGGACGGCATACAGAAACTCTAAATAAATAAACACATACATACGATTTGAGGTGGGCAGAGGACTTTTCTGTGGTCTGTTTCCCCACATCCTAATCCTGTTGCAAGTTTTATCCAGATCCTGCAAATCAGGTTAAGTAAATCCAGATAAACCCATCGCTTGTTTACACGTAACTTCTGATTGGCCTGGTCACACTGCATTTCTCTGGTGTGACTTGGCCTGTGATGCAAAGCTAATACTCCGGCTGAGATGTGACCTGCTGGGAGAGCGGCTTCAGCCGTGGATGCCCCCTCTAGGCAGCTGGGATGTGCCCCATGGGGTGGAGAAACTGGGCACTCGTAGGCCATGTCAGGTGCCTGGGTGACTGTCATCCCTTAAGTTGGCATCTTTCAGTCTGTGCAGATTCAGGCTGAGTACCAGGAGCAAATATTTCTTTATTATTTTCTTTTCTTAATGGCACAAACCTCTGCATCATTTGGCAGAAAATTCCCAGCACACCTCAGCCAGCATGGCTATCTGGGGCATGCTGGGAAATGTAGTCCTTTTCTCTGTCTAAACATGCAGAGGATTTAGATGCTGCATGCCACAGGGGTGCAGAACCACAGGCTCCAGGGCCAACTCTGGGGCCACAGTCTGGACACCCTGAGTGCCCTTGAGGGCCACGTTCTCTCCTCCTCCACTGAGGGGTTTCCTGGGTTCTGCCCATTTTTTTCCCATTCTGAAAGACCGAACAGCTTCCCCAAAGGCTTAGTTGCCAGCAGGTAAGAACTTGAAGCAACGGTGTGCTGCTGTTTTGGCCCCTGCATCCTCAGGGAGCTGAAAGGGAGTCCCCAAGAGCTTCCCCAAAGTGGAGTGCAGCCATGAGGCTGAAAGAGATTCCGTACCTCTGGCATCCCAGATCTAAAGCTACCTTTGTGCACGGATCCTGAATATGGAAATGCCCAGGGCTCATTCAGCGAGGTTGGCCTGCTAGGCGAGCTACGGTTGCACGCTGTCAGGGGTGGCTGGCAGCCTGGGCGGTTTGGAAGAATCACACCTTCTGTCCCTGCTTTGCCTCCCAGGTCCCGTCCCGTTTTCACCATAATCTCTTCCCTGAGCTTTTCGCCTCCCTCCATCCCCCTGGAGGACCCAAACTGCGGAAGTGGGAAGGTTTCAGGATCCAGTACCCGTGGGACCCTCAGTCTTTGCTTCACCCTGGAACTTATCAGCACAAAATGGAGTCACGGTAAAGGACCCCGTTCTGCTACCCTTCTGCTTTGCTATTTTCCTAGTCCTTCCCTCAGGACTGTGAAGGTCATTCTTTTCCAATGTATGTTCATTCCACCCCTTCCATGGGCACACTCAGTTGTGCTCCCCTTCTCTTCTTCAGTCTCTAATAATTTTTCTTTAGATTCTTCATGTTTGTGGCCTGTCCTGAACTCTTTCTTGTTCCTTTCTTATCTCATTTCCTCAGAGAAGCCCTAGGAATTCACGGGGGGATCAGTAAGAAAAGGGGCAGGGCAGAAAGAGTTTCTCTGCACAAGGTCTTTATTGTGCTCTTGTGATCCCACAGACACTTCCAGGAAGTTTTCACAACCGCCTCCTCTTCCTCTTCATCCAGGGCCTCTCCCATGTTTTCCTGCCATTTTCTTGTGGCTTTTTAAAGGAAGGACAATATGGTATTGTGAGGACAAAATGAGCAGAAGCTCTGCCATGCTATGGCTGCTGAACTCCTGATGATGTAAGAACAGCTTTAGACTTAAGCTGGGATTGCTGATCTGGTCAGGCATCCATGGTGCAACTCTTGCACTTGGTTAATAGAAAGGCAGAGAAATGAAAATCCCAGGAAAAAGCCTCTTGTACAGGATGTGTTGCTCCTGCTGCAGTGAAAATGGAAGAAGCCCCTCAGTAAAGCTGCGAGTTAAACCTCCTGTGTAGGGAAGACCTCATGCCTCTCGCCTGTTCCTGCGGGGAGGCACTCGTTGCATTCTTCAGTGACTCTCATTCAGCCATGTCTGCTCTGCTCTTTTGCCTCAGCTTGTTTGCTTCCCCCTTTTAACCAGGTGACCTGCAAGCCACGATCTCCTTTCACCTCCAGTCTGATGCTGCCCAGTTCAGCACTGCCCAGTCTCTGCCACGCCTCACGCTAGACAATGAGGCCCCCAGCAGCTCGGGAACCGTCCAGGTTGGGCTTACGCCGATCTGTATTAACAAAACTCTCCAGGCTCAGGTAGGCAGAAATAAGGGCGCTTCTCCCGATTGCCCAAGGGAATTCTGGGAGCTATTGTCCCCTGTGTGCAAGAAACTTTTATGCAGTGTTTTCAGCACATTTCCAAATGACAAATTCCAGGTATCTTTGGGGGAAGCCCTGACAGTGAAGGTTCTGGGCAACAGTGCCCCACTGCCCTGCTTGTTCTTATGGGCTTTTCTCCCCAGAACAGAGATGGGCAGGCTTCAGGCTTTGGGGGTGTCCTTTGTGTTGGCTGCAGAACCCCATAGTTCACCAGCCAGAGCCAGGTGCAAAGTGGCACTTTGGGGGCAGAGCAAGTACCTACTGCTTCCCATAACCTAGGTGTGGACAATTTCTTACGCTCCAGGTGTCTTGGCTAACAGTTCCCAGCATCTCTGGCCAGGCTGAAATTCCTGGAAAGCTGCTCTGGAGAAGGAGGGAAGGGGGCATTTTGGTGGATGGGGAAGGGAGAAGATGGGAAAGGCCAGGATATGAGTTATCCCAAGGCCCCTCCAACATTCCTCCCTCTCCTTCTGAGGGGTCCCAGATGGGAAGGCAAAGACCACTTCCAGTGCTCCTCCTGCCCTGCACAGAATTCTCATAAGCCTCTGAGTTGGAGGGCTTCTGATCCTTGAGAGCACAACCCAGGGTGTACCTTTTAATTCTTTCCATTTTTAGCTCCCGTGATTTTGGTACTGGTTATTCTGTTAGTATTCATGTTCCCGTGCTGGGCTTAAGAAAGAGGTTTATACATTGGACTTCTGTTATGTTATCCTTTATTTGATGATCCATTTCCTGTAACATCTGGAGGATGTTTTATAAGGCAAATAGTACTTAAGGTGGTCTAGAATTGATATCGTTTCCACAGTGGTAGCTCTATTAGTCTGTTGCAGTGGAAACAGCATTCTTTAGCAGCCAAGCTTCATTGCATTTGTGAGCTGCAATCCATGCATAAGGTACAGAAAATGCTGTTCTGAGTTGTTAACAATAAACTCAGAGGGACACGAGATGCAAAAAGAACAGACAGTCACAATTCTGTCACTGATGTCTACAATTATGTGGGCATCTACAGAAACAATGCTTGCTGATAACACAAACCTCCTGGCATTGGGCAAGCTAATTAGGACAAGTGGTGTGATTAAAAACAGCAACACTTTATCCCAAAGTAACAGCAAGAATGACAACTGAACCTCTTAAATCGTGACACACCAGGAATTACAGAGCTGTGATCAGAAATATCTTGAGGGCACAGAGTTGCCTACCCCTGACCTAAAGAATCGCATAGCATAGGAGAAAACTGTTAGAGAAATGCTGCTCTGTGAAAGGTTGACGTGTTTAAAAGCCCTGATGCTAGGGCATATCATAATCATTTGCAAGGGGATGCATTGATTTGAAATCCTTTTTACTGTTCCCCAGGCCTGTCTGGATGATACCTTCACTCCTGTTGTGCTGTGGGCAGATTTCTCTGTTCAGGAACAGCCAGAAGCCTCTTCTGGCCTACGGCCCGTCCTTGACCCTGAGACTAACACATCCACCATGATCAAGGTTTATCTTCCCTTTATGTCTCCTTGGGAGAATATGCCAAAGCCAGCAGGGTGGGGAGTGAAAGAGGCATTGCAGAGAAATTCTAAACAAGGATTTGAGCCTGGCTTTCCTGGGCTTGCTTCCCCAACCATCCCTTTGGTTTCACATCAGTTTGACCTCCTGTACCAAAAGTGCAGGCTTTTTGATTCAAATATTTGAAGTTCAAAAACTTTAAAAATGTTTAGTTTGTGATAGAAAAACAAAACCACACCATAAAGGAAAGAAAGGATAAAATAAACTGAAACATTACAGCTGTTGTATAGAATTTAGAGAGAGCCATAATCCTTGCTGGGTGGAGTTTTTTGTAGAATCTCCTAGTGTTTGCCTGCTGCCTGTCCAGTAATGGCTCATCCCCAGGTCTGAGATGATCTGAGGAGATCTGTATCATTTAGACACCTGACCCCTTTACTGTTGAATGGATTGACTGTGGTAGTGCTTGACCTACAGATGGCCTCAGCCAAGCCATCTGCATTGCACTGCCAGCATCCATTGACCTGGCCTTTCACCTCTGCAGCTGCCTGCAGCAGGTCTCTTGGAGCAGGTAGGATGGAGTCAGCTTGTTCCAGCTAAGTGGGCCATTCCGGGCCAACTGCAACACAAGAATTATAAGCAATAAACAAGTCTGGATGCAGCATGGAAGCAGAAGCCAGTAACATGGCCCCAGGAGGGTGTCTCGGGGAGCCACGAACGTTTTTCCATGTCCCCCTCTGGAGAGGGAGGGCTGAAGCTGTCTCCCAGCGACTAGCCCTTGAATGCTGGGAGAGGCGGATGGGGGATTGGGATTCCCTGGGCATGACCGAGAAGGCTGTGAAGTCAGGAGGCTATTCCAGCCCTGGAACTGCTGCCCTTCATCTCTCTCCCATGAGGGAGGAGGGGAAAGAGTGAAGAAAGAAAAGAGCAAATCTGAAGAAATGAAGGGAAAAAATGTGCTTGCTTCCCCCCCCCCCAACACTTTTTTAAATTTTTGGAGGCTCTGATATTGAGACAAAGCTGTCTCGACCAGCAGATTACCTCAGCTACTTGCCTTGCTGACAAAAAGGACAAGATAAGAAAAAATACATTGTGTGTGGCTATCCTCACTGAGAACTAGAATGGTTGTGGAAACTTGTAACATTCAATATGCAGATTTGTGCCTGTCTGTTCCCACATCCATTCATGCCTCTGTCGGCCTCTTTCCCCCAGTCCTGAGATGTGTCTGCTTGTGCACTGTTGCGCTTTTTCCCATTTATTGTCAGGTTCCCTTCAAGCAAGACTGTGGACCCGATGACATTTGTGTGGCCGATCTTCGGGTCTCCTTCAATTTTTCGGGGTGAGCTGCATCTTGTACACTTCTGCTGAAGACCTTAAGACTGAGCTTGGCTGCTGTGCATGAGCAGCATTAGTTTCAGGGCAGAGGGCTTTGCAGGCCTTCTTTCGCAACTTCTGGCATGCAGAAAGTGGCTGCCCCCATTCTACAGAGTGGAAAACTGAGGCAAAGCAGCAAAGCCAGGTCCATCTGGCTGGTTGAGCCAATATTTCTCTGATTAAATTTCAGGTCAAAAGGTCTTCCGCTGAGTCCAAATTTCATACTAAACTTAACAGTGAAACTTGAGAATATTGGAGAAACAGCATATGAGCCAGCCCTTTTCTTGTACTACTCCCAAGTTTTATCCTTCCAGGGGGCTTCTGTTCTTCAGGTGAGTTGAAGGAATAATGTGGGGGAAGGGAAGGGATGGTACAAAAAGATGGTGGCCACTGAGCTACTCATGGGAGAACGTTTCAGCAGCCGAAGAGTTGCTGGACTGGAGGGGAACATGTGCCTCTCTTACGTAAGCCCTTCTGCCTGTTAATTCGGTGAGGAGCTTTTGGCTGGTCCTGAGTTACAACACTTACAGTTCTGTTCTGCCTTTCCACCCATGTGTGACTTGATCGATGCTAATTTACTCTTTTTGCACCCTCACCTTCCCCAAGTCTAACTGGCGCCTGTCCCCGGTTTGTAACATGCACGAACCCCAAGGAAACACGTCCACCCGGCAAAGCTCCTGCCGCTTCAGCCCGCCAGCTCTCAAGAGAGGCACCCAGGTAACGATTGAAGTGAAGGGCCAAGAAAGTGGACTGGGGAGTGAAATCAGAGGATCTGGTCATGAAACGAAAGAGTGAGAGAGTGAGAATGAAGGGTGAGAAAGAGCTGTGAGGTAGCTGCTAGTGGTCACCTTGGCTGGGAATGATGGGAGTCCCAGTCCAGTATCTCTGGGGAGGGCCACTGCTACATAGTGAACTGAATGATCACGCAAGCCCTCAACATGCCTGGCTCTGCACGCAGGTGCAACCATCTCTCACCTTCCCCGCTTTCTTCCAGGCCTTCCTCCGACTCTCCTTCCGCTCCTCCCAGGGTGACTCCTGGCCTGATAAGCTTGTTTCCTTCGTTGTCCAAGCGCGCAGGTAAGGGGAGCAGCGAGCCAAGCCCCTCTGCCCCTGCGATCCTCAGTGGGCTGTCAGCCCTGACCCTGTTTCACCCTCTGCCTTCCAGTCAGAATGAGAATGAGACGCTGGGCGCCAACGAGGCCACAGGCCAGCTGCCGGTGCTCCACCCGGTCAACGTCATTGTCAAGAGGTAATTCCACTTTCTCCTGCCCTGCTCTGCCCGCCCACAGGCCCCTGCTTCTTTTCCCCCTTCACCCCACAGAGCCCAGCTCCTGTGAATATCCAGAGGGAGGAGAGAGAGGACATAGGAACATAGCAACTGAGCAAGTCAGAGGGGTCTCCTGGGTCATCTGGTCGGACCCCCAGCTCTAGCCTGCTCCGCTCATGACATGCCCACCATGTGCATGTCTAGGCTATCCTTGAACATACATTTGGGCTGTTTCACAACAAGAGCCAGAATGGGACTGTGGCTGGAGTTTTGGGCTGGGTTTAGTGGGTTAGTTACTGACTCTTAGCCTAACCTACCTCTCCAGGCTGTTGTGAGGATAACATGCAGAGAAGGAGGGTGCTCGTGTATGCACTCGTGGGCCCCTTGGAGGAACAGTGAGATGGAAATCAAACAAGTCCAAAAAAAGGCTCACATGTTGGGAAGGAGCTTCACAAGCTGAAGGCCTCCAGTTAAACCCTACAGTTCCCATCACTGCCAGCCCAGGATGGCCATGGAGAGAGCTTCTGCAGGGCACTGGGTTGGAGGAGACTGAGTGAAAGGGTCTGAGGTGACAAGTCCACCTGGGAAGAATCTTCTGCCTGCGGTGCTGGAGAAGGTGCAGACTTCTGAAGCCCTCCTTCTGGAAGCACATGCAAGCGGGACTGCAGTCCCTAGCGGGGTTCCCTGTTCGGGCAGGCCAGGCGACGGAGGGAACGCTTGCCCAGACCTTGGGCCGCTGCCAAAGGCCACATCCTAGCAGGACCCAGTGAGAGCCCCGTGCGGGTGTTTCTTCTTTCCCCATTACAACCTGCTCTCAGTCTCACACAGACGATGGACGGTGGTAAGAATGAGGGCCAGATGCAGGGCCTGCTTGCTCACTGGGTCCCAGCCTCTCAAGGCGTGGCCCTTCTCTGAAAGTCAGACACAGGCAGGAGCCTGGAGTGAAAAAACGTTAAGTTTAATCTTGGATCTGCAATTAAGGATGGCTTCCTCCATTGGTGACCGACATAAAACCTTTTCATTTTCCCAACATTTTAATATTTAATTGGTTTTATCTTTGATTTTATCATTAATGGTCAGATGCAGTGTGTTGTGTGTTGATATGTTGTTGTTTTCTGTTTATTTTTTTTGTAAACTGTCCAGAGAATGTGGTATTGGACGGCATATAAGAACGTTAAATAAATAAATGAACAACCCATTTTCCTCTCCTTTCTCCACCAGGCTCGAGTCCACAACATACCTCAATTTCTCTACAGAGTCCCCAGAGAAGAAGCTGCTTACACATGCCTATGAGGTCGCATACCTGCTCCATCCACCTTTCTCTATGTACTTGGCTGGAATTTGATCAGAGTTTTGGAGACATTTGGAGACATTTTTCTTGCTCTCCCATAATGCTCGAACCCAGGGTCATTCCATGAAGCTCATAGGGAAGAGGTTTCAGGCAGATAAGAGGAAGCACTTCTCCACACCACATAAACTGTGGTATTCACTGCCTTGGGAAGTGGTGATAGCTGCCAGTCTGGATGGCTTTAAAAGGAGATTGGACAGATCCACGGAGGAGGAGGTTATCAGTGGCAAAGTGCTACCTCCTTTTCCAGAGGTGGCATTTATTTATTTAGAACATTTTTATCCCATCCTATACAAACCAATTGTCTCAGGACGGCTTACAATATAATATAAATAAGCAATAAATATAAACAATCAACAACTATAACAACAAGATACAGTCACGGCATGCCTCCGTACACCAGTTGCTGAGGAGCTGGGCAGGAGGAGGTCTTGCACCCATCCTGCTTGAGGGATCCTGTGGGCAGCTGGTTTGCCCCTAACATACGGAATGCTAGATTAGATGGACCTTGGGTCTGGCCCTGCATGGCTTTTCATATGTTCTTACAACGTGCTTCAGCACAGGAAAGAATGGAGAGCATGGTCCCGTGGTATCTTTTTTAGTTAGGATTGCTTGGTGGCTGCCCTGGCTGAAGATGTTCATATATAGTCTAATTCAGACAACAAGACAATGTAGCCATGTGTGAGTGTGGGTGGGTGGGTGTGTTTGCCACAGTCTGTAACCCTTGTCTGTCTCCAATCCATCATGCTTGAGATGATTCCATCTTCCATTTTGTTCTGGCAGGTGAGAAATATAAACAGAATCGCCACCCCAGTCAACGTGACCTTTGAACTCCCCTTAAAAAATGAACTGGGGTTCTTCTGGAATGTTACCCCAGTCCACAGTGATGTCGTGAGTAGAAGATAATTGGGTGCAGAGAGTGATCCAAGGGGGAGTATTGGGAGTACGGATTCTGGGGTTACAGCCAGAACAGTAGACGATCCAGGATTGTGGGGGGTTCCACAGAGAAGGTACTGGGGGAAGTAGCAATCCTGTGCTCCAAAGGTATTTCTTAAAAAAGGACTGATGGAAGTTGCTTCCCAACGTCATCTAGAGGGTCGCAGGTTTGCCCTCCCTGCTAAAGCATCAAACTCTTTCTCCAAGTCCCTTTTCTTATCAACCTGAAGGGAAGCATAAGAAGGAGGCATCAATAAGAACGAATCTATAGGAGAAATACTTATGGGAAACATCTCCAGAGAGCTAATTAAGGAGTGAGCACGCTTGGCAGGGCCAGCCCTACCAGTGGACAGGGGCTGGGTTCAGACAGCGATATAACCAACACTCAGAGGTTATAGGTTATAGAGTATAGGTTGGATATGGGTTGTTGTTGAATTGTGAGTTGCAGTTGAAACATGGATTGATTGTATTGTCTGAACCCAGCCACACAATGGGTTCTCTTTGTGGGCTGCTTGTGATTAGCCTCTTAAAAGGCTGTGGTTTGTTAGGAAGGAAAACTAGCGTGTGTGGGGGTGGGGTGGGGGGGGTAGAATGGAATAGAGTATGCTGGAAGAGAGCATGGGCCCTCGGCTGGCTGAACCCTCAAGAGGCGCCCTCTGTTCTGTAACATATAGCAGGTGTCACTTATACTGAATATTTTTCTGTCCTCTTAGAAGAAGCAGTTCTCATGCACACCACTATTCACTCTCAGGACGGGATTCAAGGCAAAAGACCTCGAAGGACTGACCACTGTAAGAACCTGGCAGAAAATGCCGCTATATCCAGGTGGGGTGCGGGGGCTGTTTCTAGGAGGGATGCAGCTGCCCCTGAGGTGGGCACACAACAGTTGGTATCAGGAGCTTCTGCTTTTTGACAGCGAGGGTGCCTGGGGGCCTCTGTCTGCACCAAGGTTACGTGCCAGATCACCAGTCTCTCGAAGGAACAGTGGGTGCAGTTCAATTTTTCCGGGGAATTTTACAGACAGGACAACTCTGCCACGGTAAGCAGCGCCTCCTGCTGGGGGTAAGCGGTGTTGCAGTGCAAGGGAAGTGCCTTGAGAAAGAAGGATATTCTTAAAGGATTCTTGTTCTTGAATCAACCTTCCTGACCCCAGGCCTTCTTAAAGGGGGAAGCATTCTGCAAGTGTGATTTGGAGTGTAAGCGCTGGAGGTGAAATAATGGAAGAGCTCTCCTTTGTGGTCAGGTCACATGGGGTGTGTGGGTTTGGAAATGGGCCAGGGAGCTGTGAGGTGGAAGGACGAGGGGCACAGAGAGCCCTGCTGCCTCGGTCTGTTATTTCTTCTGTCGATCCTACAGCTGCGCTCCCAGAAGCTCTATCTTTGCAGTGAGGCTTCCGTGGTGGTTGATGAGACCAGGTTTTTCCAGAATCAGCCGAAGGAATTCCATGTCAGCCAGGTACCTCTCAGGGCAGAGTTGCTGGATTCCTGCTTGGAGGACTGTGTACCCCCAAACACACGAGAGGTGGAAACGGGTTACTGAGCACTGAACTGAGCTTTCCTGTGGGTCCCAGGAGCGCCTTTCATTTTCCTGGAATCTTTAAAGAATATTAAATGGGGATGGGGGAGCATCTAGTCCACTAGAGAATGCTTAACTACAACTCCCGTCTTCCCTGAGCTGGGCTGGGTTGATGGGAATTGGCAGCCAGTAACATCCGAAAGGCCAAAGGTTCTGTGTTCTGTTAGAGAGTGCCTCTGAGGATGTCCAGAGTTCTCTTTCCCTACCACAGTTGGGTTGGCCTTCTCATTTCTGGAATGAGTGCCTCCTCTTCTTCCCCCACCTCCATCCCTGGACCTTTAGCAGTGTGCTAAGGCCTGTGGGCTCGGAGGGATGCTGGGGCTGCCCTCACATGGCCGTGGAATCACCTGACCCAGAGGCTTGCAGGGCAGAGCAGGTTCCCCAGTCCCGATCCTCTCCTTTGCAGATCAGCACCGAACTGGAGCTCATTTCGCCGTTCAACCCCGTCCCCATCATCATCGGCAGCACCTTTGGAGGCTTACTGGTCTTAGCTATCGTGGCGGCAGCCTTATATAAGGTGGGAAGGCCATGGGCAAAGCAGCGACCAAGCCATGGGTCAAAGCAGATGTGGCACTCGTACAAAGATGCCAACATGCCAAGTTAACCACGGCAGGAGGACCTGACTAGAGAACGGTTGCTTGTAGGAAGGCTTTTTCAGGCTTCCTCTCAGTTCCATTTTTCTAATCAAAATCAGTAGTGAGGAAGGGGATGGAGGGGTGGACAGCTCTGGGACTTTCTCTTTCTCTTTCTCTTTCTCTTTCTCTTTCTCTTTCTCTTTCTCTTTCTTTCTTTCTGAGCAGGAACAATGGCATCTGTTAGAGTGCCTGAGTCACCGATGCAGTCCTCTCTTTGCTCTGGCAGGTGAATGAAGTGATTGGGTTGTTAGCACTATCTGAGACAGATTACAGACAGGAAATCAGAGAATGAGGAAAATGGTAGACATATGGAGGCTATAGAGATCTTCTTTTTTATTGTAATTTTGAAAACATTTTATTATTAAATTTATAATCCTGTAATGCAAAGGCCTCCATTTTTCCTTTTTGCAAGGAATCTTAGGGAGCATATGTGGTCCTCCTTTCTGTTTATCCTCACAGCAGACCTGTAAGGCAGGTTAGGTTGAAAGTCTGTGACTAGCCCATTGTCCCCCGGTGGGCTTCGTGACTGAGTGGGGTTGAGAATCCAGGTTGCCTAAGTCTCAGCCCAGTGCTTTAAACCATCACGTCACACCTGCTGAAGTGTTCTGCTTTACACTAGCAGACTGCTTTGCAAGGCTTGCTTTTCAGTGGGCCACACACCTTCGATTGAAGAAGCTCCGTGTGTTTTATAAGCTGAGCCAGCGCAGTCAGAAAACAGTTCAGCAGTGCGTGTTCCCATGAAACACAGCACTTCACATCTTCTGATCTTGATAAACCAGGGATTACTTCATGCACTGTTGCAGTGTTATCGATGTATCCTTGTGTGCACATATCTAGACTGACAGAAAAGTGCTTCAGAATGCCTCCCCCAACCCCCCCCCCCCCCGGTGAATCTGCTGCTACCCAGTAGTGAAAATTAGCAGAGGCAAAACAGGTGTCTGTTGGAAGTGTTCCTTCCTGTGCTGGAGCTAGTGGCAGCCTTTAGTAGTGCAGGCATGTGGGGCAGGGGGAAGAGCGGCCTTCAGCTGAGAAAGCAGCTTTGTGGGACGGAGGAAGAAAGTTCTCTTTCTTGCTATCACTCCTGTGGAACCGTTTGTGGCCCATGTGCGATTGATTTTGTTTTTTAAAAAATATGTTGAGAGATCCTGGCATGTCCAGTTCAGTCCTAAGAAGCTCTTCCTTTCTGTCTTCCTCGCTTCCCTCCCTTCCTAGTGATTTTATTTTAACAATTTTATTATGTTCATGTTTTCATTATTTAGCGTGTTGGGTGATATCTTTATTTTTTATTTATTTTTTAATATTGTCAATAGCCCTGAGAACATTTACTAGTTGGGCAGTGTGTGTGTATAAAAAATTCCTTTGTCTTAGTCCTGTTTGTGCCTTTCTCTTCCTCCTTCCCAGTTTGGATTCTTTAAACGCAACCGGGTGCCTCACCCTGATGAAAGCCCCGGAGGACAAGCGGTCTCCACGGAACAGCCCCCTCCAGAGCAAGCCGCTGCAGCATCAAGTAGCTCCTAAGAGGGAACACAGGTGGTGATCGTGGCTTGAGAACCAGGATGCCTCGGTCTTCTGGGACAGGACTGGGGTGAATAGATTTGGGGGTTTATAGACCAGACTATTAATGTGCAAGCCCCATGCCTCATTTGCAGAATTTTATGCAGGACAGTTGTAACCTGTAACCCTTTCAAGTTTTCTTAGCACTTCTATCTTTTCCCCCCTTACCCTGGAATATTTAAGGAAGAACAGATGGAATAGCTGCTTCATGTCTTTGATAGTTAGCCCTTGGAGCTGTCTGGAAGAATGCATGGGCAAAGTGGACAGGAAGGCAGGAGCTCTGGAATCCTGGCATGGGGTGGAAAGAGGGTGGGTGGGATGGGAGGAGGGGCTGGAAGAAGAGAAGTCACATTAGAATGTAATAATTTAATTAAAAAAATGTTTGGATGGAAAAGTGAAACTCTGCTTGCCAGTTTGTAGCCATTTTATCCAAGAAATCTATGACAGCCTATTTACAGGGTCAGAGGGAAAGAACATGTGGTAGAGTCATCCCAGGATTGTACCACTTTTGAATGGAAGTGGGGGACATTTTTTGCATACCAAAGATACCTGTCTATGATAAGCTAGAGTGACAGGGAGAAGTGTTTTAGCTTAGCTCTCCCCCCACCCCCCGAGTTTATTAGCTTCCCTCTCTCCTTCTCACTCACGAGAAGGAGAGTGCCCAGGTGAGCCTCTTCAGATTGCAGATCCACAGGTTTGAACACACCTCTAGGCATCCCCTCTCCTTGGCAGGTGGAAAACAAGTCCTGGCTTAGTGTCCTCCCTTCTAGTGTTCTATCAGGACACCTACAATAGCATTCAGCTCTGTGAGTCTCACTTACTCGGAACCAGAGATGGGCATAGCGCCTTGGCAAGGGACCTGGCCTGGATCTGCTCATTACAAGCAGTAGCCCCAAACACCTTAGAGCCTGCTTACTTTGCAGACTGCCTCCCGCTAAATGGGCCCATTAGACCAGTAATGAACATGTCTAACCAGAACATGCTTTTATACTGATGTGTTGTTTCATAACTTGATGTAAACCAATTCAGGAAGCAATATATAAATATTATAAAATAATGTTAACATCCACCAGGCACCTTTTATTTCCCATGTGGGAGCAGGAGGAGGAGGAGAGCATCTGGAGCAGCTGACTACAGTGGCAGGAAAGGGTTCGTCTCTCCTCATCTGCCTGCCAACCAACAAATGTGGCAAACAATGAGTATTTATTTGGCCCTGCATGTCTCAAAGTGCATTCTTGTCTTCTCCTTCTCTTCAGCCACTGCTGGTTTTCCATCCTGGAACCCATGACCAGTGGTCTGGTTGGGCAAATGCCAGGGCCCAGTCCCATCAAGGGGTTCACCTGTTCAAGCGCAGGCCATCTCCAGCCTACCTAAGACCAAGAGCCCAGCAGAGCAAGCTGCAGAGGCCACAGTGCAAAGGGCTCTGGGTGGTTGCTCCAGTCACGTAACGCACACCTTCCAGCCCTTCCTCCTCACCTGTGCCTCTGCCGGCAGGGTAGGCTCTCCCCCAGCCGAGTTTCCCGATGACCCCCACCCATTCCGGGGCCAGTCCTGCTGCTGCCAAGATTATACCACAGAAGAAAAAGCACCCCACAGCCAGCCATCTAACATTGCCCTTGCACTGCATCAGGCTTTCTCACGCCTTGGTCTCCACCTGGGTTGCGGGCAGGACGCCAGATGCATGGATGCCCATTGGCAAAGACTGATTTCTGACAGGGACAGCTTCCTTCTCTTCTAAGAAATAGAGCAGGAGGCAGAGGAAGAAGGAAGTAGGAAGCACAGGATCAGCTACACATGTGTGGAACCTTCATGATCTCTCTGCACCAAGATGTTCTGGGACGTCCATTTTGAAACAGGAAGTTGAGCCACATGAAGTGAGCAACAGGACGTGATTCAAGTCTTCTGTCGACATCTGCGGGTAAATTGCTGTAGTGGCTCCACACAGATGAACTTCAGCTTGTGATTTTTGTCAAATCGTAGCAGAACCCACTCCCCTTCCTTCCTCCCTTTCAAATGACTGCATATTTTAATACGTACATTTCCAAGAAACTTTGAACTTCATAGCAGCCAGCACATTTGGTGACGGGCAGGGGACTCAGCCCAGCAAGCACTGGGTTCTGACCAGCCACACAGGTGTACTGGATGCTGCCTCTGTCTCTACCTGGCCTACTTTGCAGAGGGTGTGAGGACCAAGAAAGCTGCTCTGAGTTCTTTGGAGACTGAGTGGTTTAAATCAGAGGTTTTTTTAAAAAATGGCCTCCTCCTTTGGTTATCATTTTCTGCTGTTCTCAATTGCCTTCCCAGGAGGAACAAACAATGGTATCCACCCCCACCCCAGCTTAAATGTCTGAAAGTTCACCAGAAAAGTGACAGCTTGGCTACCCCATTCATCCACGTTAGTGAAAACAGGCATCAAATCCTCTTCCAAAGTGCCTGGGCAACTTGGATGCAGAAAGGCCACGTAAGCAGCGCTGATGCTACCAAGACAAGAAAGATTCAAGTAGGCTTTCCCGGGTGCCTGTTGGATGTGCTGGACTACAACTCCCAGAATTCCTCAGCCAGCTCAGGCATTCTGGGGGTTGTGGTCCAGCCCATCCAGGTGGTACCAGGTTGGGAAAATGTGCCCTCAAGTGGAAAGAACTTACCTGCCAGAAATTTTTGTACAGGTGCACACCATCCAGGGCTGGAGAAAAAGCATCCCAAATAGTTCTGAACCTGAATTTTATCATCCTGTGCTATCTTCTCTCCACACACCCCCACCAGGTGAATGAAATGGCACAAACTATTTGGGATTTTTATTATAAAAACAGAAAGCAATATATATCTTACTTGCAACATTCCTGCCCCTACCCCCACGGTTTTAAATCACTCGTGTTCACCTTCTCATCTCTTCTCCATCAGCCCAGACAGGGAGGGAGCGGAAGACACAGTGATGCTCCTTCTGCAGCTCAGGTTCGTATTCCTTCCACTGCCGCTGCATGTTACTGTGCAGGTACAAAACCTCTTTTCGCCTGCAAGATGAATTCCGTTTTGAAGAAGCTTTTGGGGGCCATATATGAGTGCTGGACAGTCTGAAGGCAAAAAGTCAGGGCCAAAAATACAAGGCTATTCTTGCTTAAAGGCACAATCCCATGCAAATTTAGACAGAAGAAATGGCTTGGACATGCTGGGAGTTGTTGGCTATTTTTGTTTGTGTGCAAAGGCTTGTATCCTCACCAAGAGTGAGTAGTGTTTAGAATGGGGGACACTGCACAAAAGCTGGGAATCCAGCAAACCATTGCTGCCTGTGGGAAAAGACGAGGCCAGAAGAGACGGTTCTCGTATTGGCAGAGCCCCAGAGGGCCAGACTGGGACCCAGGCCTTGAGGTTCTGCGCCCCTGCGTTGAATGCAAACAGCAACACACACCATCAGATAAGAACGCACATCGTTTCATCTGCGGAGCACCACATGCTGAGCAAATGCTCCCCACAAACAGATCTTGTCCGGCTACAGCATTCACAAGCCAGAATTCCCTACTTCTCATCCACCCTTAATCTATACTGGGGAAAACATTCATAGACTCAAAATATGGTAAACTTGGAAGGGGCCACTAAGGCCATTGAGTCCAATTCCCATTCAGTGCAGGACTCCAAGGAATGGCAGGCACAGACTGGCCTTTGTGGGGTCACCAAATGGCAAAAGGAAGAGGGAAGAGACATCACCTGATAGGAAAGTGACTGTTTGCACAAAAATCTGGGCTGAGCAGGGTTCTGGGTTCTGTGTCCCTGGGATGCACACCTCCCTAGGCAGGTCTCTTAGCAAGGCCAGCCAAGACAGGATGATCAAGCGCAGGCACCAGGCTAAGATGCACCCAACCTCTTCAGGGGGAAAGGTGACGTCAGCAGAAGGGAAGGGAAGCCTTTACTGGTGATGGGGCAGAGAAGCTTCTGCGGGACGGCCAGTGGGCAGCAGCTGAAGGTGACACTGGTGCGGGGAGGATCTTCTGCAGACAATGGCAGTGATGGTCAAGCTAACTTTGGTTAGTGCTGCATAGAAGACAATGGCAAATCGCTTCTGTCTCGTCTTCCCTTGAAAACCCTACGATGAAAGTATCCCAAATGAAAGAAGCAATAGTGCCAGAAGAAGAGACCTCCAGTTTGGAAGGAACTCAGACAGACTAAGGCCACTGTATTCCCGATCAATATCTATGGGTGTGAAAGCAAGGCACTGAAGAAGGTTAACAGGAAGAAAATAGATGCATTTGAAACACTGTGGTGGAGAAGAGGTTTGTGAAGATCCCGAACCCACAGAAAGATCATGGAATCATAGAATAGGAGAGTTGGAAGGTCATAGAGTCCAACCTCTGCTGTTGCAGGACACCACGTTACACCATCCCACTCAGGCGGTGGTCCAGTTTCTTTTTGCACCAGTGGGCCTAGGTAAAATCAAGCTAGGTTGCTTTCCCTAGAACCAAAAATGACCAAGCAGATTGTCATACTCTGGCACATCACGAGAAGGTGGGACTCCCTGGGGAAGACGGAGGTCGAAGGGAAGTTGAAGGCAGAAGAAGAAAAGGAAGACCAAACAGGAGAGAGACTAACTCTGCACAGGAAGCGACAGCCTTGGATTTGCATGAGTTGAGCTGGACTGTCTTGGGTGGGACATTTTGGAGCGCTTCCCTTCAGGGGGTCACTGCAAGTCAGAGACAACTGGAGAGTGCAGAACAGCCGCAAAGGGCCGCATGAAGAACAGTAACAGGGAGTACCTCTGACCAGGTGTAAGAACGCATCTCCTTCATCCCTGAGAAATCAGACTGTCACCACACCCCAGAGATGCAGGGGGCAGGCATCCAGGCCAACGGGTGTGGGTTGCAGGCAGTCTTAAAAGGCTCTGCCCCTCTTTGTAGAAAATGAAGGCAAGAAATCTGAGGGGTGGGTTCAGGGAGTTGGGGGACCTCAGACAGGGATGGTTTATGAGAACGCGTGTGTGTGTGTGTGTGTGTGTGTGTGTGTGTGTGTGTGTGTGTGTGTGTTTAAAGAACAGTGAACGAATCGCTCGGAGAGTGTGCTAAGGGGTGGCCCCCTTCTCCCGCCAGGCAGTCCCTTGCTTTGGCTACATAGAAAGTGCATCTCTTTGCAACATGAAAGCCCAGAGGAAACCCCAAATGCAAAGCAGCACCCTGGAGGAAAGGGGGGCTTCTCGGTGAGCTGACGACCCACAGATACACATCGGCCCGTCTTCGTCCTTGGGCTTCGGGCTCGAGCCGTGTGTCGGGTGGGAGGTGGGAGCACCCTGGCAGTACATCCAGTCGTGGGCAGTGGAACGTGGGTAGCCTGCATCCGACTCCACATTGCCTCCAGTGAAGCGCCAGTACTGGCTGTCCTTGAAGAAGTAGGTGTTTCCTGCAGGAGAATAAAGATCAAAGTGGAGGAACGGCAGGCTTGTGGCAAGGGACGTGAAGAAAGTTGCAAATGCAGTCTGTGGCCAGCAGGGGGAGCCAAACAACCAAAATTCCAGGAGGGGGTGCCACTTCCATTCCCAGGCAAAACTGTTAACCAGGGGAACTATCAGCTGCAGGGCTTACACAGGGATAAATGCATTTCATGCGTTTTGTTCTGCTTGGAGGAAAGCAAAGCCTTCCCTCCCCTTTACAGACTTGCTAACAGGCCTTAGCCAAAGGGGGCTCAGAGAGACATCGAGACTCCTTCTTTAGAGTCTTCATCTATTACCGGTCAAAGAAGATGTCTCTGTTATGGTTAATGATGCAGATGATGAAAGACATGGAGCAAGAATTCTATCCAACTGCTCTGAAAAAAAGACTCCTGCACACAGCTTCCCTGAGGACTTGCAGGAGCATCCAGATCACTGACAAAGCATTTTACATTTTTAAAAGTAACGTTTATGATAATAATACTTAATACAATTAAGGGCACACTCCTACGCAGTCAGGACAGAAAAGGCCCTACAACTCCTTGTACGTCCAGCCAGCACTTTCTGTCTGAACTTGCATAAGGTTGCACCTTATAAGCATCGGAGTTTTAAGTTCCGGTTGCTCTGCACTGGTCTCCAGCCCTCCTGCTCAGAACAAACTGCTGAATTCCCTGAGCAGTCCTCGCATAAGATTTCTGGCTACCGGCATTTTGGCCAGAGTAATTTCTGTTGTTGCAGGAAAACTTTTTTGGGCTGGCATTTAGAGTTTGTCAGCACTGGTACAAACTGCTACATTTCTATTCAGAAGTAAGCCGCACTGAGTTTAGCAGCACTGATGCCCAGGCATTGCAGCCTGAGTTAAGTTAGTGCGGCAAGCTTTTTCCTGGTTTCCTATGGTGAGTCACAACATACATTATCTACAACATACTGGAGAAGGCTGTTTATGTAAGAAGAGGGGAAGGCTTGGCACTTCTGCTCTTTTATTCTTTTGATGTCAATTGATCTAGTCACAAAACGTGCCCTGATTTCTAATTCTTCTGTCCATGTATTTGCAAAACTGAGAAACAAAAGTATTTTCAGACAACTCTTTCCAACCATGATGCCCACTGAGTTGTCTTTAATTGAGTTTCAGGTTTTGCACCAAATACAGTGTTCTGCAGTACACAGATAATTCATTTTGCTTGTGCGGCTACATGCAAAACCCATCAGGAAGAGCTGTGTTGTTGTGATGCTGCATTTCTTTTGGGGAACCCAGCGTGACTTACATAGTCCTCCTCCATTCCATTTTTATCCTAACAACAACCTTGTGAGGTAGGTTAGTGAAGAGGGAGGAATGGGTCCAAAGTCACCCAGTTTGCTCCATGGTTGTATGGGGACAGAATTCAGATCTCCTGGGTTTCCACGCTAACCGTCACACCACAATGTCAAGACCCCAAGGGAATATGCTTGGCTCTAGACCTACCATCATTCCAGCGAGTGATGTCATCCAGGCCAGGTGGGACCCCTCTCCAGAGGGTGACGGGTTTGGGGTATCCTGATTCCACTTGGCCCAAGTGATCGTCATAGCGCCAGTATTGGTCCTTTTCTATGAAATACGTCTTGTGATTGTGGGGCCAGACAAAAGCAGCCTCAATTACTGTGCCACGAGGAAGGCCAAGATCAGATGTGGGACGGGGATAGCCTGGGTTGACCTGAGTATCTGTGAAAACCCAGTAGTGGGATCCTGCAAGGAGAGATAAGAGGGTGATGTGGAGCAAGAAAAAGCCATAGCCCTCAAAGAGATCCTAGCAAACAATTTCCATAGGGTACCAGTAATTTCTAAGCATTCCTTAGGCACAACAGGTAGGTTTGCACAGCATAAAAAGCCATGACTCAATCTTACTGTTGTGGATCTATTGTGTCTCCTAGACCCAGTTCTGGAGTTTCTGCATGGTCAGATTTGCTTTCTGAAACCATGGAGGGAAGAAACAGTCTCTAGTAGGGTCTCACACTTCACCCATTTGTTCGCCACACAGTCCTCCAGAGCCAGGACTGCTATTTTACCCCTGTGGGTTTAGAAACATCATAGAGTCCCCGGACAAGCAGGCTTTCTAGCCTTCGATCTCTACTGCCCTAAGCACCCTAGCAACAGATGTGTCATTGCTCACTTTATTCCCATTGGCCAAGTCAGATGTTCCCATGAAAAAATACACAGGGAGAGAGAAGGGGGAACTGCAGTAAAACCAGTGCTTTTTTTGTTAAAAAAAAAAAAAAGGTGCCGGAATTCACATCTTGGGGTCACACTTTTACACTGAAAACGATTTTACACTAAAAAAGATTACACTAAAGATTTTTAATGTAAAGCCAGTCACTCTACACATACATAAACATAATGGTTGCCGCCAGCAGTAAGCACTCACTCACTATCAGCACGGACACAAAAGCAGCCCTCAGGCACTATGTTAATGATGTTTGCTGCTGATCTGCTACAAAAAAAGCCCTGAGTAAAACTACTTATTTTAATACATTAAACATCATTTAATATATACATCTGTGGGGCCGGATTGCCTGGGAAGCGCCACAGACATGCAGGGACACTTGGAAGGTGGCGGTGGGGGATGCACCTCAGGACTGCAGTGGACCAGTCAGGAGGCTGTGGCTGCAGTCCATAGGCAAGAACAGGACAATGGTGGGGCTTGAGCTAGCAGGGGCTGCTGGGATGCATGGCAGGGATGGGAGAACAGAGAAAGAAGCATGGAAACTGTGCTGCTTAGGGAACCACGGGATCATCCGACTGGTCAGCTCAGACAAAAATCTGCACACCGTGGTAACAGGGCAAGGTCACCGGCCACGTTGTGTGAATAAGAGATGTATGGGGGTGGGAAGCCGCCAGGTCCCTGGGCTCCAGCCCACTTTGAAGCAGCCCAGAGCCCACGTTCCTGCCAAGTGCTCCCAGTGCTTGTGGGGCACTCACCAGGAATCGGGCCCCATATGCTGCGCATGCAGTGCCCCTCGTCCGCATGCTGCCGCCAGGGAAGAGGTTTGGCCAATGGGAATGGTGCCAGGAGGCTGCACCTGAGAGACAAGGTTGCCAGTTGCGTGATTGGGGTCTGCAAGAGCAAGCCAAACACGAGAGAAAGGCCACGGATGCTATTGCGACGGATTCCAAAAGTGTTTGTCTGAACCAATGTGAGCCGTCCCCTATCCAGTCGACTATCTCCTTTGAATTCCCCACCACAGCATGGGCAGAGATTTTAAAAGATAATCTGGCTGATTCTCTAGCAATGCCACCTTCCATCTTCAGTCCAGAGAGGGGTTCTTGAAGATTCCTCATTGCCTGGTGATTTAGCAGTCAGTGGTTTTGCATTTGGCTTTGAAATGTTCTCAGCAAGGGAATTATTTTGCAAAGCCAGCAAGTAGCACATAGCCACTAGCAACCCTTACGTTTTAGCAGAAAGCTGCAACAGATTGCAAAATTTAGGTTCCTTTCCCTTAGACATGAGCAAAATAAGAGTTACAGCAGCAACTGGCTGAGTGGACCACTTCTGGCTGACTATAACACCACCTCTCCCCTCACCGCACCCCATTCCACTCACCAATGAAGAACACGATCTGGCTGTCATTGATGCGCTCGTATGCGGCATCAATGGCTGTGAAATCCTGTGGGAGGCCGTTCCAGAACCGGAGGGTCTGTGCCGGCTCCAGTGAAACCAGGGTTCGGGCCGCTTGCATCCGCCAGAAATGCTTCTCTGTCAAAAGGATTGTGTGGTGTGTCACTGACTAGCTCAGAAGCTGAAAATCTGAGCTGCCTGCCCAATTCCCAACCCTTCCTAAGGTAAACACACGGAAACCTAGGGTTGCTGATCTGGGCTTGAGGGGAACTGGAGGAAGCATGGATTCTTATCACTGTTGTCATTCTTAATGACTTTTCCGAGCTTTGCTGAAGCTATCCAGCTGGCTTACAACCATTCATAAAACAAGACGGCACAGTAAAACACCGTAGTATTTTTTTCAAAATACAGGGTTGAAAACAATTTAGCCACATAACCACATACACAGCTAAACCGCACAACTGCCTGCTGCCCCTTTGTATTGGCAGCTGCTGAAAAGAGATTCTTTCTTCTGTCTCCTTGTGCTGGCAGGAAACCTCATCATGCTGGATTTCCTACGCTCACCGAAACTCCTCACCAATCCCTGTGCTGTCTGAAGCATGCCTTCTTGGGGCCAATTGTCACATGATGTGGAAATTTCCACGACTGGGGCTCTTAACAGCCACAGGGCTCCCAATCTGGGCACGTGGCAAATGGGCTTGGGCAAACTTCTCCAACCTGGTGCTCTCCAGAGGTAGCAGGTGGGGCATCCTGATAGGTTAGACTACAACCCCCATAGCTCCCAGTCAGCATGGCCAACAGAACGACAGGCACTGCAGTGCCCTGTGGCAGAGAAGACGGGGCTAGGAGTTTTGCCTCCAGCCCCTCACTCCACAGTTTCCCTCATCTAAATTACCCACCAGAGGTGTTCTTAGCCTGTTAGGAGAGGATAAAAAGGAGAAAAGCCCGGTGCAATTCGCATCCCTGCCTTCACCAACACCTGCAGCTACCAGGCGCTGGGGAAAGGGGATGCTTCCGATGAGGGTGCAGAGAGGGGGCCGTCTCCTCGCTCACTGCAGTCAGTTCAGATAAATTCATCTGATCCTGAGGAGGAGGAGGTGGAAGAGCAGGCTCTGACATTTCAAGGCTGAGCAGCGAAGTTTCTCAGGCAGAGCCTAAGGACTGGCTTTCAGGGTGGGAGGGGGAGCAGATGTGAGACCCAGTCAGGAGACAGCCCAGTGTGAGGGGCTCTGGCGATCCCACTGTCTAGGCTTCAGGCCACACGGGCCACCCCAAGGGTGGGAGCAGAAGCTTGGCTGAAAGCAAGGGACGGAGGGGAAGTTTCCGGCTTGGATTCAACTCTTTCCACAGGCAGATGCCTCTTCTTTACTTTTAGTAGCAGGCTATTTAGAGTTCATATTGTTCTGTAATTTGTTAAGTTTCAATAAAGGTATTGCACTTTTATTGAAGATACTTCAATAAAAGTATCTTCCCTTACTCTTGAAGAAGAAAACTTCTCCTCGGATGTTAGCAATGGCATCAAAATGGGCCGCACAACGATCAGGTGCTGGAAGTCGTGGCCTGAAAGGAAACATAGAAACATAGAAACAGAGCGAGTCAGAAGAGGCCTCCCGGGCCATCTAGTCTGACCTCCGGCACCAGCCGACTCCGCTCACGACATGCCCACCAATGACCCATTGAGGCTGCTGGACGGAGGTTCCGTTAACTCAAAGACCAAGTTCTGGCTGGCCATTTTAAGTTGCATTTGTGAAATGTGGCTCTCCCTTTGGACTGTCTCCTTCCTCAGCAGGCTGGCCTTTGACGCCAGCCCTGCCAGATCCACTCCAGCCTCCGGCCAGTTCCTCTTGCCTGTCCAGTGTTGCGCTACTTGCCCCCACACGGCTCGGGATGGCTGCCATGAGACAGGCTCCACAGCCCAGAAAGCACGGGAAGGAGGCGGAGAGTTCACAGGGCCACCATCCCATTAAGGACGGCACTCACTCTTGGGTGGGCCTGTACGGAGGCAGGTCAGGGATGGGTCGGGCTGTGGGGACCGGTAACGGTGGCATATTCTGATCTGGACGTGAGCCACCCTGACGCTTCCCTGCAGCCAAGGCAAAAGAGAAAAGACAGAGCAAATGAGAAGCAAACCAATATGACATTCTCCACCGTAGAAAGGAGCGGCAACATTTAGGCCAAAAGGCAGAAGAACAAGGGAGGGAGGGAGGACAGCATGACTGAGTCTGCATGACACAATAACCCAGCATGGTTTACAAACCACAGTGGCGTGTGTGCTGTGCAAACCCAGGATGAGTTTTTCAGGGCGAGCCTTGTGGTTGCCATGGGGGGAAGATGGCTACCAGTGCACTGTGATACCTCCTTGCCTTCTGCCGTGGCGACCAACCAAGACCAGCACTGCCAGCTCATGAGTCAGTGGCACCAGTCCCTGCTTTGGGGCTTCCCACTGCCTTCCAGGCTCCCACAGTGTCCCCTGGATGCCCACGGCAGAAGGGGGAAAGGGGATCCCCACCCATGATGCACCTGATCATCTGTTGGGGGCATGTCACGCAAACCGTCCAACTGAGGGTGCTTCCAGATGAAGATTTTTTTGTGGGCATGCCATAACCAGTTGTATGGAGAAGTGCACGCAACCCTCTTCCTTGCTTCCCCGGTGCTGCTTCCATCTTTGTTCCAGCTGAAGAAAATTCAGGCTTTTTGAGGAAGTGGGAAGAGCAAGGCTGCTCCAAAGGTGTCCCTGCCCCTTGTACAGCTCTCCTGCCTTTTTCAGAAGAGGTGGTTTTGATATGGCCACTAACTTTTCTGGTACACCACTCAGTATCTCCTTTGTGGGAGATGCCATTTTAATCCCCTGTTTATGTTTTCATAAAAACAGTAGCGCTAAAGCATTTCTCCTACCGTATCTTAAATACACATAAAACAGCAAGAAGCCACTTAAATTAAACTGTTATACAATATACCTTTTCTAGTCCAAAACATTTTAGCAAGATGGTTAGTAACAGTGACTGGAAAGGTATTTTAATGATTGAAAATATCAGCATCACATTGTTACGTTTATTTATTAGATTTATATGCTGCTTCTTTCTTACGATGAACTCAAAGCAGCTTCCATAATTTTCCTCCTCCTGCTCTCATCCCCACATCAATCCTGTGAAGTCGGTTGGGGTGGCAGCCTCTGAATGGCCCAGAATCACCCATGGTCAAGCGGGGAATAGAACCCAGATCACCTGAGTCCCAGTCCCACACTCCTAACCACTACACCACACTGACTCTCTGTAAAAGTATTAAAAGTAATACTTAGAAAACCCTTTTCAGCTACTGCCATTAACCTGCTTACTAAAATGGCTGTACCAAGAATTGGGGGTGTTCAGAGGCTACCAGAGAGGGCTGCAGAACCTCTGAAGTCTGCCTTCAGTCTCCATCTGGATCCACAGGTGGTTACTTTCCTTTCCCCAAACAATCATTTGTGGGTGGTTTCCCAAATTTTGTGTCACTTTGTCCCCATTCTAAAAGGTAGCAATATCTCTCCTAAGGCTCCATTAAGGGCAATAAAAGCTCTAAGCTAAAGCAGGCTTGTGCTTTTGGCTTCTGCACTCCTGCCACTGAATGTGACTCCAGAGAGTTTCTTTGTGATGGAATTCCACCTTCAGTCTGAAAGAGGTCTACAAACTCTCCCAGGTTTACATGGTATATTGCTATCTATGCATTTAGTTGCAATAGCTGGAAAAGGACCTTAGAGTTCTCCTCATGAGCTTTTTGTGGTTGACAAGACATGGTTTGTTAGCACTGCCAGGTTCAGATGGCCTGATAACCCATGTTGCAACAATCCATACTCAACTTCTGTCTGCAAGTGATCTTGTTGTCTGAACTGTGACAAATTCAGCTGTCCAATAAGTCTCTACGTGCATTCAGAACAGCCTCTCCTTAAAAAAAGATGGAAGAGCAGCACGAAGGGCCTTGGTGTGGATAGAACAAAGAGGGCCGTACGTGCAGAAAAGGCCATTTCGGGTGCAGAAGGTAAATTGTAGTTTTATATGCAACTTACAGCAGAAGAGCTGTTGGTTGAGAAATGCCCTCTCTCTTTCTAGAGGCACAGTTTATGCAGGTCCTCATATTATCTTTCCTAACTCTGGCAAGAACTGATAAAACTAGATTTAATAGGACACCCTGAGGGAGAAAACCCCAGTTCGGTGTGTTTGCGTATCCTTTGGGATGGTGGCCTTTGTACCTTGGAGGAAGGGGGCTGTCCTCAGCCCAAAATATGTGCCCAAATTCTTGATGTCAGCTGGAATATTTTATTGTGCTGTGTCCTGTTCCCAAACTGGCATATGCTGGTGGGGGGTGGGGGGGTGGGGTTGCTGTATAAATGTATTTTTAAAATCAGCTTCACCTCCCCACAAAAAAAGGGAAGCAAAGGAAATGCATCACTTATGAATCATCCCCAAAACAGAAATGTGCCACCAAAAATAGGAGCGATTTGTGTAGTGCTTGCATGTGCTGATTTATATGTATAGATGGAAATTTAGAAATAATTAGCATAATAAAAAGAAATGCAGTACATCTACCCATGGTGTGGAAGACCAAGCAACCTCTGTGCAAGCAATAATGTTTGACAGGCTACAGTTCTGAGGATTCTTCACATTTAAATAGGAGAAGACAGTAATTCAATGAGAAAGCATTCCTCTCACAGCCTTTAGAAAGGACTGCGCAGCATAAAATAGGGCACCTGCCCACCAAGGCTGCAACTGAGGAAGCAGAGGAAAAGCTGTTGGTTCAGATGGAAAGGAAAAGAGAGACTACAAAAGAACAGGAGAAGCTCCTTCCAGGGTGGAGCTTAGCTTCTCACCATAAATTTGTTCAATTCCCATGACATCATCTGGCGGGAGGCGGTACTCCTGGGGAAATCCAACAGGGCCCTGGTAAAATGGAATCATGATGGACTCCTTGTTGGAGGAGTGAGCCAGTCCCAAGGCATGGCCAAATTCATGCACTGCTACAGCAAAGAGATCCGTGCCATGACCTAAAGTGGGAGGAGAAAGACGGCTTTGGTTTTCTTCCACAGCTTTGCTGCATGATTCTGGGGCTGCAGGAATGCAGCGTGGTCATGAAGGTACCTGGTGACTTGTTCTCTGGATCGAAAAGCCACCTCTCTTCCTTATCGAAATGGGTGTCCCCCGAAATGGGGTGTTCTCCAGGAAAGAAGGCATGGGCCAGGGTACCCCCCGGCCCGTCGAAAGGATAACTGTCATCATGATAGGCATTGCTGAAATCCACCAAAATGTCAGCTTCTTCAGAGGATTCCTCCTTGAAGGTCAAGGCTGAGGAAAAGCTCCAGGCCTGGAAGGCATGGTAGATAATGTTTCGGACCTGATTTTGCGTCAGCTGTGTGGAGTCAGGGAAGGAACGGATGCTGCCATGGGGAAATAAGTACAAAGATCATGCATTGAGCCCTGGTGATCAGACCAAAGACTTCTGTCAGCCTTCCCCAACCTGAAGTTCTTCAGATATGTTAGACTACAGAAATTCCAGCATCCTCCGGCTGGCCTACCCTAGATGCTTCGGACTGCAGTTCCCACCTCCAACCCCTGGTCATGCTAAGGCCAATGTGAGTTGTCAGCTATTGGTCGTGCTGGCAGAGGCTGATGGGAATTGTCATGCAACACATCTGGAAGGTGCTGGTTTGGGGGAAGATGACCTACACGGTCCAGTATCCCATTTCCCACAGTGGCAATCAGATACCCACGGACAGTTCAGAAACTAGACAAGAATCCCACAGCTCTTCCCTGATTGTGGAATGGGATGGAATGGGATGCCGAGGCCTGAACAGAAGGAAAGAGCGAAAGGAAGGGCTACGATAAATTGAACAAAAACCTTAGTGCTGTGAAATGGTAGGAATTGACAGGATGGAGGAAGCAAGGCATTACCGCATGAGTAAAACTGGGAGATAAAATAAAGTAAAAGAAAGGAAAGGTGGAAAACAGTGGAAGCGGATTGCGCCAGGGAAGTAAGAACAGCCGGGCATGAAAAAGGGTGCATTCCACTGGAGGTGCTGGGTCCCGCTTACTGCCACGTCAGCTTCTTCTTTTGCCAGGAGCTGTCACTGAGAGCAAAGCGCTTCTTCCTGCGCCGGCGACGCATCAGCTCCGAGGTGCCAATGATGTCAGGGAGGGAGCAGCGAGGCTTGCGCATCATTTCCAGGGTCTTCTCGTCTGCAAAGGAGAGGCACTCAGAGAGACCCAACACAACCGATCGGCCCACACTGGTTCGTGAGCAAGCCTGCGTCTCCCTTCCTCCCTCCTTTTGGGGTTTGGTGGCTGGATCAGGGGTGCTTGTGAGCATGGCAGGAGGTCCAGATGGTACGGCTTCTTCCTGAAAAGGGATGCGCAGAGCTCATTCCTGTTGGTAGATTACGCAATTTGACTCAGCAACTTGCTTCAAGAATTAACCGAAGGATTACTTGCTCCTTGTATCTCTTTTCTCCTAGTGCCTTCACCTCCCTGCTCGGGCACCAAGTCCCCATTGTCCCACGGGACAGGAATTTAAACTGCATCCGCCAAGGAGCAATCTGTGCAATCATGGAATTTTTACTGCTCGCCACGGCTGGTGACCTCTCAGGTTACCTCTTCAGCCAGTCCCAAGGGCACCAGGAGTGGGAACTGCCTTGGTGTGACAGCTGGCAGCTGGAAAAGTTGCCACTCTCCATCAGCAAAGGGCATCCCCTACCAACTTGGGGAGAGGTGAGGCAACTGAAAACTCTGGGGAAGCTCATCTGTCTCCTCTCTGGTACCGGCCTGGCATGAGGATCAGCAGCCCTGGTCCCGCACAGAAACTCCATCGCAGGGCGTTTATGCACATGCAAATAATTTTGTAGGGCTAGCTCGGTTGTTCTATTGCCTGGGGGTACAAAACGGAGCTTGCAGGTGGGGGGGTTTTCAGATATTGTGTGTGTTGCTCTGCCTTGCCGCTTTCCTCTTTTCTTTCTTACTTCCCCTTCCCGATTCTTTTAGTAATCTGGTTTCTACCTCAATTACGTGTCTGACTGGGCTGTGTGAGAAATCTGGTGCTCGGCTGCAGGGTGGAGGGTGGCTGGTGTTGGGAGCTCTCCGGCATTGTGGGGGCAGAGAAAGGGCAGTCTCTGGCCTCCTCTACATCTTGTAGAGAGAATTTTTGCCTACCCTGGGAATCCCTCCTTACGTTCAAAGCCGAGTTCCCGCTGCTGAAGGAAGGGCTGGACCTGCACTTGATTCCAATAACAGCAGACAGAGATTCTGCTGTGATTCCAATAACAGCAGACAGAGAAGTCTAGGACTGGAAGGGACGACTTGGTGCCTGGCTACAATGTCCATCATACCCGAACATGGCCCTGCTGGCTGGGGCTGATAGGAGCTGTGGTCTAAAACATCTGAATGGTACCAGGTTGCCCACCTCTGGTCTTAGAAACTTGGTCTTAGACCAATTTGGCCATCTTTCACAAACTGAATTTTTCAAAGGTTGTCTCCAGGATTAAAGTCAATTTTAAAGCCAGATGGTGCCAGCTTCACAACCAAAAGAGGCTTTCAGGAGCTTGAAGCTTTTGATCTGTATTAACTTCATAGCCACAGCGTTGAGGTTAGCCTGTACTTGCAACATTTTCCTGTTTGTAACCTGAACCGAAAACTCTTGGGTTCCCCTTATAACACTTTATGCTCTTTCTCCTTTCGTTTTTCCCCCACTTTATCTAATTCTGTCCTCACCCACTCAGCCACCATTTTAACTTGTTAAAGCTTATTATATTTCCTATTACTTTTCTATTCCACCTTACTTCCTCTTATAAGGAACACAAATCAGCTTACTTGGTTCTGTTTCTCTCCATTTTTCCTCACAGCAACCCTGTGAGGTAGGCTAGGCTGGGAGTTGGTGAGTGACCAAAAGTCACCCATTGAGCTGCATACTGGGACTAGAACCTGGATCGCCCGAGTCCCAGTCCAGCACTCGAACTACTAATCCACATTGGTGCACCTCAACAGAGGTTTTCATGGCCTCATGGCTTATAGAATCAGAGAATCAGAGAACAGTAGTGTTGGAATTACCTGGCTTCTCAATTACTGGGTTCCCAAATCCCCCTACTCTCCTAATCTCCATTTTCCTCTGTCTATATTATTAGAACTAATGAACTGATCCACTTAAGAACAATATCTATAAAAATAAAATCTATACTTCGGGGAGTTTAATGAGTGTTTAATCCAATTTCTCCCTTTCAGAAGGTGCTGGATCCCACTTGGCTGAAATGCTGCTTTGCTGAAGAATCTGCGGGATCTTGTGCCACGACTCTGGCCAAGTCTGCTCTTGATCCAGCGTTTACAGCTGCGGGTGCTCCCAGAGGACCTGGCACGTGCATGTGAACGGGGACGGGCAGAGACCAGCATGAGCCCAGGATGCGGCAGGCACACCCAAAACGTGTGTCGCTCCACGTTCCCCAGCCTCTCCAGGCAATGGCCTCCAGAAGCCCCCCATCCGGTGGGGTGGCACACGCCCTTCCAGAACTGCCCCATGTGCAGAGGACATTCCGCTGCCTCCAGCGGCCAAGATGCCTCCACCACGCCGGTGCCACATATGGAAGCCCACCGGGCAGGAGGTGGAGCGTGTTCGCTTGCAATGGGACCACGTCCTCTTAGATGCCAGGCGCATTTGTCTTGCTCCTGCACACACATGAAAGGCTGAGCCCTGGCACCTCTCTGAAAGCAGCCTCCCAGCCTTTCCCTTGGCAAACCAGGACACCCTCTGGAGCGCCAGCCCTCTAATGCCAGTACGTACCCAGCTCCCCGCTTGTGGGCAGCCCTGCAAACCTTTGCATTGTCCTGATGGCGCTGATCAGTTCTTCTGCGCTTTGAAGACGGGCAGCTCTAGGGTCTGGTTGAGGGAGGTACCCATAGTGGATCAGCCAGTCCTGCGAGAGCAGAATTTGAAGAGCTTGATTAGTCGGCAGGCAGGCAGGCTGGTATAAGTGCTGTTATCCCCATTTATGGTTTCCCTAGCAAGGAGATTGTGCCATGTGACGAGGAGAAGTTCAGAAGGTGCTGCTTTTGACCCCAGTGTGAAGACAGCCTATCATACAGCGGTGCCTAGGGACCTGGAACGGCACTTGGGAGACAGGTGTTCGAGCCCCTGATTGCCCACAAAGCCCACGGCGCAACTCTGGGGCTCTGCCTCAGCCTGGCCTCCCTCTCAGAACTGCTGAAAGATCCGGTGGGGAGAAGGAAAGGCTGTGCATAAATGCAGCCAATATGGAGGGAAAATGGCACCTGCTGCAACTGCAAGGATCCTGCCAGAAAATACATGGCAAATCTAAAGAGAGCGGCAGGGCAGTCTAAGAGATTTTGCTGCATGCGGTTGACAAGGTGCCTTCCTGGTGCAGCACCTGCTGCGTACAGAACCTGACCAAACTGGCAGGGAAAGTTGACTTATTAAATTTATATCCCACCTTTTCTTTTTTTCAAAAAATAACTCAAAGTGGCTTTTATCAGTCTTTCTGCTCTCAATCTTATCCCCACAACAACAACCCTGCTAGGCAGGTTGGGCTGAGAGTCTGTGACTGGTCCAAAGTCACCCATGGGACTGGGACTCAGGTGATCTACTAAAAATCTAGATCACCTGAGACCCAGTTCCATGCTCTTAACCACTACATCATACTTATTATAACTTTAAGCTACCTGATAACAAGCATTATTAGGTGTTTTTAAAATACATTGCCAAATACATTTGTAATTATGAGATATTCTTCCCATCTTAAGTGGATTCCTAATTTCTTCCTTGGTTTCTTTGAATAGCTGGCTTTCTATTTCCTTGAAGGGAAATGACAGAGGGCTCCTAGTGCTACCAATCAAAATGTCTTGGTTTTCCAAGGAAAAAGGAAGTGGTTTTTTCAAGGAAAAAGGAAGTGGTAGAGAGAGAAAATGAAAGACATTGTTGGGCAGACCCGGCAAAAGTGTGCGAGAGAAGCACCCCTTCCTCTGACTTTAGGGGCTTCATATACAATTTTCACCCATTTCTGCAATTCTGGAGGAAAGTCAAAGTTGCTCAAAGTGGCAAAGATAAATTTTCACTTAATTTGATGGAAGGCCTTCTCTGCATCTAAAGAGGTAAGCGCTCCTGTGCACAGACTTTCCTTATTTCCTTAATGCAATCAGACCTACAGTGATCTGAGATTGTTGGCCCCATTAATGTATCCCACTAGCTCCAGTTGGACTTATAATTGTACTCTGTCAGCCAGAATTGTGGTTACTATTTTGATGTCAATAAAATAGGCCAGTAATGAGCACAGAAGACGTGATTGCTGTTAGGTTTAGGAATTACTGTAATATAAGCATCACTGAGTGCTGACAAATGAAAACCTGATGCAGAAAACTTAAACAAATGGAAAGTTTGGGAACTAGAATGCTGGAAAATGTTGTATCCACTCAGTTGGAAATCTATCCAGACCTGGTGACTTCCGCTCTTTCATATTAGTTATTGCTTTTATAATTTCCTCAGTGCACAAAAGCTGTTTGTAGCCAGCCTTAATTTTAAAAACGGGAAACAGGGACTTCGCCTTTAAATGGGGAAACAGCTTACTTTTCTGAGATAGTTCTGAGATAGATGTTCTTTTTCAGCAACCACGGAGTGGCTCTCTTTAGAATATATTCTTGATTCAGGATTTCCCCTGATCACCACGCACAATGCTTCTCCATTCTCATGGGGCCTGCCTAGACTTTACATTTATATTAGATTTCCTCCCATGTCACAGGTTTGCATTCCCCAAAGAATGCTGGGAATTGTACGATTAATTAACACTGGTAACCTCCCCCCCCCCCCCCCCGCCCGTCCCCGGCCTCAGTCTTCTGCAGAGGTAGCACCACGTGGCATGGAGACAATTTCTGCTTCTCTAGGAGGGTCTCTCATGCCAACAAGGATCTCCTCATGATACGGATCAACCTTCCCCACCCTCTTTCTCTCCAGATGTATTACAATTCCCACCCTCCCCAGACAGCATGTGAAACCACAGAACACATTTCCATGTCCTCCCCGGGTTTCTCAAGCATTTTCTTTCCCTCTTTTGCAAGCACAGCCATGCCCCAAAATAGGCTTCATTGAAAGCACAATGGAAGTATGAGAATTCGCTTGCTAAATGCAAACAGGTGCTCCCGGCTGATGTATTCCAGGAGTTTGGAGCCTCAGCTCCCACCAGCCCAAGTCAGCATGGTTAAGGGTCAAGGATAATCAAATCTGTGGGTCCAAATCATCTGAAAGACCCCAAGGTTGGTAGTAGGATGCTAAAGATGAGACCTGATTTATACAAAATGCAGGTAAGACAGCAAGACTGTTCTTGGATTGTAAACCTTCAGACTATGGGCTTCAGCACCTGGGGTTCCAATGTCAATGGGGGAGTGTATCCACTCTGGGTTTCAGCCTGAACTGTAAAGGAGCTAGCCATGCTTCCAAATCTACTTTGGCAACAGGGTTCAGCACCATAGAGAGCTCCTTAGAAGCTCAGACTAAAAGCCCAAGTGCATGCACCACGCCACTGGAGCCACCGGCTACCTCTAGCTACTGAGGAAGGGAGATATTCCCCTTTCCCCACAATACAGGAGAAGGGCATATGCAGCATTCTTTCCTGGAAGGACAGGTCTTCACCTGTCTGGTTTATACCTGTACTTTACCAGTTTATACCTGTACCTTGTTTAATTATGGACTTACAGTCTATTTTTAAGGTGCAAAGCTATGAATGTTTAGATAGAAAAGAACTGGGAAATGCTGGCATTTTAGGACTGCTTTTGGTTCAGACATGAATATGATTATACCCTTAGCTTATTTTCCACTTTAATTGCTTTTTACCTAAGTGCTCCAAATATCTGTGGGGAGAAACACCAGCTGGACGTTCTAATATATCTCAACAGAGAGATTGGTCTCAATAAAGAGACTAAGAAATCACAAGCAACGCAAACTAGATGCCAGAGAGAAGAGTCCTTTAGTAGTATCTTTCTTCCTGAATCAGGGATTTTGTATGTACAGTAGGGGAGCAGAAGGTGTGGCCTTCCAGGTGTTGCTGGACTCCCATCAGCCCCAGGCAGCACAGCCAATGGTGCAGCAGGGTGGAAGGTGCAGTCCCCCAACATCAGGGGCCAGAGGCCCCACCTTTCTTGATACAGAAGGACGTGGTGTCCGCACCTTCGAGTGGGGACTTGGGGGATTCCGTCTTCCTGTGATCCCCCTGAAATGGCACAGTCAAGGAGCAGCTTTGCAGCATGATCAACCCTCTGGATTTAATCTCGGCTCACACTGGCTGCTCTGCCTTTGAGCTCCCCTCACCACGGCTGCCTGCCCGAGCTTGGGAAAAGGCCGCTGCTGCAAGAGAGCACGTGCTTTCCAGAAAAGACCCCGGGTTCAATCTCCAATGGAAAAGAAAGAAAAGGCAGCAGTAGCAACCAGGGCCCCAGTCTCAGAGAAGTGTTGCCCCCTGGAGTCAAGAGCATGAGGCCAGATGAGCCAACGGTGCGGCTCAGTCTGCAGCCGTCCCATTCGGTCGCAGCAGAGTCGCTCGGGGTCTATGGGAGAGCGTTCTCGGCAGCACCATCTTGGCTGGAGAGCTCATTTTGCGAGCTTCATGCATTCTCGATTCACCACAGCCCCCTGCCCAGCTCAAAGCCTCCTTTGTTGCATTCCTCGAAGGCTGCTACGGAATCCAAGAGCCACCCCCTGGTTTCTCGGGACCCCCGTGACCTCCCCACAACCGCCCTTTTGCATCAGTTTCCAAGATGGGTCATTCTTCCTCCATCATCTATCTATATATATACACACACCCCCTGCTGTTTCCAGCTGGTGGGGTGGGAGTGGCCCTTGCCTTTCAGAAAGGTCAAACGTTGCTAATGGAAATTACTTTCTCGAGCACAAAAAGCAAATCCGAGTAGCGCAGCAGCAAGGTAACCTCAGTGGAGAATGGCCAGCTCCTGGAACCGACCAGCTCAGGGGGCAGCCACCTCCAGAAGCGTGCACAGGAAACTCGATGCAGGGAAATGATGTTGAGACTCCGTGAGTGTGTGTGTGTGTGTGTGTGCACGCGCGCGCCTGGCGGGTGAACGCAGGGGGCTCATTGCCATTTCCTGCCTCACCACAAATCCTTCCAGAAAGTGTTTATTAATCATTTATAGTAAACCACTTTTGGAAACGTACAGAACACTCTGTGGCACTGAATGTGTTCATGCACATAAGAAGCTCAAGCAACGGGCTGCTCTTTTGGCCATCTCATGGGCTAGGATTTAAGGAAGACCATCTGAAGGACCCTGCAGGACCAGAGCGGAGGGCCACCTGCTCCAGCCTCCTGTTTCCCATCCTGGCCAGGCAGGGGTCGACAGGCACCAACACGCGGGGCAGGAGCACAAGGGCCCATGAAGGGCATTCAGTGGCGCCCTTCTTCTGGAGGTCTTGCTAACCCGCAGTTTAGGACATGTGGCAGCTCCCAACATCCCACAGCCCGAATGCATTTCTGACCAAATATGCACCTTTAATTAATCTTTCCACTGGCAACAACTGAAGGCTTTTTTCATCTTAAGTGCCATGTGGAGGGGACATTTGGAGATGGAGAGGGACCGGAGCACAGGGAAGGGAACTCTCTCCTTGCAGCTGCTGGATGCTTGGAAAAGATCTGCCACAATGGCGCCAACAGAAAGAGTCTGTCCTAAGCTTAATTGTCCTTGGAGGTGCCGGGAGGTTGGAGGAGCATTTCTGCACATGGAAAGAGGGTTAACTCTTCCCTCCCCAGCTGCAACCCCCCTTGAAAATTGCCCCCCCAGTGGCAAGCGAAGAGTGTGGGGAAAAGTCAATTGGCACAACTGGACACTTAAGCCTATGGGGAACAGACCCACTGAAGGCCATAGGAAATAGATTTGGGGCTGGGATCCTGGCGGCCAGGTCTACCAATGGCCCTTGTCCAAGGTAGGGAAAGTGAGAAATGAATGTGCTTCACATTTCAAAGTAAACTTACCAACTTTTTTCCAACCTACCTATGAACCAGAATGCAGCTATATTCAAACTTTTGAGAATCTTGCAAAGCAATATATACATGCAAAAATGCACATATTACTAAGAAGTGTACAGAAATGTTTAAATTATGGGGAAATCCATGCAAAAATATTATGGAAATATATATATTGTGCACCCGAACATGCATATATTACAGAAAAATGTGCATAAATATTTTAGGAGGAAATTGTTTCTAAACAAAGGGGAGGAGAACCTATGTTTGAAAAAGTGAATGCTTTGTATGTATGTGTGTATATTTTGAAAAGTGTGTATAAAAATTTGCACCTTTTGACAAATTTGCATGAACATGCAAACAAACCTTTGTGAGGAATTATACAAAATGACCACAAAGTGATGTGTGAACAGGACAGAAGAGATGGACAGAAGAGTTGAAAAATGGAGTGAAACTGAAAATGGCAGCCAGCTGAGAGACCTGGTCTTTATGATGGGCCTGGGAACATGAGGTTCTCTGGATGAACTCAGATCAAATCCAAACTAGTATGGCCAGTGACCAGGGAGGATGGGAGTTGAGTTCTCTTTATCTGGAGGGCCCTTTGCTTCATCATCATCATCATCATCATCATCATCATTAATGGTCTGTTTCATTTCTCTACCACCTCACAGCCAAAGCTCTCTGTATGGTTATGAAATTGTCTGATCTCCCTACACCCATCTAGTTAATCTCACAAATTATGTGTTACACAGATGTAAAGGAATCATGGAACAGGAAGAGTGAAGCCCAGCTCATCCGATCTGCTGTCTCAGTCCAGCATCCATCACCAAGACTATTGTGCCCCACAGGCAGCGGCTAGGTGCACTGCAAACTGTAGAACAGTTGAAGGTTACTCAAGCTAGTGAGCCAAGCTGCATGTTAAAGAAATGAGTAATAAACCCACCCTTCTTTAGCTAGTCTGAATTTTGGCTGGGGAGAGGGAATTACATCCCAGCTGCCAGTTATGGCTGGCAGTCCCAGCACAGGAGCCAGGGTTGTGCCAACAGGGTGCTCAAACATTTCCTGTTCCCTCACATGGCCCTTTGGGATGTGGGTACTGGGATCCAGACACAGAAAGAAGAACTGTTCCTCTGACTCACTGAGGTGGTTGGACTTTCCCAGCTGCCACTACTGCGCCTAGAAAAATGCTTCACATGTTCAGAGAGGAAATTCATGGGTACATGCAGGGCCTGATGCCGGCCCCCCACATCTCCTTCTGTGTGGGACGGCCCTCTGTCCGTGGTTTTTGTCATCAAAACTTGGGGAGGAAGGCTCTGTCTGTGCCTGTCTGTATTTAGGCTTGCCTTGTTTTGACACTAAAGGGAAGGCGAGGCTGTGCTGGGCCACAGGCCTTATCACCCGCAGCCCACAGAGTCGGCAGCCATGCTGGCTGGAGATTATGAAGCTCATTTTTGTTCATGACATTTATATCCCACCTTTTCCCCTCCAGGGAGCTCAAGGCAGCTCAAATAATTCTAGTCCTTCTCTCAATCTTCTACTATAAGCAACCCTATGCGGTTAGTTGGGCTAAGAATCTGGCCCAAAGTGAGCGTCACGGCTGAGTGGGGACAAGAACCCCGATCACCTGAGTCCCAACCACTTAACCACTATACCACACTGCCTCTCTGTTTCCCCTGGTTTCAGTACCCTTGCCACTTCCTTTGCCTCTGCTTCTCACACTGTTGTTTTATCTTACGAGTGGCACAAGAAAAAATTAAAGAAAAACAGCAGTGCTGCTCAGGTGAAGATTTGGTGACAGGAAAGGTTGCCACTGACTTATTAAAAGTACAGGGGCCCCTCCAGGAAAAAATAGGGACACCTGTGGTAAATCGTTCCAGAGGCTCCAAGTAGACCAGTTCAGCCAGTATAGCAGCTGAACTTATAGCAGTAAGCTGAAGCGCTCTCGGGGTGTGCTTATTATGTGTCACACAGATGGATTTGGAAGCAAAACGCATTCTGCACATGCTCGGGGGTATGCACCATGCTGAGTCAGGTAACACTGAAGGAACCTGTCTGGGTTTTCATCCTCAAGAACAGCGGGTGCATGCCCTAAGCAATCTCAGCGAAGGAAGTGGCCATTGCCAGAGCAACGGCTGTTCATGGATGAAAGCCTTCCTCAGTCTGACGCCTCCAGATGTGCTGGAGAACCACCCAAACGTCATTACCCAGCACTTTACAGCCTGTCTTGCAACACTTCTCGAGGACATCGGCTCTGGAGAGTGCTTGCTTCTGGAGTTGCCCAAAGCACAGACTTGTCTCTTTCACAATATTAGCACTGGTGTGTGTGCATGTAATCCACTTGCTTGAAAGTTAATTGGATGAAAAACTTTGTCCCGCTGATATTGCATTTCCTTTTTCAGTGCTTTTAGGAGTATGGGAAACATATTTCGCATGGGAACAGCAAACCTCCATGAAGAAAGGAACCACGACTTTCTTAATGAACAATCCAGTCTGGGGTGATTTGTGAGATAACAAAACTAAAACTAAGAAAAGGATCCGCATGGGCTGGTTTATAGGAACCCAGTCTAAGCATCCCTGAGTGCATGTCTATGTTGAACGGACGTCTTTTCTTTGAACCTGCTCTGCACATTCCAAACACTCTCTTGGACCTAAAAAAATGGATTTTTCTGATGCCATAGCAGGGAAGAGCTTCTAAAAATGATTATTACACTTCTCAAATGAGAAAAATCAAGCAGATGGAGGTGGACCCTTCAGCTCTCTTCTAGTAACAGGATAAAAGGTATCTTTTTCTGTGGGTTTAGATGCTGGAGTTGAGGGGCAGGAATAAAATCCAGAGAACTGAACATAAACGACCAAGAAGGGCAATTTACCTCTAGATCGCTGATGTGGGAGAGGGGAAGGAAAGAAGGAAGGAAACTGGCGCTAAAGGGATCAATGATTTCCCTGCTGCAGGCAGTTTGTAACGTGAAACCTCAGAGATGAGTCGATGTGCGAAAGGTAGCTTCTAACTCCGTGGCAATCCAGGAGCCCTGTGCTCACTATTCCAGATCCATTCCTCCATTGGTCTTTAACTTTCTATGGAAATTGTTTCACAGTGCCCCCCAGCCCTTTTACACCCCGTTTCTTCCCAGGTTTGTCATGCATATCCGCACCCCAACTCTAACCCCCTGAACCCCAACAATTTCAACCTACAGAAACCAGCTGTGCAAGCTTTTCCTCTCCCTTTCCCTAACCCTAACTCGAACCCTTTCCCTTTCCATTCGTGACTTTTCTCTTTCCAGAAAAGAAAACAACCTCTGACTCTCAGGACTCTAATTTCACCCCAGTTCCCTAGACTCCCCGCTTTCCTTGCCTTCCCAGCCCAAGCATCCTGGACTCACCACCGCGCCCTTGCTGATCTCGTTGGCCCTGGGAGAGCCTGCCCGAGCCTGGGGGACGAAGCAGAGGGAAGCCAGAAGCACCGCCGCCACCAGCATCCTAGCCGGGTCTACGATGTCTTCTGCACAGCTTCCCCCACCCCACTTCCTTCTCCGTCCCTCCCTCCCTCCCTCCCCCATCACCCTGCACTTCTGCAGAGCAAGCGGGACTCCTGGAATTACATGACGGAATCTGGGGAAAGCAATCACGGAGCCGCCCCAAATCCATTTCCCATGGACCCTGTCCAGTCTATCCCCCAGAGGCCTAAGTGCCCATTGAAGCCAATCAACCCCCCTTCCTCAGCACAGCTTAATTGCATGGAGCAAATTTCAAGGGGGATTGCTGCTGGGGAGGGCAAGGTGAAGCCCCCCCCCCTGCATGGACATTACACGGAGAGGAAAAATACCTTTCCCTGGTGCCAGTAAGAGGTTTTTTCCTTAGTTGCCATGAATTGGAGAATTTTGGGGGTCGTCAGAGTAGGGAATGGGGAGGGTTATACACCACGTCTCACCTAAATCCCCCCTCTGCATAGCAATGTGGCTTGTGGTGGGGGGGGAGCCTTCCACTGCCGCCAACGCAAAAATCTCCCCTTCTTTAAAATGCCCATGGAGCTTGTTGTTAAATCTACAGATTTGTTTTGTTTTTCTTGGGTGGATGGAATTCAGCCAATAAAGGTTAATCTTTGTCACTACCTGTTGAAGTTCGGCCTGCCATCACAACAGATGGCGGGGGCAGGGTGATGGTGGTGGTTTAGCAGCGCCACTAAAACTACAGTGCCAAGTAGTCTTACCAAGGAGCGGTCTTCAATGTACCCAGCAAGCTGTGGGAGGAAGAATGAATCTTCCAAGGCAGAGGCAGAGACCAAACGGATCATCCCATAAGTGATGGATTTTAAGTCTGGATCACACGCACACATGTGCACGTACACACACACCCTATACAAAGGAGGCTTTTTGGGTGCTGCATCCAGAAATACTCTCCAGAGGCAAAGGGGCCTTGCCAGATTAGCTCCTGCCACCGTCCTGGAAGGTTTCAGCTCTAGGACCAAGGAATATTTTACAAAGTACTGATTTCTGCTCCAGAGGAAGCTGCATTGCACCATGTGGGAGAGGTCTCCACAGATACATTGACAAACACCCTATATATTGCCATATATAGGTTCACACATATATGGCAATCACTTGAAGGTTCAGCAGCGGAACTATTGAAATATGTTGCACTTGAGGTGATGCAAAATTCAACCTATTTTGGCAAACAGCCCTTGTCGCAAGGCCTTACATGAACTGATGGGTGCAATCCTGGGCAGGTTTAGAAAGAGGAAGAAAAAGATCTTACAGTTAGGATTTATCTGTGGAAGAAAAGGCTGATCTGCATGGATTCTTAGCTGAGGGGTGGGTGGGTCTGGAAATATTTATTTTTATTTCAATGATACCTCCCTCTTACTCCAAAGGGAGCACAGAGCCATTTACAATATTAAGAAAACATGTACCACTCAAACAACCATGAAATCATGTTTTCACACCAAAACTATTTAAAACAGTATCAGTGCAGCCTAAAATCACCAGCACAAACAGTTCAGAATTCAAATACTTACATAAATCAAAAGTTATTTGCAAATAGTGGGTTGGGGGAGCTGATTGTAGCCATCCTGAGAGGGAGTCCAGCAAATGACATTGAGTGTGACAGCGGCCCTTTCCAGACAGTGGTGTTTGTGTGTCTATCTGTGTTTATCATTAGTGTGGGTGTGCGAAAAAGGTATATGAAGACACATGCCAGTCATGGCTATGCTCATTTTGGGCAAGAGCCCCACAGCTATTTATTTACTATATTTATATCCCATTTTGTTTTCCTGCAAAGAGCGCAAGCTGGTTCACAGGAGCCTCCTCCTCATTCACATTTTATCCTCACAACAACCCTGCAAGGTAGGTTAGGCAGGGAGGTCCAGGTTCTAGTCCCCACTTGGCTGTGAAACTCCCTGGGTGACTTTGGGCCAGTCATGGACTCCCTGCCCAGCTGCCTCACAGGGTTATTGTGGGGATTTAACGAATGGAGCTATGTAAGCCCCCTTGGGTTCCTCACAAGAGTAAAAAGCAGAATAGAAATGGAATGCAACACAATAAGCAGCAGAGGCAGAACAGAGGCTTCGGCAAGGGGCGGCATAGAAATGTTATAATAACAACAACAACAACAACAACAACTGCGGAGCAGCCCAGACGGAGGGGCCACAGCTGGTGACGGCTGCATTCCCGCCTCAGCCCTGCCTGCGCATTTCTTCCCCACAGCATTACAGAGGGGCATGTGCACCCCGCCCCCCAGCTGCCTGTACATTGGGCTGCTTGTTCATGCAGGGAAACCAGACGAACCGTTAAACATCAACCGATGCATTAAAAAGATCACCAGCTGCCACCAGCAGCCCAGGAATAGAGGGAACTCTTAAACTGCTGCCAAAAAGAGGCCAAGGTTGGTGCTAGGCAGGCCTCACTGGGAGGGCGCTACCGGTTATTCCATAAACAGGGGGCCACCAACAAAGAGGCCCTCGCCCTTGCGGCCATCCTCTGACCCTCCCCCAGAAAGGGCACGTGGAGGGGAGCCTCAAAAGAAGTTGGCGGGCTCAGACTGGGAGAGACCCTCTTAGATGTTGAAGTCCCAAGCCATATAAGCTTGTTCAGGTTAAAATGAGTGTTGTGGATTTTGTGCTCGCAGCTTCAGGGCTGGGTATTTGCATCGTTTCCTGCAGATCAAAGGCCTGTTAATAGCAGTGCCCTTCCGTATGCTGCACAGGCAAGCGAGCCGGTCTGTACGGGCAGCCACTGCCGCCAGCTTGCCTTATGCCTGCCTGACGCTTGTGCCCGCCGAGACCTTTGCCCCCACTGTACTTTTTAGGGTGCAATCCTATGTGCTCTAGATAGAGGGGGAAAGCACAGCTCTTACCAAGCCCCGGGTTGTAGGATGTTTGTTCTGCCTAAACACAGACATGATTGCAACCTTAGTTGCTCAGAGCTGCTGCAATGTATTCTCTCCCCCACCCTGCCCACACTCACACAGAGTAGAGAGCGCTTAAAACATCCCCAAGAGGATTTGTGTCAATAGCAATAGCACACCCACCTGGTACGCAGCATCCTCGTAAAACAACCTGTTTTCCTGGTCAAGGGTGGGCAACCTTTTTCAGTCCAAGGGCCAAATGGCAAAAAGAGAAAGATGCGTCTTTGTGTGAGTGTGTGTGTGTGTGTGTGGGGGGGGGGTTCTGTGTGCGGGCAGGGCCAAAAGCAACACAGATGCAGCTAAAGATGATTATTATCTTTTACCGCCTACTAAGCCAGACAAGGATCCTGCATGTTTCCCAGAAGTAAGCATGAATGAATGAATGAGTCAACCGCACTTTCCAACAGCATCCTGGGTACCCACCCGCTGCCTGTCTGCCCACGTACCACAAGCCATTCTCCGGCACCCAAAATGCCCATCACAATTTTTTTTGCAACAGCTTATGCCCTTAAACACCCTCTTAGATTTCTGACCGGTCATCAGAAATAAGCAAATGCACCCAGATGGCACCACCGGCAGGAGTTTCTCCATTCAGGCATTTTGTAGAACCAGAGGGCTCACCAAAAATATTGATGCTCTGTGGGGGGAAAAAAATCACTTGTAATCTGACTCCCGAAGGTCACTGGATGCTGCCGCTTTCCTAAAGGGTGTTCTGCAGTCCCATGGAGACCTGTGCGGAGTTGTGTGCGAAATAAACACGCACATGTTTGCCATCTCTCCAGTCTGCTCATCTTCTCCAGCGGTGCAAGATTGTCCCAATGCTCAGGTGATTGTGCTTTGTACCTGGGGAAATGTGATGCTTTCCGAAGTTTGTTTGTTCATTGCAATAGTTCCTGTTATAGTGCAATTACAAGAACATGAAGCTCACTTTTAATTTTCCTTTTTCAAAGAGTCATGTTTGTTTATTCATTCAGGGTTAGATCCAGACCTGGTCATACTCCAGGAGACCCACCAAAATCAGTAGGACATAATTTAGTCATGACATACATGAGTCTGGATTTCAGCAGGCTAATTCAAATGGAGAAATTTGAAGAAGACTGAGACTTGGGCAGCCACAGAGGAACTAGAATAGGTATCACATGAAAGGATGTTTGGCTGCGGACCAGGGCCAAGATCACCCACACTATTGTATTCCTGATCACCATGTATGGCTGTGAAAACTGGACAGCAAAGAAAGCTGACAGGCAGAAAACAGATGCTCTTGAAACATGGCACAGTGCATGTGTGTTTTGACTTGCTCTGTTTCTCACAATGTCTCCAGTTTCAGGGAAGGAGAGAACTAGACGCAGGGTGCCTGCCAGAGCACTGCATTGTTAAAGGCATGAACTGTAAGCTGCAGGTTTAAATCTCAGCTCTGCCATAAACAAAGAGGTAGCCATAAGCACGCCCTTTTCTCTCACTGTCAGCCTTCACCTGTAATGTGAAATAAATAACACTGGCCTACCTTTCAGGGTTGTTATATGACTCACTGCAGTAATGTTTGGGGGAAGGGCCCCAAACTGTTCAGTGGCTGAGTACCTGCTCCACATGCGCAAGGTCCTGGGTTCAGTCCCCAGTGTCTTCATTTATGGAAAATTGGGTAGCACCTCTTCCAGAGACCTTGGAGAACCATGCAAGCCAGAGTACATCATAGTGGGTTAAATGGAACAGTCACCTTATGTGGTACAAGCCACCTTTGTCGATGAAGGCAGGTAAGTGGTGAGAGGCAGTGTGGTCTAGTAGTCAGAGTGTTGGACTCGGACTAGGGAGATCTCGGTTCTAATCCCACATGGCCATGTAGCTCATTAGGAGACTTTGGAACAGGGACAGAGTCACAGCCTGGCCTGCCTCCCAGGGTTGTGGTCAGGATTAAAAAGGGAGAGGGGAGGCACAGGGGTACCTTCGGGTTCCTTGTGGGAGGACAAAAAGCAGGACACAAGGCCAGCGGGGTTTCGCTGCCTATTTCCTGATTCCTGCCTCGGACACCAGATTCAGCCAGGCCTCTGTTCACTCTGCACAGTGGAAGAACTGGCTCGTTGGAGATTTCCCAGGAGGCGAGGGGGGAGGAACAACAGGTAAGGGCGTGGAGGAGGGAGGAGAGACAAGCGGAGCGTCTCACCTGCGTCTCACCTGCCGCAACTCCTGGGAGGGCGGAGGCAAGAATGGGGAAATAAACAGCGAAACCCAAGCGGGAATGAAGAACAGAAGAAGAGGAGGAAAAAGGGCAGCCCGGGAGTCCTGGTGGTGGGGTGGCCATTGACTGCTGGCTTGTGCTGGAGCTCAGCGTGGAGTGTCTCCTACCTGGCTAGGGCTGCTCACCTGCGCCCTGCTCTCGCGGAAGGCGTCTCCTCCCAGCGGGGCGCAGAGGCGCCCAGGTGCCCTGGTTACCAACCCTCTCCCTCCCCTGCCTTCCACCCGCTGAGGAATCGCCGCTCTGCCGGGGACTCGGGCGCGCTGGCCTCCCGCCTCTGCCCAGCCTGCCCGCGGCACGACTCCCGCCAGTAGCCGCCGCCGCCGCCGCCGCCCGCGGACCCCATGGCCGCCGCCGCCGCCACGTGCCCCGAGGAGGAGGCGGCCCTGCGGACCCCCTTCCCGCTGACGCCGCCGCCCGCGCTGGGGGACGAGCTGTACCCCTTCGCGGGGGAGCGGCCGCCCTCGTTGGCCGGCGACGCGGCGGCGGGGGAGCGCGACCCCGAGGAGGACCTGGAGGTGCAGCTCCAGCGGAAGGAGCAGGACCTGCTCCTGGCGGCCGAGCTGGGGAAGATGCTGCTGGAGCGCAACGAGGAGCTGGAGCGGCGGTGCGAGGAGCTCACCAAGGAGCACCTGGAGACCAAAGAGGTGAGGCGGCCGCGGGACCGGCGCTTCTCTGGTGCGCCATCGCGCAGCGCAGCGCAGCGCAGCGCGCTTGGGGCTCGGGCCACCTCAGGGCGTCTGCCTCCCGTGCAAGGTCCTGTGTGGACACGCAGCAGCAACTCTTCCAAAGACTTCTTCTGCTTCACGTACAATACTTACACGGAGCATGCGGCCCCGATCCAGCCTTTGGGGAGGGGGGTCCTCAGAAGCCCCCCCTCCCCGTTACCCGACTCCCAATCATTTCCCAGCCTGGTGCCTTTTCTCATTCTGAACGGCCAAATTGCCTTTCTTGAGGTCTTGTTGCTGGCACGAAGAGGCTTAAGGCACGATCCTATAAGCATGCTTTGGTGGGAAAAAAGTCCTGCAGCTTGAGTTGTAAGATCTTGTTCTCCCCTAAATGAGCACAGGATTACATCCTTCAGCTCAAATAAGTATTTCGGCCTCTTCCCTTTGCCTTTGGCTCTGCTCACCTCTGGATCCCGGCTGCTGAGACAGATTCTGGCGTTGAATTCAGCCCTTGCGGTCTAGCGGCCCTGCTCTGTGTGAGTCTCTTTCATGTGCATAGAACAAAGGTGGGAATCGTGTGCCGCCCCCCCCCCACCCCCCAGGCATTGGCAAAGTGCTGCACCCATCCAGCCAAGCCGCTGCTGAGAGATTATGCAAGTCGCAGTCCGACTCATTCCCTCTCTCAGGAATAGCAGCTGCCGCTCTGGGAACACACCATTTCCGACATGGAAATTCTTTCCTCGCTGGCAAAGCAAGCCTTCCCCCTCTGCTGAGAGGGCACTGGCGTTCCGGCCCCTGGCCCCTCCAGAGCTCTCTCCTTGCCGAAACTCACATGCTTTCAGCCCCCTCGCTCTCTCTGTTCCATCTCCCTTCTTAAGTAACCCCCAAGGCCTTCACCTGGAGTGAAATTAGCACTGGCTAAGTGACCTCTGGGCAAGATACCTGTGGCAACTGGCTGAACCAGTTTGGCACAAAGAAGGTCCCAGCCGAGGTGGAGCTGCTAACTTGATGGATGATTACTGAGCGAGTGCGAAGGAAAAACAGTGTGACCAAGGAAAAACAGTGTGACCGAATGGAACAGAACTCGGTGTGAGTCACCTGCCCCCAAAGCACCTCACCCACCGCTGCTATGCTGAGACCTAAATATGATGGTGGCTTTCAGATTGGTATGGTGTCAGACGGCCATGGCTGTTTTAAGGACCGGCCAGGCAAGGGCTGCTCCGTAATTCTGAAACCATGGAAAAGTCAAGCTCAATTTGTCACAGACCTGTTGAGTCACAATTAATGGTGGCCTCATCCTTGGCGCTGATGGCCCGTTCCAGAGCAGAACCCGGGGTGTGCCTGCCTGGCATCGGGCCCAGCGGCTTTCCCCTCTCGGTTGTATGTCCTGTGACACCACTCTGGAGGAAGTAGACACAGAGCCTTTGCTAGGAGGACTGATTTGGGAGGGGGAAGGCACAGGTGGGGTTTAATTTGAGCCTGGGCAGCTTCGCCTTGCTGGATGTGTCAGACACAACCACTCACAAGACCGGAGCACCTGATCTTCTGAGATTCCCAGATTCCCTCTGAGCCTGGAACACAGGACCGGGCCTTACCCTGAGTTACGCCCTTGCGCCATTCGGCCCAGTATTGTTGACATGGGCTCACAGCTTTAGGCTGGACCCCTTCCTTGCCTTAACTGGAGATCTGGGCTTGAAGCCACGGCCTTCTGCCTGCAGAGCTTGGTATTCCCCCATGGAGCTGCAGCTGGCCCGATAGCTCAAGGGCAGAAGCAGAGGCTCCATTCAGATATTGTGGCCAGGGGCTGCATCAGAGGGCAGGGTCTACAGATATGGATTCCAGAAGGGCATGAGGAGCATAGCTACCCCTCTGCTTAGACTGGGACGGGCAACTTTGGCGGGCCTGGGGGCCATTCTTGCCCCCCTCCCTTTGTTTGCCAGGCACACTCTGGAACCTACTGTCCACTCTGCAGGGCACCAAAGCAGAGGTCTGCTTGTTGTCGATCTTCTGCAGCAAATGTTCAGGTCCTACATGTTCTCAGCCAAGATTTGGCCGCCTTATGATTTTGTAGCCGTAGAAATGTGGATCTTTAAGGGTTTCTTAGAGGTGAACTGCTGGAAATTGGAGGCACATCAGCAATGCCTTTGTCATCACTATGAATTTCAGTAACGGGGGGGGGGGATCTGGGGTACCGGTGCCATGAGAGGTAAGGGCTGCATGTGACCCATAACCTGCCTGATGACCACCCCTGATTACTTTGTCACGTATGAATGTATATGACTGCAGGTCGATTCAGGGGAGGAAAAATGCAAGGTAAGATTTTGCACTGCATGATAAATTACAGCCAAAAGATTACAGAACAGCATTATCGCTTTCTTATGTAATATATGCTTACTTTGGGGTGGAGATGAGAACAGTGGAAGGCAGGAAATAGTCATATTTATGTGTGGAGGTTACAAAAGCTGAAGCACTAGCACTGAGACTGCAAGTTTTTAAAGTTACCTGAAATGAATCCAATGGATCCTTCTAGTGGAAATGGCTTTTCGTCCATGTTCAGTTTCATGGTTTCCAGTTCCATTTTATTGTCTCAGAACAGCCTTCCCTGCCCTTGTATACTCCAGGAGCAACGGATTACAACTCCCCTCATGCACAGGCAACATGGCTAAAAGTCAAGGAAATATGGGAGCTTTAGTCTAACATATCGGGAGAGCACTCGGCTTCAGAACACTTTTTTGGGGAAATCCCAAATGACAATAGCAGGCTACATGGTTACATGCAGAAGGTCTCAGGTCCAATCCTGGCATCTCTGGCTGAGAAAAACCTCCCACCTGAAACAGTGCAGGGTTCATCGCCTGACATCAGAAAGACTGAGCAAGGTGGACTAGTGGCTTGACTTGATCTAACACAGCTTGTTATACCCTGTCCTGTGTTCCAGTGAGGCCCTGTCTTCCAGCACAGCCAGCTCTGTTCATGCAGCCCCAACGGAGCCACATGTTGCTCAGCTTTGGGCTATTGGGTGGGATATATCAAACAGATAAGCTTGCTAAACTCTGAGTGCAGTGCCTGTCAATCTTAAACTCTCTTTGCAAGAACGTATATGAATAATGAGAAGAATAATGGATGGGGTACCTCTGGGTGTTCTTGGTAGGAATGCAGTCTTAAGCATAACACTGAGTACTTGTAGTATATCTGGCTAAACCTGCACTGGATTGTGCATTAATACCCCTGCCCCCCCCCCCCCAGTCCTGTGCCTTCCGGCAGTGTTGGACTTCAGCTCCTGGCAGCACCAGCCCATATGGCCAGAGGCGCAGCTCAAAACATCTGCAGTGCATTAAGGTTGGGGAAGGCTGCTTGACATACATTCTTCCATTAAGTCTTACTCCCATCCTGCAAGACAGGCTAATACAGAAGACCGGGCGGCGGGGGGCTATGAGAGGATGGCTTGCCAACCTGAAATGGGATTTGAATTCGCGGCACCCTGTCTCACAGCCTCTTGAGAATTATTCTGTCCAGGCTCGCTGCCTTCGATACCAGCTTCCCCTCTTCTTGGGCTAACTGTTCTCACTCTGACTCTCTCAGCGCCTCGAGCAAGAGAAGCACGAACTCCGCCTGCACCTTGAATCACGACAGGGCGAGTTCGAAACCCGGGTGGCGGAGCTGGAGGCCGACTTGAAGGCTGTTCAAGCCCAGCTGGGGCAGCAGCGCCTCGAACAGCAGGACACGAGCCGGGAAAGCTCCCAGGCTGTCTTGGACCTCTCCGAACAGAACCAGCGCTTGGTGGAGCAGCTCAGTCAGGTAGGTGGGGAACTTGGGGAACGTGGGATCCCTGAGCTGAGTCACCGAGGGAAAGAAAGGGTAGCAGTAGTTTCTGTAGCCCATGCCTTTGTTCTTCACCCAGGCAGGACTAAAGGTGGGCACACCCGGGCACCAGCTGGGGCCCGCTGTCAAGAGCAGCCTGGCTTTGCTCGTGCTGGGAAGCTTGCTTGTTCACCTGCCTTACTTGCTGTCACAGACAATGATGGTGGCAGGGAAGAGCATCCATGGACGGCTCGTTCCTCTCGCTCCCTGGCACTCGGCCTGCCACGCCAGCAGGCAGGAGCAGCTGGTGCCAAGGGGCAAGAAGGCAGCCTCCTCGCATGGCTTGCTCAGGGGCCCTCAAGAGCCACGAAACAGGCCACAGCGGCCGGATTCAGGCAGGGGTTAAATCAAAGCTGCTCCTGCTGCCATGCCTTGCCCGTTAGATCCAAGGGCATCAGCTCAAATTTATAGCTGCAATTTGTGCAGGCTTGGCTCTGAATGAGATTGCCAGAGGGATGAGGAAGTGCCATTTATAAACCAAAGGCCCACAGAGATCCAGCAAATGTTTAGCATGATGGGAATGAACTGGGACAGGGTGCTATTCTGGGAGGGCGGACCACTGCACTGAGAAAAGGCACAATCCCTGTTGAAGTTACACAGCTTCCACAAGCATTCACATTACTCCTTCACATTACTCCTCCCACAATACACAGTAAAAACTCTAAACACAAGAACAGGGCAATGACTCCGGGGATGACCTGAACATAGGCAAGGCCGTGCCAGTTCAGACCAAAGACCATCCCAGCCTGGTATCCTTCCTGTGTCCCATTGGCCAACCAGAAGCTTCCAGAAAGGACCCGATGGCCAGAGCAGCTTTCATCTCATGTTCTCCAGTGCCTGGGATGGAACAAGGACTGGAAGCTCCTCCCCTTGCCATTTATTTCCAGTTCCACCAGGATAGGGGAGACCATCAAACTTTGGAGGCCGAGATCTCAGGGTTATCTCCCCTGTTTCCATCCACTTCCCTCTCTTGCAAAACAATCCATAAATGTTTAAAAAAAAAACCCCACACATCCGATACTAGCACAAAAAAGAAACTAGATAAAGTTGAGGAATGAATCATTGCAGAATTCATTTCCGGAACAGTGTGTGAGAGTGTGGCAAAATGGATACCACCCCACTTATTATTATTATATTCTCGTCAGTGGAAGAGCTTAGCATCTAGAGGATCCCTCCTTTGATCTCGGGCATCACATGGTTGAACTGAAAGGCCCCAGCCTGAAATCTGGAGAATCATGTCCAGTCAATGTGGCCAACAACAGTTGGTCAGACTGAAGGGCTGACTCTTTTCTTGAGCGGCTTCCTGCAACCAGGCAGGTTCATCACCACTGCAAAGGCGGGAGGGACGGAGGTGTGCCCAGCTAGACGTTTCCAGTACAGAACAAAGGATTCTTTTGAGACAGGCAAGCCATGAAGTTGAGACGGCACTTTCTATTTTTGCCATCCTACCAGACTGGCAGGTTTCCAAGAAGATAGTGAAGTAATGGGTTCAAATAAGCAAGATAAGTCCTAGTGAAGTGCTCTGTACCAAGAGATGTGATCTAAAGACCAGATCCTGATTCAGCATTTAAAAGCCATTGGGAACGTTCCCTGAAGTCCTTTGCTTATGCTGGATTTTTCGCTGTGACTCTGCTTCTCCAGAGCCAGTTAAAGGGATGTGATTTCCCCCTACTTTCTGTGTACTAAGAATTGATACTCAGTCAACGAATCTGATACATCTTGTTTATTTTAAAAGCATATACTACTTTTCTGCTATTCTTGGCATCCAAGGTATCAAAAGTAAGAGGAGAATGAGGAGAATTTATTTTTCTTCAAAAAGTTCAGCTCTTTAGTCCTCAATCTGCTTGGGAAAGGGAAAATATGACCCAACTTGAAGAAGCCTGGGGTCTTGCTACTTATTCAAACCAGGAGACCCCCTGTCAAGTCAGGAAAAGTGTGGAGATATCAGATATACCCCTTGAACAGAGACTGTGCTTATGTGGGGGAGAAACAATGGAATTGCTGGAGCATGTTATTCTTTACTGCCCTCTCTATACAGGTGCTCGCCAGGAACTGTTATCCCCACTCCTTTCTAAATATCCCAGTTACTCCAATTCTTTTTATCTTAAGTTACTTTTATCCAATCAATCCAATTTTATCTCCTTGGCTACAGCCAAATACCGTTCAGTGGTTTGTACAGTGTGTGGTAGAATTAACCCTAAATGTTGTTAGATTCTACCAGAATGCTTTTACTTTCTTATTTTAACTATTGCAATTTTATCAGTACAGTATTTTTCTAATTTTTAACTAACTGTAGTTTTGCATTTTATTTATTGGCAGGCCAATGACCAAATAAGGAATTGATTGATTGGGTTCCCATCCCCACACAACCTCCCCTCCCCCCCCAAAAAGTTTTCCTACCCATGTAGAAGCAGAGTGAGGTTTATCTGCAAAGCGTCCCCTGCAAATGCTCAGAGGTACCCTCCTCCCTTGTATTTCTGTTTATCGGAGGTGAAGATCTTTTCCAACACAAGCACCAAATCTAGTTTCAGAGAAACCTTGTAGTGGCAGAAGCAAACCCAAAGAGGCAGGGAGCAAGTTTCCTTCCTATCTGAACTTCAAGCATACACTGCCAGTAACTTTCACCCTCTAGAATGGGGAAGGCACCCCATACAACATGCCAGTCCTCCAAATAATCTGTGTGGGGGGGAAGGGGGCATGGCCAAGGGAAGCAGGGTGGCCTTCTGGGGGGACCCCAGGAATGGCAGGCGTGGGCCCTGGCCGTGAGGTTCTGCATTTGCCTGCTCTCTGCTTCCCACTTCTTTTTTGACTGAGCCCTGCCTCCCATCGGAGACGGAGTGGGAAAGGCCTGCACAGGCTGAGGGTATTTCACACCATCGTCCAGGACGGAGGCCTTGTCTTGAAAAGGTTGGGGGCTGCGTCTCAGCCCTCGCCAAGGCCTGACGCCTGCCTGCCCGTGCCTCGCCCCTGCAGGTCTCCCAGCTGGAGCAGCAGCTGCGGGAGGACCTGACTGTGCTGCGTGGGGAGCATCGGACCTTGACCCTGAGCAGCACGGAGCACGCTGCCCGCGCCCAAAGCCTGCATGCCGAGGTGAGAGGAGCCCGACGGACCGGAAGGGCTTCGGGGGCCGGGTGGGCGCTGAACTGAGGCTTTGCAGGTCCGAGTTCCAGCCCCATGGGGCCATGAAGCTCATGGGTGACTAGGCCAGGCACAGACAAAATGGCACCGCCACCCTGTCCTGCCAGCCCGCCAGGAGGAGTGGCGTGTCTGGCAGCTGCATCTGACGTCCACACTGAGGACGGGACAGTGAACTGGGCAGGTTAGGGCAGCCTTACCCAACCTGGCACCCTGCACATGTGTTGAACTACAACTCCCAGCATCCCTGGCTGGGGAGGCACAGGAGGAAGGGCTTGAGGGGGCAGCTGCAGCTGCAGGCTCAGCAACCCAGTATGTGCTGCCTGAAAGCAAGGGCTGGGGGATGATGGGTGATGGGGCTGCTCCCACAATGCAGCTGGAGGGCACTGTGTTGGAGAAGGCTGCCTGAAGGGGGTGGCACATGGCTAACTATCTCCCAGGGGGTGAGAAAGTCAGTCATTTTAGTCTTTCTGCCTCAGACCAAAACATTGCCTCATCTATACAAGACCCCCAGAATGGGAGATGGGTGCTGTGGGAGGTAACCCTCTGTGCTGAACAGAAAATGGGAAAATCTGATGGGTCATTGCCCATTGTTGCTTTGTGCTCTTCTTCCCCAGAATCATATGCTGCAACAGCGGAATCAAGATTTGGAGAAACAGACCTGGCAGCTTCGGGAGGAGAATGAATCTGTCCAGGCACTGGTAGATACGCTACACGATAACCTTCTCCTCCTCCAGAAAGAGAGTCATGAAAAGGAGTTGCGGGTATGTGCTTGCATTACATAAATACTACGCTGGAGTGGAGCAATAGTTAGTATTTCTCCGGACTTTCATCCTACTTTTCTGCCAAGAAGTGTCCTGAATGACCTTTATCATTAGTCAAACAAGTATCTGTGGGCTTACAGCCTAAGAGATGACACACAAGGAAAGAAATGGGGATGGTAGAGGAAAAAGCTAAGTCCTTCAGCAGGACCGGTGGAATGGCCCCATTGTTTCTCTTCTGCCTCCCTACAGCCTTGATAGTGTTGATGTTCAAAGCTTAAGGTGGGAGAGGTGCATGGGAAACAGTTAATTAAAACAGATGAGTTGTGAGCTTCTTTCTACAAAGATTGAGGAAGAAGGATTAATTAAGAGCAGCATTACTTCATGGGGGAATTGTTCCTTGCAAGCACGTTTCATCCTTTATACTCTTTCTGTTTCTCATCCCAAGATGCGACAGGTAGAAATAGAAGCAGAAGAGCTCCGAACTTCCAACCGTCGTCTCCAGCATCAAGTCAAGGAGATGAAGGAAGAGATCCGTCTGCATGACTTAAACACCTCGGTCAACTCCATTCAGTCGGAGATTGAAAGTAGCTTGGAGGATGCTCCTGGAGCACCTGGAAAGGCTCCTAAGGTATAAGAGATGGATGAAGTGGACAGGGCTTTGCGTTCACCTGTGTGAGTCATAGGTGAAATTCCCAGTGCCAAAAGAAAGATGATCTGTGTGATCACTGGAGGAACATGGGCTATTAACTGTATCCGATTCATCACTATACCTTCTCATGCAAATACAAAAACTTATTCCTTTTGGAACTCTGAAATCTGCTACCTTCTTATCTAGTCTGTAGAAATTTGTATAACCATAATCCAGAATGTAGCGGTTGTGTTTCCAGTTTAAGCAGAAGTTGTATCTTCCTCTGCTTATTCCTGCCAGCATGCCTGCCCTGTCCACCACCTCATGAATAAACCTGGTTAGTGATGCTGTTAGCCTTTGAAAAAAGTAATGCATAAATATACTTATTTATTGTAAATATTGTCTAGTTATGTTGGAGTAGAATTCCCATCAGCCCCAGCCATCGTGACCATTGGCTTCATTGCCTGATGGTGATGTAGCTAGTAGTGTGTATAACCCAGAGGGCTCTGGGTTATACAAAACTGTTCTTAACATCAACACTAAAAAGATTTGCCATTATGGATTTTGCTGATGAATCAGCTCCTCAGATCTGTTCCTGGCTATCAGACAGGGGCTCTCCTGTGTTGGCCCCCCAAGCAGCTACACTGGATCACTCATGTTCTCTTGGTCTGCTTTTGCAGACAGCCAAAGGGACCTGCAAGGCCTGTTCCACCCCCGTGGCTGTCAAGAACACCTCACAGAAATCGGAGGCAGAGGAAGCGGAATATGCTAGAAAGGTTTCAGCCTTGAGCCACCTGGAGCAAGATATTCTGAGGCAGAAGGAAACGGAGATCATGAGGCTCCAGGATCAGGTAGCGTGTGCTGTGCATCCCCACTGGGGGGCGCCTTGAGGCAGATTGGCACAAACTTCTATTGAAAAGCATTACGTTGTGTGCTTTTTATTCCGGATCCTAGATTACGCTGCAGTATGTGGAGCTCTGCAATTTAAAGGATGAGATAGAGAACCAGAGATGCCTGTACCAAGAGAGCAACCGGGATGAAGCCCTGAAATTGGCCATAGCAGATCGGGATGAGGCGATAATAAAGTGAGCTAATCCTGCATTTTTTAAAGTGCGCATTAAAGGCTATTATCCACAGCACACATGCCATGTACATTGCAAAAGCACCGGCCACAGAGCAACCTTCCCTGGCCAGGTGCCTCCGTACCTGTTGAGCTGCAACTCCTGTCCTTCCCAGCCGGCCCGCTGTGGGAGATGCAGCCCAACATATTTGATAGCACCCGGCTGGGGAAGGTTGCCCTAAGTCCTTGTATCATGGGGGAGAAAGGTAGGAGGTTGTTACTGCATGCCATCAAGTCTCCTCTGACTCATGGCGACCCTATGAATAAGAGCCCTCCAAAATTTCCTGTTCTTAACAGCCCTGCTCAGCTCTTGTAAGCTCGAGACTGTGGCTGCATTTATGGAATTGATCCCTCTTATTTATTTATTTATTCATTAAAACATTTCTATGCCGCCCCTTGCCGTAGCCTCGGGGCGGCTCACAACATAATAAAATACACAATAAATTAAAACAATAACAATTAAAATATATACATTGGAATAAAATAAGCCACCCTGGCCAAATAAAATTCAATGATATTAACATCTTACATTTGGTCTTCCTCGTCTTCATCTTCCTTCAACTTTCCCTGGCATGATCCTCTTCTCCAGGATACCCTGGCTTCACATAATGCATCCAAAGCACAACAGTTTTCTCATCCTTGTTTCCAGGGCGAATTGTGGCAGCCTTAGATAAAATCCATGACCACTAATCCCGGAGTCCAATTTTAGCTAACCTACAACTCTCCCCAGCCTCTTCTTAAAATAATAGCTAAAGGAGCGATCACAAAAGGGGAAGGGGAAGGAGCTGGGCTCTTCCTCCCCCAACCCTGCCTGTAAGTCGAGCACTGCTTATTGTTTTGTCCGTATCATTCAGTCTGAGCAGATCCGCTGTTTTCATTAAATACCCTCAAAATATCTCCTGTTGTTTGAAGTGCTGCACTGTTTACTCTCATTAATAACATCAAAGATGGGTAATGAACTAAAATTATCCAAATAGTTTTGAGTCTTCTAGGCATTTTCTCTTTGGCGCTCTTTCCACCCAGGCGGGCTAGTCCGAGTTGCTTTCTTTTAATGAATTGCCTGCAGAGGAACCTGTGCTCTTCTGCCAAGAAATCCCTGCGTATTAGACAGGATTGCGGGAAATGGGCTGCGCCGAACGTGTGACGTGTATTGGGCAGGCCTCTCTGTTGCTCAGATAAATTGAGAGTGAACTCTAGAGCGGGGTGAGCAGGAAGTAACTTGCCAAGTGTTTTGGATGTGAAGTCCCAGAAGCCTCTGTCTGCACAGCCAAATGCCAGGAACACTGGGAGTTGAAGTCCAAAACATCTGCAGATCCATGTTTTGCCCACCACGGCATCCCCTTTCAGCTTCATAGTTCCAGGGGAGATTGGAAATGGTGGGCAAATTGACTTTCAGGAAAACCCACTGGGCAGCTGACCATGATGAGCTCCTAAAGCACCTCCAGGGATCGCCCACATATGTAGACCCATGTGGGGTGCTCACTCTTAAACCAAGAGCAGCATCTTCAGGCCAGAATGGGAACAACATGTAAAATCAGTGCATGACAGACGTGACTTTAAGAGCACATACATGTATTACTTACCTTCTTCCCTGTGCCCTTTTCTTTACTAGGAAAAGCGAAATAGAACTGGAAATGGCCAAAGTCTCTCTGGAACGGGATTCACTGAGCCAGCAGTTACTTCGTGTTATACGCCAGAAGATGGCGCTTTCCCAGGAGCTGGAAGCTTGGCAAGTGAGTAAGATGCCTTCAGAAATGCTGGGATTGAATCCAGACCCTTTACACTCGTGGCGGCACCAACTTCCTGGAGTTTCCTCCTCAACCCTCACCTGTTCCCTCCATTGGATGTGCCACATGGTCTGTTCTCATCCCCTAAACTGGTGCCATGGAGGATGCCAGCCTTTCACCAGTACGGAAGTAAAATTCAACTGGAGCTCCAGTCAGCTTCTGTATGCGGAATGGGGGAGGGCACCCTTCTTGTCCTGGGACTCAAGCAGCAAAAGCCTCGGCCTGCCCTGCTAGTTTGTATGCTGCAAGTCGGCTGGAACAAACCATGCTCCAGAAAGCCTTTGCTGATGTCACATGCCAATTTTTAAAAATCCCAAATTAGCAGGAGAAGATGGCTTTGGCTCCTGTAATGTTTAATAAATTCCAGGTCCAGGCAGTGACACAGCTGAAATGAGTGTGAGAATTTTTTTAGTCTTCCCCTGCATTCACAATTTGTTCCACATTTGCTTTATGAACTCATGCCAGTTCTGGACAAGAACCTAAAACAGACCACAGTTGGCAGCCGATGGTGGTTGTGAGGGAAACCAAAGAGGGGCAGCAGATGCAAAAGCTGGTTTACTAAAGGCAGCCTGAAAATGAAGGGAGAGGGGAAGGATAGAGAGCAGGGAACAAATGAAAAGAAAAAGAAAGCAGATTCTGGGAAGAAATAATTGGAAAGGTCAGGGGAAAGGGGAAACAGAGAGGAATCGAAGATGGATGGTACAGAGAGGAAAGCCACTGCTCTGCTGAAATACCCCCTGCCCGTTTCCCCACTGTCAAGTTTAGGGAAGGCATTTTGGTGATTTGGGGTTGGGGCATGAGAAGGAGAAAAGTGTGGATTGGCCATTGCGATCGTGGTCGCTGGTCAGCACCTGTCTTGCCTCTCTCACGAGGCTTAGCAGTGCCCCCCGCCCCCGCACGGGCTTTATTGATAAGGATGGGTTATAAGGTGGCATTATCAGTGAAGTCAGCTCAAGACGTTTTGCTCTCTAGAGCCTCATGACTCCAAAAGCCAGACTTGGTGCTCACCAGCGGTCAGGACAGCCCCCAGCCAGACCATGTGCCAGGGAGCACTGAAAATGGGTGAGATGGGCTTGTGAAACCATTCAAGCTCCCCTCCCAGCACCCAAACCCTTGCTTCAAGGTTAAAAAAATTTGCATGGAACTCAGGACTCCATTCTAGAGACAATAAAGAGCAGAAGCCTGGAGTTCTGTTTCCGTCAGTACCTAATATGAACTCTTCATTCTGAAACAGGATGATATTCAGTATATAATCCATCAGCAACTACTCCAGAAGCAGCACGAAGAGCAGAGCCAGCGCGTCACGTTGCCACCCAAGACCTCCACACAAGGCAAGAACCTTCCTCTCTTTCGGCCTGGCTCCGGCACAAGCTTCTTCTCACTTTTCCGGAAAAGCTGAGAGGCCAGGAGGTGTGGGGAAGCTTCTAAAAGGGCCAAAGAAGGAAAAGGTGGGAGAGGGCATTCAAAGCGCCAGTAGCAGGTCAAGGCTGAAGTAAGGTAGCTCTATGAATCTTGGATGGCAGGAACTGAAATGGGTTCTCGACTCAACCCATTGGTTTAGCAGCCTCTCAATTCAGTGTAGGCCAAAGGAATTTGTTCTCTTGCTCCATATTTCAACCATGCTAGAGTCTGATTTGAACACTGGCTGCTTGCAGGGTGTGTACACACCGAAGCAAGAACGGCGGGTGTGTTGCGCTTCTGGCCTAGTCCAGGAGGCATGATAGTCCCGGTCCTTCTTCAGCACATGGTGCGCAACAAGGATGACATGCAAATAGGACTCTGGCTTTAAAATATTTCTCAGTCCACAAGAGTGATGCTCTGAACTGGTCATCTGAGTTCTGGGCACCAGATTCGGTCAAGGCGGTAAATGCAGTGATGAAGGTTTTTATTCTATGTGACATCCATCTGGAGAAATCGAGACTCTCTCAGTTATGTCCTTGGGTGAACCAGAAATCTTGGTCAATGTTGCATGTACCAAGGCAGCCTTCTCCAACCTGGTGCCCTTTAGATATTTTGGAACCATGCTTCCCAGATGAGCCTGGGGCTGATAGAAGCTGAGGTCCAAACCACCTGGAGAGCAACGGGATTGGGAAACCAGACCTAGGGCATCCTAATAAATTGCTCTTACAAGTCTACATAGGATGCATTGGTTTGACTCCTCTGTAATCGTATCCAAACAGCAGTGGAGTTAAGACTTTACCCCATGAGCCAATGACAGCCTTCCCAAACTGATGCCCTCCATGCAGGCTGGGGAATGCTGGGAGTTGCTCCCCAGGAGCTGAGAGAGATCCAGGTTGCAGAAGGCAGACCAATGGGATAACTTCCACTAGAAATGGTCCTCCAGATGTTTTAGCTCATGTTTTAATCTTACTGTTACCCTTGCTTGCTAGGGCTGAAGGAAGTTGTAGGTCACATCTGGAAGGTATCCCGTTGGAGAAACCTTATATAGAATGATGCAAGATACTCAGGGCTACTCAACATATAGATTAATTAGCTTCTTTTGGTCTCTCTTTCTGTCTCTTTTTAAAATATCTCTAGCCTTTCAACACCAGGTGGCCAGTCTGTGTTCCAAGTTCTAAGGTCACCCACTCTGGTGGCCAGTCAGAGGCACGATTCAGCTAAGTGGCGTTTTCTAGACTATTCTGAATGGATACAACGCCGTAATGTTGCTTTCATCCACATGTCATTGCACCTGGCTTTTTTCTTTTTAACTGAAGGGGGCTGAACCCTGGGTACTGATCCTGTACTCCCCTGTAGACTGAAGTCTCTGAGGGGAAGAGACTGGGGGTCCTAACATTTCCTTCCATAGTGAGGGGGAAAGAATCATCACAGACTTCTCAGAAGTTGGAACAAGTGCTGTCGAGCTATCCATCTTAGAGAATGAGGGTCTCCTGCACCTTGACAATCCAGGTGCATGTTCCTAAATGGCACTTGTCACTGCATTAGCACTTTAACCGCCTGCATAACCCTGGTTTACCTTTTGCCTGCTCTCCTTGCTTTAAAGGATGGATCAAAGCACTTAATTTGGATCACTTACTTGAACAGGGGGCAGAGCATAAAACAAGAGATTTTGCAGGCACACCTTTCACAAGGACCCGATGCCAGAACTATGGGGTGACCTCAGTATGGGGGAGGAGGAAGCTTCCATGAGGTGCCTTGTAACTTTCCCCCTCAAACTTTGCACAATAAAATGGGTATAATAGTCCCCTTTATAGGTGGGCAGTGTTACTACTCACAATGCACTTTTCCTTTGCTGCTGCTTTAAAAAATATTCTGTACTTTAGTGACTAGGTAATGGTAATATTGCTGAAAAATATCTGTACAGATCTATGCAAATAATAATCCATAGTCATTACTATGTCACACGAATACCAGCAGGGGGTATTGGTACTCCTTTTCCTTCTCTCTCTTCCTTCTCCCCTTCCCTTCCTCTACATGCATAAAAATCCTCATATGAAGCAGATGCTACTTTGCAAGTGTAATTCGTAGCTGCTTAAGAAACCAAGAACTTTAAAAACAAATTGCAGTTGAAGCATCGAAGCTGATGGGAAGAATCCAAATAGCATTTGTATGAAGACAAAGAAGCAAAAATATATTGGTATAAAGTCTTTTGTTGCATATTTGTTAATACAGATCAAATAATATTCTGTTTATTAAAACAATTGTGGTTCTTATACTTCGCATATCTCTGTCATTGCTGTTGGGAAACAAGTACTTTTGGAGGGAAATGGGGTCTAATAGCATAAAGCAAGGAATGCTTGCAGACCTGGTATTTGGAAGGAAGTAGCAAAGGTTATTTGAAACGGAAGCCTGATGGTCCCCTATAGCTATAGCAAACAGTGCTTGCTTTGCAAAATGAGAGGCCAGACCTCAAGCCAACTTGGAAATCACACGCTCTCTAAACCTGAATCCCACCTCTGTGGCAGCTGCTTGGGTGACTCAGTCGTGTGGGAAAGGAGAGCTGCACACATGCCAAGCTACTCCATTGTCACTTTACCATCCCGGAGGAACATGAGAACATACTTTACTATCTCATAATAAAAGCCTCACAGGATCAGACCGAAGGCCATTTAGTCCTGAGGTCCCTTCTCACGGTCGCCTATGGAAAGGCTGCCAGGGTGGCATGAATGCACGGCACCCTCCCACTTGCATGTCCCCAGCAACTGGCGCCATGTGGCTAGTGAGCATGACTAAGAGCCACGGATGGCTTTATCCTCCAAGAAATTGCCTTACCACCTTTCAGAGAGGTCCAAATGGGCAGCCATCACTTGCAGCAGGAAATTCTGTAGTTTACATATGTGCAGTGCAAAGAAGTATTTCTTGTTTGTTCTGCATCCCCCACCATTTAATTTACCAAGTTGGGGGGGGGGGGCTTTCCACAGCAAGCATAATTTTAGGGATCTCTCCTTGTCCCCCAGCTGAGCATGCCTGATGGCCCATGCTGTGGTGAAGGAGCCAGAAAGAAGGAAATAGGAAAGAATGTAGATACTTTTTATAGTATTGGCGGTGCGGGGTGGGGGGTGGAATTAGAGTCAGAGGGATGTATGCCATGAGATTAAACACTTCCTCAAAGCAAGGAGTTTTCAGGGGAAGCGGACAGAGAAGAAGACTGATTCTTCCTTTCCCTCTCCAGAATATATAAAATATAACATCCCACAGAGGAGAGAGTTTTCAGATAGGCAGGCAAGTATATATCTAATGTGACAAAAAGCTGATCCCCACCCCAGCTCCTGAAAAATCTCTCTTGTCCTCTTGAAAATCCTAACCAGCACCACAAAGCTCCTTTCTCAGCCTTTCCAGAGCCCTTTTCCTGCTGTGAGGCGCCGGGGAGACACTGCCCTGTTTTATCCCTCACTTGTTCCTTCTGAACGGAAACTGGAGAAGTTAGCTAGATTTTTGTTTCTGCTTTAATAGTTTGGCTGGTATTCTTTCCAGGAAAAAAGCAGCTACATTTGGTTGCAATCTGATGGGATTATAAACGATCTGATCACAGTTTTGTTGGATGTTTAATCTGACTTCAGAGCTGGGTCATGGGCGGATGAATTTGCATTCACCTAAACGGACAAGAGCAAAGGCACCCCTTGTTCTAGCAGGGCGGAGGATCCCTTGGCTCTGCTCTTGGTACCCTTCTCCCCTCCACACCAGCTGCGCCCATCTGGGTGGCATTTTTCCTCCCTGCATGTGGGCCTAACAAGAGAACAATATGAGCATTTCTTGTAGCACGGAGGGGGTGGCTGCAGTTGGCATCTCAACCCTCCAGAGAGGAATGTGGAACTGACAGATGAGGCAGATGGACAAAGTAAACAGAACGCCACTGCCAGGCCCCTTGGAGCCACTGAATCTTCTTTTGTGATGGACCGGGAGGTTGTGCAGGAATGAGACAGGTCCCCTGGATCCTTGGGGTGCAGGGGGATCCCTAGTGGGTAACAGCAAGTGGGGAGCCTGTTCCCAGAGTCCCTCTCTTCTGCCAAGCCCTTACTCCAAAACAGCAAGGGGTGCCTGTTTGCTTCTTTCCAAGCCACTGCTCTCCAGAAATTCAACAGAGTATTCCATCCCTGGGTCACCATGCAAGGCAAGCTACACCTGTGGAGTTTCTGCCTGCTACTCTTAAAGCAGCTTTCAAAATCTGGTGCCCTGGTGGCTGGCTGGGGGAATGCTGGACATTGTAGTCCAACACACAGAGGATGCCAGGTTGTGGAAATCCATGTTAAAGAGACAGGGACCTTGCCCAAAGCAACAATCAGCACCATCTGTGCAAATGGATTCCAACTTGTTCATTGCTATCTCATGTCTGGGCTTCAGTCCTACCCTCTCATGTACAATCCTGGTGCTGACCCCCTTTTTATACCTTCCTCTGTGTCTTTCCCCCATTATTTTCAGTCTTCTCCAACCTTTAGGGCTAAATGCAGGCCAATGCTACCCATATTTGAGGTGAACAAAGCCCCCACTGAACATTTTCCTAGTGTTATTTTTCCTCTCCATTTTATCCTAACAACAACCCTGTGGAGCAGGCCTGCTTGGGAATCCATGACTACTCAGTGAGCTTCACTGGACCAAGATGGTCCCAACCCCAGTTCAGCATGCTGGCCACCACACCACATGGGACATCCAGGGAGATTTTAATGGTGCTTGCTGTCAAACATGCCACACCCTGAAGTCTCAATGAAAAAAGCCTATGCTATAGTCAGCCTTCCCCAACCTGGTGTCCCCCAGATGGCTTGGACGACCTTCCCTGGCTGGGAGATTCTGGGAGATGCACTCCAAGCCATCTGGAGGGTACCAAGTTGGTTGGAGGAAGCTGATTACAGACAATGCCATGTGAGAAATAAATGCCGGCTGAAAATAGGGGAAACTTCTCTGTGGTGGCGCCCCACCTATGGAATGCGCTCCCCAGAGAGGTCCGCCTGACGCCATCATTATTTGTTTTTCGGTGCCAGGCCAAGACCTTTTTATTTAAAACATTTTAATTGTTAATTTATTATGTATTTATAGGATTTTAAATTTTTAAGCCGAGATGTTACTGGGCTTTTTAATCTTTAATTATATTAATTGTTATTTATATGTTTTAATTATGTTGTAAGCCGCCCCAAGGCTTTGTTGCGATGGGGGCGGCATAGAAATGTTTTAAATAAACAAATAAACTTCCAAATAAACGTGCATTAAGGATCAGGCCGGCATCGTCGTCCGCCCTGGCATACCAGCACACGACCGGACTTAACCTCTCACGGAGATGCACCCCGGCGCACAACCCCGACCTCAAGCCCTTCCCTCCCGGAGCCCCGCCCACGCCCCACGCCCCGCCCACGATAAAGCAAGCCCCGCCCCCTGGCTGCCTTTCCAGCTGGTTCGGATCGGGCTTTCGCGTTCCACGGGCGGCGGCGGCGGCGGGAGGAGCCCGAGCGGCCGGCGGAGGCGGTGGCTGCAGCCGGGAAGGAGGGCGGAGGAAGCCGCCGCAGGAGAAGCGGCGGCCGAATGGGAGAGGCAGGAAGGAAGCAGCCCACTGCAGCGAGCTGCCTGGTCATCTGATCCCAGCCCAGCGAGCGTCCGGCAGGCGAGGACAGCGGGCAGCCGACGGCATCGCAGCCTGCCCGGCCTGGCGCCGTTCCGCCTCGCCCTCGCCCTCCTCCCCTTCGCGATGCTGCCCCTCAAGGCTCGCTTTCCCCTCCCCGCGATCCTTCATTGATTCCCAAAGTCCGGCCGCCCTTGTCCTTTCAGACTTGGCACAACTCTCCTCTGCCGCCTTCCTTCCTGCGTTGCATCTCCTTCCTTCGTTTCTTGAAAAAAGGTTCCAGGTATTTGGGGAAACTTTTAAGATTCTTCCTGTTGGCAAAGATCTCTCGGGTGGAGGGAAACTCCCCGATCTGCTGATCCGCAATCTCTCCCCGCCTCCAATCTTGTCCTTCCTTCCCCCCATCCAACCTGACCTTACACTGTGCTCTGTTTCCACCAATTTTGGACTGGTGTCACCCCTCCCCTTCCCCCATTTTTAAGCATTTGTTTGTGAAGCCCTTGGGCTTTTGGAACAAGGAATTCCTACCCCACCTCCCATTTTATGGATTTATATGATCTCTTTGTGGTCCTTCACATTCTCTTTTGGGGAGCAGAATCAAGATTTTTGGTTTGAGGTTCTGAATTTTGCCCTCTTGGATGCTGGAATTCTCTTTCTGAAAGAATTTAATGTTCGTCTTCCTCACTGCAGTTTTCCCTGAGCCAAATTGCATTCATTTGGGCAGCAAGGAAGAATTTAACCTTGAAATTCTTTGTAAATTGCAGCATCCTTTGGCATCCTACTTGTGAATTTGGAGAAAACGCCCCCATTTGAAGGAAACCCCCTTCTGTTGCTTCTCCCCCCACTTCCCTTGTTCCATCCCATCAGAGAAGAGGCCAAGATCTTAATAAACTGGATCTGTGCATTGCAACTGCCCCTTCTTTAAACTAAGCCAGCGACCCTATAATGCAAACATGCATTCTACAGATTGTTGACATAGGAAGAAACTTGCGTGGTGCACTGTGTTCCTCTTTGTCGTTCAACTTTAAGGAAGTAATTCTGGGGAAACAGAAGTGAACATACATCTCTGTTCCAAAGTTTGAAGGAAACCTGGCTTTGCAGAAACAAATATTTCAGACTTGCATGTTCCTGAAGAATATCCTTCTGGAGGAAAAGTCTGTGCCCTTGAGGCAGAGAGGACGACTGCTGTACTCAACCTTATGTCCCAACTAACTGCTATGGGACTTTGAGGTAGAAGAGATTTCCCACTGGAAACTTGTGGGAGTAACTGGAGAATCCCTTCGAGGAGGAGGAGGAAGTGTGTGACAGAAAAGGAGGAGGAGGAGTTGACCCAGCACATGAATGGCTGCCAAGGATTATGACCACTTGTTCAAGCTACTCATCATTGGGGATTCGGGTAAGGATTGGTCCCGTGATCGGGTCTCCTGTCTATCTTACTGTATCCAACTGTTCTTTCCTGCTGTTCTTTCGTTCCTCTTTAAGCCATATTGCTTTCTCCAGGAGCAACAAAAAGTTGTTGGATCGCACTGCAAACTCTCCTCCTTCCCTCTTTCTCAGTACACTCTTCCTTTAACCCTCTGCATCCGCTTTCTTATCTCATTTTATAATATTTGTCTTAGTTCCTTCCATCTTTCCTCCACCTCAGCTCCATAGTCCATGAAGACTAAGAAAGGCTTACTGACAATGCACTGTGCTGAATTTTAGCTACACCACCGTTTCCGACTGCTGTTTTCCACAAGTTTCCGTTCCGCTGACTTGCAGTGTTCCTAGCATCCTCCGGCCCATTTGTGCCAACTTTGTTAGGGTTACTACTTTGCAACATTCGCACATAACTTTTAGGTTCGGGAAGAAGCAATGCTTGTCAGCTCCTAGAGGCAGCTTCTGTTTACACTGCAAGCAAATAAATGTAAGATTACAACTAGCCATGAGCAATGCTTCTCAGAGAGCTTTTAAAAATGCTTAATTGTTAAAGACACACCCTTCCTGGGCAAGTCATTAAGTGTTCTGGTGCATTCTAATTTATACCTTTCCCTTTATGCCTGAGGGCACCTTGGCTCCAGGACCTGATGAGATGGAGAGACGGTATGGTTCTGAGCCATGGTTTAAAGCCGTCAAGATGTGTGGACCATAATTTCCATAAGCCACAGCCAGCATGGCCAGTGATTGGGGATGATGAGCCTTGTGGCTCTTCAGACATGATTGGACTCTCAGTTCCCCACCTCTGGCTTAAACTTTCCCTCACTTAGCTGGGAAAAGGCTCATGAACTCAGTGGGACTTCTGAGTAATATTTGAAGGGACTGTGCTGTTAAGACCCTTAACTAATTTTCCCCAACCTGGTGCCCCCCAGAACTTGTAATACAAGGCATCTGGAGGGGGGTGGCCACCACAAGTTGCTTCCATACATCTCTCTCAGCTGACGAAAGGATGACTGCCAACCACTCAGTCCAACCCTGTAAGCAGGTGGGCTCCCATCTCTCTCTCTCCCTCTCCCCCTCTCTCCAGGTCTCCAGGAGAACTGGAAACTGCAGTTAACCCATTAGAAAGCCTCTTTAAACCCCACCAATTTCAGACACGGATACGGAGATTCCCCAGGGATGGGAAAGGTTGAGGCGGAACATCAGTTTGACAAGGCCCAGAACCAAGGGAGGAATTTGCAAGCATTTCTGTCCAGTTTGGGCCCAAACAGATTTCTCATTGCTGGTGTTCTGGCTGGGACAGAGGTAATACGAATTCCCAACAGCCCTTATTCGATGGGGCCACATTTAAAGCCTGGAAAGCCCTTCAGAAAAAATTGAGAAGGAAAAACGAGGGACTTTGTCCTTTTCTTGGCATTCACCTCTGCAGCTAGCAAGCCCTTCCTCTCTCCCCAGGAGTCACAGGGAAACTGACATAGCTAGAGCTAGGCTCTCTTGGGGAGGGGAGAAGCACGTTTCCTGCAGCTGTTGTTTGGATGGCTTTCCCTTGCCATGGTCTTCCTGGAAAGCTGTGTGCGTGTGCGCATGCATGCGCAAGTGCCTGTAAAAACTCCCAGAGGCTCTCGCTAGTTATGAGGTCCGGAATACCTTCCTCTTATGAGCTCATCTCCAGCCTCCATGATGGTCCATTTATGACTATCCCTTTGGTCCTTCCTGCATAGCTTCTTGGCACTTTATTTTTGCTGGGGGTCCCATCTAGTTTAAAGCCTCCCATTTTAAAAGAATTCCCCACCCCCACCCCTGTAGCTCCAAACTGGATGTGAATAAAATGGGAGTTTATACCATGAATCAAAGTGAAACATTTTTCAGTTGCACTTAAAAAATTAATCAACTTAGTATGTTAAAATAGCAAACTGGGTTGGAGCAGAAGGGGAGACTTTGGCATGTTCACATCTGCCTTTAGTAGACACAATCCTGTTTGGTCCAGAAGTGTGCTTCCAACAGCCTTCCCCAACCTTCTGCCTTTAAGCTGTGCTGGAACTCAGCTACCTCTGGCTCCAGCCGAAATGACAGATGCTCAGGAGTTGAGGTCCAAATGCCTGGAGGGTGCCAGATTGGGGAAGGCTGGTTTGTGGCATGGTTCCTTGCCCTGAAGCACTTACAATCTGCCATGGAGCTGGTAAAATTCCGAAAGAGGGTCTCGCAATTGCCTGGTCATTGCTGGCAGGATGATTTGAATCTGAAAGAGCCAATGCAGCCTGCCCCAACCTAGTAGCCTCCAGATTTGTTAGGCTAGAGCTCCCATCATCCCCAGCCAGCAAATATGGGATGATGAGAACTGTGGTCAACAAATCTGAAAGGTGGCAAGTTGAACTACTTGCTGTTTAGGCTTGGAAAGAGATCAATAATCCAGCACTACTGGCCTTGAACTATACATTTGCAGATCTGGTTGGTGGTCTGAAAGTGGAGGTCCCCCCAGCCCTGGACCTGCTTTAAAGCCCAGGTAAAATTCTCAGATGGGGAAATGGAGTTTAAAAGGCCCAAAATGGCTTTGCTGTCCCTGAGGCATCCAGATTCCTTGTCTCCCTGACCCTTCCCAGCTTCCTGAGATTGGGAAGCAAAGAGCCCTTCTTAGGCCCGGAGGAACAGGTTACTTGTTAATCCTTGGAAGTGGCAGTCCTTTGAGAACTAAAGCTCTCATGAACCAGTGATAGACGTGTTCCAAACAATTTTGCGTTGGATTTTCCCAAGCCCTAAAATTGACTAGAGCATGTTTGGCAAATTTAAATAAACAAAAATAGGGACTTGCATGAAAACACGGAAACTACCCAGTTTGACTGATGCATTCATTTAGCATGTTACTAGTTAATTTGATGAAACAATTCACTTTTAGAAATGGGAATATTTTTCTATGGGGAAAAACATAGTAGTGGAAAATGTCCTATCCCACATCATGGCTCCTGTTGATGGTCAGCTACATGGCATATACTCCCATCACCTCTGGTATACAAAAAGTAGCCAAGTCAACCACTCAGCAACTGTGTTAACAGTCGCAATAAGCTGAGACTCCTGGCTTAATAAACCATGATGTGAATAAGCTGCTTGCTTGTACATGTACTCTCTTTGCTTCCACTTTGCTTATCTCTTCATGTGAGTAGGTAAATAAACCTAAAAGTGGCAGACAATTTTATGATATCCAAATATGCCCTTATGGTTGAGTAAACCCAAACAACCCAGAATTTGTACGTCAACAACAAATTGGAGTTTAAACCTAGTTTACATATCCCAACTTGGTTGGGCACATGTAACTGTAATATTGGGTTCAGACATCATGCGAAACACTCCTCTTCTTGGAGTCCCATGCTGAAAGCTCCTATAGCAGCAGGCTGTCTTTTTCTCTGTTTCCCAGCTCTGTTTCCTCTCCAAATACCTAGGAAAAGTAGTATGTAAAAGAAATAGAAATAGATGCACTGGATGCTTTGATCCCCCTCAACTTTCTTTGGGATTACTTTCTGTTTAGACAGAGCCTGCTGTGAACTAGAGCAAAATGTTGCAGCATGGAGACTTCCATTCAAGGTTCCACAGGTGTAGCTGTGCGCTCTTCCAATATACTCTGTTCCCTTTTCCCAACTGCTTTCCATTGCCCTCATCCCCAACAGACATGTGATATTCAGTTCTGCTTGAGGATCATGAGTCCTCACAAGGCTATGCTTTCTCCCCTCCCACTCAGATTCCCCCAGCATCAAAAATTATTTTGCACATGTGCACATCTTTGGTATTTCTCCTGAGCCTGTTGATACCTGACTTGGTAATGTGATAAGCTATTTGGGAGCTTCACCCATTCTGCCCACTGGGGCCTTGGACCACTGCCCTAAAGTCCTGCCCTGATATCATTATTTCCATTTCTGTATCACCCACAGCCGAAGCTCTCTGGGTGGTTTACAAGAATCCATTAAAAAAGAGAATAAAATGCAATCAAAATATAAGAAAACCAAGAAAAAATAAAAATTTTAAGACAGCTTAAAACACAGTAAGGAAGAATGACTCTGTAAAACACCTGGGATGGGTAATCTTCCCTCAAGCCCCTGGATAGCTGAGTAAGTCTTTAAAGGCCTTGGCACAAATCTGGCACCAAAAAGACAACAACTTTGGCACCAGCCAGGCCACAGTGGGGAGGTTGTTCCATAGCTGGGGGCCACCACGGAGAAGGCCCTCCCCTTTGATGTCATCTCCATACTTCCTTTGGAGTTGGCACTTGAAGGAAAACCCCAGCGGTCAAGCATAATGTCCAAGTCGATTGCGGCTGTGAAAGGTGCTCCAACAACTATTGTGACAGCACTTGTCCATTGCTATTGTCCTTGCGTCTGGGACTCTACAGCTTTCTGGAGCTGTGTTTATTTTGCTATATTTGCAGCTGTGCTTAATATTTTTAGGAGTGATTGTTTGTAGCATTACTCATTGTAAGCTGGTGTCATGTTCCTAGGCTTTGGTGAATTCAAAGATGGTGTGTGCTGCCCCCGAATATATGGCAGTATATAAATCAGCCTGTCTTTCAGTTGTGTTGCACTGCGATTTCCATGATTCCCAGTGAGCATGGGGGTGGGGCGGGCACCAAGTAGGGCAGACTGAGTGGGCCTAATTTCATCTTGCAGTGTTACAGGGGGCAAAGAGGCCCCACCAACTGCACCTTTTGGAGAGTCCTTAAGTGTCACTGAGGGTACCGAGGGGCCTATTTACCCACCCAAGCCTGCCTGGATTTAAGATCTTCCCTCAGTCCTGTTTAATGGGGACATGAGAAGGGGCCTTCTCGGTGCTTGCGCCCAGCTCTGGAACGTTCTGCTGAGGAAGGCTAAACTGACCCCTGATTTTCATTCAGGTGGGCTTTTTGGCATAGAAGACGGCCTGTTGCTGCCAGACTCTTTGCATTGGTTGTTACTGCTTCTACTGTGTCGTTAATTATGTTGATATGTCTTTATGTTACATTTTAATAAATGTTTTTGTTTTTAATCCGGATACTGTTAGTTGCCTTGAACACCATTCACTTGGCAGTAAGGTGGGACATAAATTAATAAAAGCTGCTCTGCAGTGAGTCTGAGGGATAAAACTGCATCAGAGTGAGTGCATGCGCACGTGCGTTTCTACATTTGCCCAGCACACAGCCAAGAAAGGTGCATATTCAGCTTTCATTCTCTTGCTGGACTGTGGATACTGGGTGTTGGCTTGTCTCCTGCTGCAGCTGCAAAGCTGGAGGGTTTGAAAGCTGTGGAGGGACTCTGTGTGTGTTTCTGTGTGTGTGTGGGGGGGGAGGGAGGGATGCTTGGCCTTCACAGGAAAGGTGGTGCTAAAGAAATGATCACAAAAGCTTGATCAGTGGAGGGAACTAGCCATTCTTCCTCAGGGTTATGTCAACAGGTGACCTCAGATGTAGGTAGACAGGATTTGTGTCATGTGGGCACCTGAGGCTGTGATCCCACCCTGTTACCTGGCACACTTACTTCACACCCTATTATGCACAAGGCTATGGCTGTTTGTAAGACACCCAAATCCTATATAATGTGTCATGTATTTGGTATAAAGACTGGACAGTTCATTTCTGTAATAGCCCATCTTTACTCCTCCGTCCATCCCCCACCCCTGGCCCAGTATTCAGTGATGATGCCATGTGAGGTAATCCACAATCCTCGGTGGCTTCCCCATAATCCCTTGCAGGATTCCATTGTCACTCTTTATCCCTCTGTGGGACACACTTGGTTTGGATGGGAGGGGCTGTCTTGAGTCAATATGCCAGGGCAATTGTGTTTACTTTGGGTGGGGTGCCTGCCACAAGCTTTGCTGAGATGTCCTGTTTGCATCAGAAGCCACTGAAAAAAATGAAAGGGGAGGGATGATAAGGACTTGAATCATTTCTACATTTTGTGCAACCTGTTTTTTTTCCCTCTTGTTTGTCTAGGGGTTGGGAAAAGTAGCCTTCTACTCCGCTTTGCAGACAATACGTTCTCTGGTAAGTAAGCTGTTCTCTTATGTTGTAAGGTGGGAGGAGTTTTCTGCCCCATACCACCCACACCACAACATTCCTACTGTACAATTTACTGAAAGCATTCCTGGGCCATGTAAACAGTTGTCTGTAACCAGTTTTGGTTTTTTAAAGCAATTATAGGATTATGATTAGGCAAAATAGGAAACATGGCTCAATTCACACGGTGCTAATTTTGGCTACAGAATGAACAAATAGCCTGTTGTAGCCTAATTAAACGCTTTCACACCTTGGCTGTGTTTGCCTCGCTGTATGCAACTATAGTTGAATACTTGACAACTACAGATTGTGTACCCTTTGTGATTGGTGTTGCAGCATGACCTGTTCTTTAGATTTAATTCCTTCTCTTCCCCTCCATGTAGCTGCTTTTCTTGAGTCAGCTCTTCCCACTTGATTCAATTTCCTTTCACTGAGCAAACAGATCATACCTATACATAATCCCAGTTAGCCAAGTAGTCAATAAAACTGCCATGCACAAGTAAGTTTCATGTAAACAAGCTACAATGCTTATTACTGAGCATCACAACTGTGGTCCTAATGTCCTTGTCAAGAGAGGTCACTGCTGTTTTTCCTGCTACAGATGACAAACTAGTCCAAGGTCATTCAACGAACCCATGGCTGAGGTCATCAGACAGGGCCTTCTGTATCCTATGTGTATCTCATCCCAGTTTTTTCCATGTTGTTGGTATACAGCCCTTTGATTTGAACATCAGTGTCCAAATGTCATCTACCCCCAAGAAATCTGGGTGGCATTCATGATGATGTTTACTGCATTGTCATCCTTCCATTTGTAAATCTCAAATGGAAATTTGCTTTCAAATCTTACCCCTACTCCAATTCATCTTTGCTCTCCTCTGATGCTCTGCTCTAACTCTTCTTCTTTGTGCTTCCTGATATCTCCCATAGGTAGCTACATTACAACGATTGGGGTAGATTTCAAAATTCGAACGCTGGTGATCAATGGTGAGCGAGTGAAGCTGCAGATTTGGGATACCGCAGGGCAGGAGCGGTTCCGGACCATCACCTCCACGTGAGCCTGGCATGGGAGTGGGGGATAACTGAATGCTGAGAAGGACTTAACTTGGACCCCTGGGTTCTATGGAAAGGGGAGGGGTCCACTTACTGTCAGTTAGGATGCAGCTCTGGCCTGGAGGGAGCGTCACCCTTTAACTTTGTAAAGAGGGCGAGATACAAATTAAGCAACTGTGGAGTGATGGGAAGTTGTGGATTCAGCACAGAGCCCCAGGGTTTGGGGGTGGGGGGGTTGCAGGGAAAATGGAGAGGCTTGTTCTAAATTTCTGGTTCTCATATTACAGTCTTTGGTTTTCCCGGGGCAGGTATTACCGAAACACCCATGGTGTCATTATTGTGTACGATGTGACAAATGCAGAGTCCTTTGTTAATGTCAAGCGTTGGCTGCATGAGATCGGGCAAAACTGCGACAGTGTCTGCAAGATTTTGGGTGAGTGACTTTAACAGACACGGTGTTCCAAGCTTGGCATTTGGATGCTTCTGTTACAGTAGTTAGGAACCCACTTATGCTAAGCTGTGGACCAAAAGATTTTCCCAGGATGCACTGCTGACAGCCAATACTAGGTGGCAGCATTGTGTCTCTGGTATGACTGGCTTGTATCTGATATTAGATTAGGTGAAAAATGGCACTGCATCTCAGCCATAGGAAACATGGGGCCTTCCCCATTCTAGTGTCCTGAAGATATGTTGGGCTACCATTCCCATTATCCTCAGCCAGCATGGTGGCAGTGAGTCATGGGTTGGAATCACATGATGCTTCTCAGTTGTTTTAGAAATGCATTTGCATGGAGGATGCAACTTCTTGGCAGTCCCACTTGAAGGATAGCTATAAAAACCCGGCGGCAATTCCCGAGTGGTGGCTTGGAAAAAATACTGCAGTAATTGTGGAAGCTGCTTTGGGTTTGGTGCAGCTTTATATCTGGATGATGGGGTTACATTCTTGGGGAGAATTCGGTGGCTACATTTGGAATTTTGAAAGTGCCATTGGCATGCACCCAAAATAGCCACTGTGGTGAACACCGCAGGTCACCAATCACACATTTCCCAGAGTGTCATCTGAGGAAGCTCAAAGGAAAGTGACTTGTGTGGGAGCCCGAGTACAAGGCATGGTGGGCTCTGCATTTCAAAACACAGAACCGCTCTTTGGAACTGGAAGAGCTGGCACCAGAGGCCTGAACTGCACTCTGTAGCAGGCCAGCTTCCAGATTTTAAAAAATCTTAAATGAAATTCAGCTTTAAGGGGAGGGATGTCAAGAGAGTCTCTGGGCATCACTTCAGAGACCATGTGTGGAGGTAACTTTGAACCAGCCTTAGCCGTAAGAGGGCATCACAGTGCGCTGTGCAGGCTACAGACATTTCAAGTGATGGGGAGAAAGAGTAGTCGCTGGCAGACTGGTAATACCTGCTTGTGGAATGGGACTGAGAACATCCGCTGGATGAGGGCATTGCGAAGAGGCTGTGGGGTTTAGTGGTGTCTGGTTGTAAGCCCTTTTTGGGGTATGCCTTTCAGCTTAAGATCAGAGAAGGCATATTCCCAAAAGCTTTGCAGCTCACTTGGTTTTCTCAGGTCACATGAGCGTTAAATCACTGGATGCTATCAAATTCCTGGAAAGAGAAACTACATGAGCAACATGGGTTTCATAAATTTTCAAAACTGGGTATTTGGTTTTGACTGGACAGTTCTATTTCTGTAGAATTTTCTGCTATAAGAAAAGTCTTCTGAAGGCTGTTGGGTCTCCTCTCATTGATTTGCTCCTTTCTTTCCCCACCTCTAATTGTGTCAGTGGGTAACAAATGTGAGGACCCATCCCGGAAGCAAGTGGACACTGCTGATGCCCGGAGGTTCAGTGAGCAGATGGGTGTGCGGCTTTTTGAGACCAGCGCCAAGGAGAACCTCAATGTTGAAGAGGTACGGGACAGACAGTTCTGAGAGGACCAAATGGGGAGGGGCACTGATATAGGAGAGACTTCAGTGCCTTAAGAGGGAAGCCTCTGACTGTGGTGAGAGGGAACTTGGTGGCAAGAGAATATCCTGCTGTGCTTTTCCCCCCAGATGTTCAATGCCATCACAGCCATGGTGCTCCGAACCAAACAGGACAACCTGGCACGCCTCCAGCAGCAGAACGAGGTCGTCAAAATCAACAAGCCCAAAAAGAAACCGTCTGTCAGGAAATGCTGCTGAAAAGACAGCCACACCTGTATTCTCTCTCTCCTTCCCCTCAGTTCTAAGGAGGACTGACCTGTGGAGGGCTACGCGGCTGAAACTAGTTGACGGGTTGGTGCAGTTGGGCGAGGAGGCCTGGCCTCTAGGTGGGAGGGGCACAGGCCTCTGTGTGAATATTCTCAGCATCGGAATTGCACTCCCCTTGCCTGAACCCACAGCCCTTGGGACAGTCGACATGCTGGAAGAATCCACAGAAGCACTGAAATTCCTTGGGGGTGGAAGGTTTTGTTTGCAGGAGTGGGAGTTGGTGGGGCATCTTGAAAAGTATTAAAAACTACTGAAAATGTGTAACAAGGTGATGAATAGAAAGATGTGGGACATGAATGAGTTCAGAGAGTCTTCCCCTTTCTCCTCCAACCTCCCCTCTCATTTCTGTAGTATCACCTATAACATTTTCTCATTTCTCCTCTTCCTATGTCCCCACTGGGGTGCAGTACAAATAGCCATTGCTGTCACCATAAAGAACCAAGGAAGAGAAAACAGTGTGGGCATTTTTTTTTTTTTTTTGAGAACCCCTCCACTAGAATTATGTCTGTGAGTAATGAGTAGGCTGAAACCGGGGACATCCAGCAAAATAAGACACAACACCGTGCCTGACAGTACTGGGGACTGGTACTTTTGCATGCCTGTGTGTGCTCAGAAAGGGAGCCAAAATACTGTCTTCAGACATGGGTTAGAAACCGGGTTACTTTTCCTTTCCTGCCATTGTCTGGAATACGATCATCTCTTCTTCATGGACCTTCAAAACTTTGAGAATAACCACTTATGTTCATGTTCAAAAGAGGTTGGGGCTGGAAAAGCAGCTCTTGTTCACATCTCCTTGCTGTACTCCTGCTGTAAGTAATTTGAGGAGCTAATCCGAAGTGGAGGTGTAAACTCCAACCTGGGAACATGAAGTTTACACCTGAATGTGGTAGATAAGAGTCTCCGCCCAACAGTTCTCCAACGGTAGGTGCAGCAGGACTGAAGTAACATCTGCCTTCCTGTCTTTAAATTTGGGGACCTTCTTGACTGTGCAATATGTCAGCTTCATGAATTATTTTATATACACAAAATAAATATGTACATAAATAAAACCTCTTGTTTTAACCCACTCCTAATGGCATTAAATCCAAGGAGACACCACACTTCAATAAAGACATTTAGCTATGAAACACCTCTGCAGGTTTTATTTCTCCAGGTTATCATGGCTATCCCTCCTTTGGTGTAAAAAGAAGAATGTGTCACAGTGAGCTTGTTGATGGCCTCCGGAATAACACTTGGATATTGGGCACACAGAGAAGCAGTGGGAATAAAAAGTTTAGAAAGTTGTGTTGAAAGAGTGGCCATGGGAACACTGTGTTGATTTTCCTTTTGAAATCTGACTTCCGTGATCATCTATAAAAGAAAAGCTTGGAAAGCCTATTTTAAAAATTCTTTAAAAGTATGCATCTCAAGCGTAGCCCTAGCATCTCATGACCCCACTCTTGTACTTTCGGTCACTAGTCTCCTGTTGGAGGAGAAAATAGCAAAATGTGGTAACATTCACCAGAAATCACTGCATCCATGCCTTAAGTCTATGGAGAAAGGAGAATTATTGCAGTCAAACAGTGTTGCTCTACCACTAAAGCATGTGAGGTTGGCTGGTAGTGCCCTGGTTGAACTGGAGGAATGAGTTTGGCTTTAAAGGGAAGTAAAATACGATGGGAAATGTTTATGTTTCCATTTCTTCTAATACTGCAGCTACATCCTGCTGAGGCTGTGCAGAAGGGCTCAAGGAACTTGGGAGAGCCATCAATGTCCGGATGGTCTGCAAGGCTGTGTTACCATGGGGGCTCCACAGAACGACCTCTGTACAAGGGTTCCTGTGGAAAATGAAGGAGGGAGGTGGTTATCCTTACAAGCCGTCTGTATCTTCTCTGCTCCACCTTCCCTCCCCAACCCTCTGTGATACCTACAGAGAGCAAAACACCTCTCTAGGTGGGATGCCGACTCCTCCAGGTCCCCCTTGCAAGAAAGAAGGATGCGTCAGCATGGGGCAATTTTCCATGATGAACTCCCCATCCACAATTACATTGTCAAACTCATTCTCTTCTGCGGAACTGGTTTCTTTACTCGTTGCCTCTTGGGACAGCCTGGGATAGAGAAGATCATCATGCAATGCGTTACAAAGGCAGCTGCCATATGATGACTCGGAGTCTTGGTCCGGTTTTGCCGACAGTGCAGCCATCCTCTCCAGGATGTCAGGCAGGAGTTTTTCCTAGCCCTGCCTGGGCCCTCTGGCCCGTGTGTGTGTGTGTGGGTCCTCCTGTCAGTGAGCCACAGCCCCTCCCACTTGGCCATGTCCCCCTTCTACCAGCCAGAAATCACAAGCACCATTAATGTTGTGTTGCATTCTCTTTCCCTGCTCCCACCTTCTAAAAGCCCGTAGCAATCCCAAGTACCTCTGCTGCAGCTCTTTTAATCGGGCATAGGCCTGCTGCCATTTGGGGTCGTCGTCATGAACAGGGAAGCCGTTGGAACTGTAGATGTGGTCATTGTCCAGGCTCAGGGAGTTAAAACGGGCAGCCATCTTGTCCTCTGAGAGGAAGTGCTTGGAAGTGGGCTCCCTGTTGAGGTGCAGATAGTGATGGCAATGATTGGTCCTGCTCCAACCTCACTTAAACTAAAGCCTAACTTCATTTCCTAACTAGGCCTTCCTGCACTTTACTTCTTAAATAAATTATTGGGGCACTTGGTTAAAAGGATGGCAGAAAACTGTGCAAACATGAGGACTTTCAAAAAAGCAGCATGAGACTCTTTGGTCTGCTGCACTATAGCCATGTATCCTGAGCTGTCAAGGGAGCTTTTGATGTGAATGTCCTCCAGCATAAGTACATGAGATGTTCCTAAGGCAGTCATGAGAATAATATGAAACTGCACACTTCATATAAGGCCACAAATGCAACAGGTGTAACAAAATGCTTTGCTGTCTGAGCATTTAAGTTATGCAGGGTTCAAAATACAGTGCTGGGGAAAAGGGTGAAACTCAGTTCTCTCTCCATCCACTGCAACTTTCTTATTCTTTTTCTATTGCAGATGGAACGTTTTGTTTTTCTGCTGGAAGTTTCTTCTTACATTTTTGAAACTACAAATAAAACAGTAATAAACTCATGGCAGTAAATGAAATGGTACTTAACCTAAACTGTATTTCCAATATAAAATAGAAGTACTCCATTTTTCTATAAATAATTTTCTGACCATCCCTCTTGCACTCTAATCACATTTCCTCCCGGTTGCATCCCAAACCCTCACACACCAATCAACAGCTGGAGGGTTGGCAACCTTCCAGCTACATCTTACTGCCGCCATTAAGGGAACAGTCGTTTCCACATCATCAGTTGGGATTACAGTCTAACATACAGTAGTGTGTCCAAAGAGAGCTCAGCATGTACGCTTCACTCATCTTTACCATCCTCTAAACATTTACTATTTTGGAGCAGAACCTGAAAACAAGGTGTATATTCACTGGAAGCAACCTGCAACACTAATCCTCTACCACCCTAAAGATCTTACTAAGCCTGAGTTGTGGCTAGTAGTGTGTAAAGAGAAAATTCTCTTATATTCATACACAGTTTACTATTTGCATTGTGTTTTCTAATCCAATCCCAAAAGTTCTGAATGATTTGCCTTCCTAAACCATCTCCCCGTTAATCTTGCAGATGTTCCTTATCATGTTAAGATCAGCTGTAATTTCATATGCCCCCCATTTGATATTATTGCTTCACATTTCTAGCAACCCTTATTTAAAGAGCAATTGGCATATCATATGATTTCTGTTTCGTTTCACCAAGAATTTCCTAACTTTTAATATTACCATTTAAAACCAGATTTCTGGGCTCTATTAAATCATATTTCTCCTGAAGATCTAGTTCTGATAAAAAAAAATGAGCTGTATTTTCTACCCCCCAAGAATTCCAGAAGTAGCATATGATGATGAGCTTGATGACAAGCCCCCATCCCCATCCCTGTTCTCTTGTCTTCCTCCACACTTACTGATCTCTGTTCTCAAGATGGCGCTTGGAACCCAAGGAAGCTGGCCGGCACCTAAAACAAGAGGTTAGAGTTGCATTCAGGGACCAACGATTTCCTCACTTTAACTATTTTGCCCAGCTGACATACCTATTTTTTTAGCTGAAATTAAACAGATGCTCTCTTGCAGCCTAAAGGCCATGGGACTGCCCATCTCACTGTATATCTTCAGATCTAGGGAGCCCTGCCAGCTGCAGCAAGGCAGAAGCCCGACAGAAAGACGGCTGCTTCTGTGGTGCCCCAATTATGGTGGGCTTGCTTAGCTCCCAGTTATGCTTTTGGTGACATGCAAAGAGCCTTTTATTTTCCAAAGCTTGAAAAATTTTGCAGGTTTTAAAAATTTCTAACAATTCCCAACTTTTCCTATGATATTAGTATTGTCTAATTATTTTAGTCAAATTGTAGGGTTTTAAAAAACTGCATGTTATTGAAAAGTACCTAGGGAATCTTAAGAGCTGCAAATGGGAAATACCCAAGGGAAATAAATCAAGAACGTTTGAATATAGTGGACCATCTCTCCTTTTCTATCCACCTTGTCTGTCAAAGCTGAAATATAAAAAGAGCAGCTGTAGCATTCTCCCCTTGGCATCATTCTGACAGCCACTAGCAGGCAGATTGTTTGCTATTACATGCCACCAAGCTGCCTCTAATTTATGGAGACTGTATGAATGAGTGCCACTCAAAATACCCTGCCCATGACACTCCTATTCGGCTCTTGTCAACTCAAGCCTAGGACTTCCTTTGTGGAATACAATAAACACCAGATGGGTGAGTAACCTTGAAAATACCTTCTTCTTTCCTTGACACAAAGCCTATCTTTCTACCTTTGCCGAAAGAAAGGTCCTTACAGAGCACATGCTTACCGGGGCCGTTGTGTGCCGCCAAAGTTCCCCCATCGGTGGCCCAGCTTTACCCATAGTGGCCTCTGTGTTGCATCCCACTGGTAGCTGGAAACAAGGCTGTGGCTCCAGCCCTTGTTCCCTGTCAAGACAGAACAGCGCAGGAACCGGCTGGGTGGCACGGCTGTTGGTGCCTGCTGGCTAACCGTGGGATCCATCTGCAAGGCAAGGTGCAAAAAGGAAGGCTGACTGTTGAACTGAGTCTCTCTCCTCTCACACGGCCATGATTGTGCCAGTCTTTATTGGGCTTAACTGAACCTGAGGTTGTTAATGGAAACATGCATATCACAATCATAGGATGTTGTGGGACTGTTGTGGGGGTAGACCATGAAGCTGCCACCTTCACATAGGTGGGTCACTTGGAGCACACACATTGGACCAGTGGCTTCCCAGCACTGAGTTCCATTAAACAAGGTGCAGAGGAAACCCCTTGTGACTTAGAGCAGTGGTGGCAATAGGTGTTTAGATATTTTGGACTTCAGCATCTGGCATTCCTCACCTCTGGCCATGTTGGTAGGAGGTCCTCATAGCTGAAACCCAGAACAACAGGGGCGATCTACTTTCTACCCATCCCTCTTAAAGCATTTGAGAAAGCTGTGCCTAGGGTCACACTCAGTTCATGCGGGATATTGAGTTGTGTTGCACCATGAGGACAGAATGCATTCAGTGGCCTTTGGAAGCCCTGTATTGCAGGGACCACTTGAATGGAGCAAGCCAGGTAGTGCCACCTGCTCAGTTACTTTATTGAGGAATCCAGGAACAGAGTTTGTAAAGCCACTGCATTAAACAAGTGGTCTGCCATTTATTTATTTATTTATTTATTTATTTATTTAGCAGACATTTCCACCAACCACCTGTGGTCTCCTTGATGAAATTCAAAGTAGTGGCTTTGAACTTCCAAGAAATCTAACTCACAGATTATCTGCTTATCCCCACTGTGGTCTCTATCAGCTATAGCTGATTTAGAATACTGTAACCGAGTCCCAGCAAGTACTTCCCTGGGATGAAAAAAAGGCATTTTATCCAAGCAGACATTTTTAGCTGCATATTATGGGCAGTATAATATATACTGCCCATAATATGTATAATATCCACTTTCAGTGGATAGTGTTAAAAATTAGACGATACTGGAATAAGAACTTAAGTCATCCTGGAACAGATCAAAGGCCTAGCTAGTCTCATATTTTTTCCACACAGTAGTCAACTAGATGCCCATGAGAAATCCAAAAGACACAAGCACAGTAGCAACCTCCCACCCGTTTCCTCCAGTAACTGGCATACAGAAGCCTCTTGCCTTTGACACTGGAGTTAATATATAGCCAGTTACCATGACTAGTATCTATTGATATCCCCGATGAATATGGTCAATCTTCTTTTAAAGCCTTCCATATTGGTGAGAACTCCAGTTTAACTATGCTCTGCGCAATGCATTTCCTTTTAGCTGTCCTGCACTTCCCTTCAGTTAGCTTTATGGGACCTGGGATCTAGTATCATGACAAAGGGAATAAAATGTCTCCCTAACCACTTTTTCCACAGCATGTTTAACTTTGCACACCTCTGTCGTGTCTCTCCTTCCTTGCTTTTTTTTCCTAGGCAAAACAATCCTAAGCAAAGATACTGCATTTGATCAAAACAAATATCTGACAGTTGTAGTGCATAACGCAAGACCGCAATAATTGTTTTTCTTTTTTTAAAAAAATTGATCCTGATTGTGGAAATTGGGGGATTGTGACTTCTGATTCCAAAGACTTTCTTTGCATCTGGAAAGGTCACGTGCGGCTCACGATTATCAAAGCCAACTCAGGATAAAGCAAGCTTGCCTTGCCCTGCCTTGCGCGGGCTAATCCTGCCCACGCCCACGCCAGGTCAAGGCTTAGGTGAGGATCCCAATAGGCTTTGCGCCCGCCTGCAGCCATTTTAAGGGCACTCCCAGCATGCCTTGCGCTTGCAGGAGCCCCTCGTAGGCGTGCCCACTCTACAGGAAAGGGCGTGGCTACTTAGCAAGCGGGGCAGTACACCGGCTAATTCCTTGCACGTGCGGCTTGCTGCGGAGGGAACGCGACGACACCAAAGGTTAGTGCAGGCACGCGCAGCCGCGGGGACTGCTGGGAGAAGCAGCTAAGGGTCGGAGGCTGAGAGTAGTGTTGACGCATAAATGACGGATTTCTTACCGCCCGGAGATTATTTCTTCTCCACAAGAGATGCTGGATTCTTCTCTATAACAAAACAGGGAACTAGCAGGGGCATAGAGCGCCCAACGGATTCTCTTGTCACGTGACGTGGGAAGTAATCGTGCTGCGAAGTATGCTGGGAAAAGTAGTCTGTTTGCCTCCTACTGGCCCGTTCGGCTGATGTGTTGACTTACGGAGTCTCCGAATCCCGTCGCGCCTTGGATCTTCTTTCTGCCGCTCTTTCTTCTCATGACCATAGAGATAAAGATTTGAGAGCTCCCCCTGGCGTCGGATAGAGGAAGTGCGACATACCTTCGTCCTCCTTGAAATGGCTGGGACACGAGAGGGGCCTGCCTGCACTTCAGGACTAGCTTTGGGTTGGCCTGGATTTGAAGGAGCGCTGGGATTACCTGTTTATTAAAGTCACCGTCCTATGCACGTTTAAACAGGAAGCCGCTCCCATAATTCCCAGCATGCTGAAAAGGGAACGCTGGGAGTTGTAGGATTTTTTGTTTAGACCTTTGTTTCAAAGGGGAGGTCGTGCAAAAGGGCTTACAGAATATAAAAAGCATAACAACAATTTATACTAAGTTCCAAAATAGCCGTAGCGGAGGCAAAAGCACAAGTAACTAAAACTAAAGAAAGCTAAACAAACGGAGGAAAATGCTTATTTAATTTCAAACAGTGCTATGAATGTTCACTCAGTAGTTCCAACTGTGTTCCATGGTCCTACACGTCAGTGCACACAACTGGAGCGTGCTACAAAGTACTGGATTGTACTACACTTCTTTTACTCTTTCTGTCTTCAACAAGCTTTGCAACTTAATGATCTTAGTTATTTTTGAAGACATACCTCTGTTTTTATGTGGTACAATGATAGTGACACACGCGCTGGTAACTTCCCGATTGGATTTCTGCAACGCACTCTACGTGGGGCTACCCTTGAAGACGGTCCGGATACTTCAATTGGTGCAGAATAGAGCTGCCAGGCTGCTGACGGGGACTGGGCGTTGTTCTCATATAACCCCAGTTCTCCGTCAGCTCCACTGGCTCCCGATTGAAGTCTGGGCCCAATTCAAGGTGTTGGCTATGACCTATAAAGCCCTCAACGGCTTAGGACCTGGATATCTAAAGGAACGCTTGCACCCATATATGCCCTTCCGCCCCTTGAGATCAGCAACAGATGCCTTTCTCCGGGAACCCTCTGTGAATGATATTAGGAGGGTGAGTATCCGGAGGAGGGCCCCATCTATGGAATGCGCTCCCCAGAGAGGTCCGCCTGGCGCCGTCGTTATTTGTTTTTCGGCGCCAGGCTAAGACTTTTTTATTTTAAACTTATTTTAATTGTTAAATTATTGAATTAATTAGGATTTTAAAATTTTTAGCCGAGAATGCACCGGGGTTTTTAAACGATTTTTTTAAATTGTTATATTATCGTTATGTATGTATGTATTTATGTATTCTTTGTGAGCCGCCCCGAGGCTTTGTTGAGATGGGGGCGGCATAGAAATGTTTTAAATAAATAAATAAACCAACGGAGGCAGCTTTCTATAAGAATGGAGACCCAACAAAATTAAAAACAAATAGTAATAATAAAAATATAAGAAAAGCCATGCTGAATCAGCAAGAGCCCATCTAGGCCAACACTCCATGGGTGGCAAACCAGCTGCTCACAGGATCCCTCAGGCTGTATGAGTGCAAGACCTCTGCCTGTCTAAGCTCGTCAACAACTGGTGTATGCAGGCATGTCACCTCCGGAAAAGGAGGTAGCACATAGCTAACAGGGCTAGTAACCACAGACAGCTATTCAAAACCTTTTAGAGCCATCCAGATCGGTGGCCATCATCACTTCCCATGGCAGCGAATTCCATAGTTTAACTATACACTGTGTGAAGAAGTGCTTCCTTTTCTCTGTCCTAAATTCTTCTTGTTCTTGTTACCTTTCCTGCTCCATCTTTCGCCAGATGGACATCCAGCGATCCCTTGAACTCTTGCATATGACCATTTACTCCCAGAGTGTCTCACCTTGTGGCAAGTATTTAGCAGCTGGGAACAGCTATGGAGAAATCGCCATATTCAGGTAGTCAGTCTTCTCATAATATGAAGTGTACTTTTGCGGGGTGGGCAACACACACTTCCAAACTATCTTATATGTTGGGTATCTTCATGCACAGCCTCTCAGCAGCACTGAGCTCTGAAGCCAAGGAGGAGAGCAAGAAACCAGTCATGACCTTTGTAGGTAGGTGTCTGTGGTCAACGGAACAACTCAGACATGGTTTAGTTGTCTGGCACCATTGCCTGTTTTGGGCAATGCCAGGCGTTCTCATGAAGTACATGCTCTGGTCAGAGGTTGGCAGCTAGCATGGTTGGGCGAGTGTCGGGACCCTGAGACTGACACTAGCATCCCTTTTTGGTTAGACCGCATTTTAAGGCCCCAGGACTGAGAGCAGAGGCACTGGGCCAGGCGGCAGCAGTGGCCACCCATCTTCCAGTATCCAGGGAAAATCCATGCCTCGGGAGGTCCTCTGTTTGCCTGCATGAGGAACGTATTTATTAACGCTCACTGATATCCAGCTGAGAATTTCCCAGGGTGCATTTCACTCGGCTGTGCCAAGTCCTTCCTTGAAACCTGCTGCTTTCTTTTGCTTAGCGCACGATGGTCCTGTCTACGCCATGGTATCCACGGACCGGCAGCTGTTAAGTGCTGGCAATGGTGAAGTCAAGGCCTGGAATTGGAGTGAAATTGTGAAGAAGGTACCGTTAAGCGGCTTATCAGTCCCCTTGCAGTGTTTCTCTATGTCCCCGTGTGTTTTTCACATCCTTTTGCCTTTTGCTTCAGGGTTGCAAAGAAGCCTGGAGTCGGAGGCCACCTTACGGGTATGCCTTTGTTTCCCTCTTTCATGTTCCTCACAGTCTTTTACCTTCCTCTTTACACACAGTACAAGATGCAGTGCCTGTCTTTCCCTTTCTCTACAGGAGCAGCCTGGAGGTGCCAGAAATCAACAGCCTTCAGCTCAATCTCAAGGTACAACTGCAGCACCCTGGAGGTTTCAACACACCCCATTTTGCTGCGTCACAGCACGTCTTGTATGTATTTTCCCTTTCCTTCAGGACAACAGCCTTTTAATGGCTGGGGGAGACTGTGCCATTCACATGATGGATCTGGAGTCTGGAGTCTTCACTGTGAGTCTGGGGTGTGGGGCAGGTGAGATGTGGGGATGTATCCCAGGCTTAGTGCAGCGGTTGGAAACCTCTTGCGGCCTGAAGGCCAAATTCAGGTCTGGGGCAGCTCTCCAGGGCTGCCCTCCAGTGCTGGGCACACTGAAGGCAGATGGGTGGGAGCAGACCATGCAGCATGTAGAATTCTGGAGGCTGAATGTGAGGTTTTCTTCCTCTTGGCTTACTGCAGTACAGCAGCCAAGGGGCATCTCACTAGATCATTCTTCAATTGTTATTAAAATCTGGATAAGTTCTCCTAATCCGCCAATTTTTTCCTACTTCCTCAGTCAGTTTCCAAGCTTTTTGCATGCTGTCAGTTCCCCTGCAAACTGGGAGAGCTAAAAACAACTGGCAGCTCAGCTTTCTGTGTTCTACCGCAATAGCAACACCATGTTCCACTGCAACAGTGGATCACAGAGGCTTGCAAGTCTGCCTGAGCACCATAATATGTCATGTCTCTCCATTCCCCAGGGCTGGGCCTCTTGTTCCTGCAATTTAAATCACTTTCAAATTCTGTTGGTCTCTCTTACAGCAAGAATATCAGGGCCACACTGATTATATCCACTGTCTTGCTCTTCGGGAGCAGCTCAGAGAGTGCCTGTCTGGAAGTGAAGATGGGACTGTGCGCCTCTGGGGTAAGGACCTGTGGTTTAGTGCTGGGATGGGCAGCAGTGAGATCTGTAGATGTTTTGGACTTGAGTTCCCAGAAGCCCCTGTGAGCATGGCCAATGGTCAGGAACTCTGGGACCTGAAGTCAAAAAGAAAAAATATAGAAATCTACTTTCTTCCCATCCCTGGCTGATGTTTCTTTTCCACCTACCCCTCTTTCAAACTCCCATTGTGTATTAAAACTAGCTGGGGAGTTCCTGATGCATTTCCCATGTTTGAGGGTTCGTCACGAGGTAACTTCTTGGTAAAACCCACAATTTTGGAGGTTCAGTTGATCAGTACTTGTAGGAAGGCCCTTGGTGTCCTAGTGTCTTAACCTGAGAATTCCTTACCACTACAAATTAGGCAGGTGCCAACCCTGGTTTTTGGCACCAGCTGAAAACATACATTTTCCAACAGGCATTCCTGGGAAGATAAATAACCCCTGTTTATGAAGACTTGGGGGTTTTTTGCTTAGAAATTTCCTTAATGACTCATATTTTTGAATCTCTAAATATGCCCAATGTTACATGGAACTCATCATTCTGTTTTTTACTAGCTTTTGTGTGTTAAATTTGGGAGATTTAAACCCCACTGGCCTATATCTTCAGAGTGAAACAATGGGAAATGACTGACTATATAAAACAATTGGAAAGAAAGGGTTGCTCTCACTCAAGGATCTCTATTTTGCAGATTTACGTACTGGAGGTCAAGTTCAATCAATTGAAGTGCATAAATATGAGGTATGGTGATCTCCAGTTTATTTTTCCTGCAACCCAGAAAATATACAGCATTCCTGTCCTTGCCATTTTTCATTCTACACCTATTAAACATTGTATTTTTTCATTATTTTATTTAATTGAAAAAAGCATGAGACTTTAACCAAAATCAAGCAGCCACCAGTAATAAAGAATAAGGGAGTTTGCAGCTCATCGAAACAATTCCTAACCTAAACCAGATACATACATTAACATCACACATATAAGCTCGTACATTATCGATGCAAGATAATCCTTTGGGAAAGCAAGCTATTACTTGGTTCCAATAAGTCTTCTGAAATGGAGGCCTAACATCGCCATTTAACCAATCAGTGAATGACCTTCCTTCAGCCATCTTCCCCTAACCCTTGCCTCAACTCCCTTAGGAATGCAACCGGCCACAGTATGGGAAATGGATCCGTTGCCTGGCAACTGACTCTGACTGGATGGTGAGTGCATGGACTTCTTGCTTCTGGAAGGGTAGGGCATGCCAGTCTTGGGTGTTCAACGGGTTTGACTGTTCTTGGGTGTCTCTTCAGTCCAACATCACTAGCATCAGCTTCTTCTTCTTGGGAGCACCCTAGACTGTTTCCCTTTTTCTGAAAACCAATGTTTTGAAGCAAGAGGCCCTTGATGGTTCAGCCTTGGAGAAGTTTGTTTGACAAGCAGTAGATGAGTGTTGCTTTGGTGTGTTTTCTCCCCCTTCTGTATCACCACTGTGAACAAAAGGGCTAATGAGGGAATGCCTGTGATGTAATGGAGGGAGCGGCTAATGCATTTAATCCGTTCCATGTGTCTCCTCCCGTAGGTGTGTGGTGGGGGCCCAGCGCTCACCCTGTGGCATCTCCGTTCGGTCACACCCACAACAGTATTTCCTGTGCCCCAGTGCCAGCAGCAAGTGATGTTCTACCAGGACTTGGTAAGTCTCCAGCCTCTGGGCTCAAGACCTAAAAGCTTCCTGCCCCCCACCCCTTTTGTGTAAACTTTTTAAAATTCTTTCTGTATCGAGTCAGTCTTTCTTTCTCTCTTCTCTTCTTTCATGCTTAGGAGTGCTTTCAATTTCTTCCTTTCCACTAAGCATCTCTCTCTCCACCCAAATCTTATTGTCCACAGATTTTCTCAGCTGGCCACAGTCCAACTATTAACCATTTACAGATCAGTGGGGAAGTGAAGGCCCAAATCCCTTGCATCCCTCGTTGCGTTCACTCGCTCTCCATCAACGAGCATTCACCAGAGCACAAGGTACCTCCCACGGTGGGAATGACAGAACTGGAAACGATCATTGCAGCACGTACAGTTTTGTGACTGCAGTCCTGGAGTGGAGGTGGGGCCTGGGACTTTGGACCAAAGATGATGTAATCCAGGAGGAAAAGGGCCTGGATAATAAGTATTTATTTAGTTTTTGTTGAAGGCATTGAAGTTGTGAACCGGGGCTTTGGCTGAAAGAAACCCAGGGGCCAGGGCAGATAAATGGGGAAGTTTTGGATTTGTTTCTTAAAATGTTAAAGGAGCAGGGGAGTGCCCCTTAAGGTGAGTCTCCAAGAAAAAAAAAAGAAAAAAGAAAAGAAACAAAAAAAAGGTCCAGGTATGGTAAGCCTCAAAATTGTACTGCTTATATAAAAATAACATGTTGGAAAGCCTATGGCAGCAACTGGTGGAAAGTTCTCTTGGGCACGGTCCCTTTCACTCGTGCAGCCAGTCCTCCAGAAGTGACTTCTCTTGGAGTTCTGTTACAGATCCTGATACTGTATAAGGGCTTTCATTTGCCATGCCTGTCCCTCAAGGTGTGACTACACGTCACCGCATGGCTTGGGACTCTAGCACTAGTGGGGGACAGGGGGACTTTAAGCCTCCCCCACCTCATGGTTCTGCTCTGGATCTGCTCCCACACGCCTCCAGTTTACACTGTCACAGTGGCATTCAGCTGTAAGATCAATCACAGTCTTATCCGCTACCCACCACTCAAGGGAGCAGATCCATATTAACCCTATAACAAACCATGGGTTAATTGCTGTGGTGCTTAGCCTCTAAATGACCAATGCTCTGGGTTCGTTCGTCATACTCCTATGAATATAGCAATTGTGGGTTGTTAACAGCAAGCAGAAGCAAAGAATATGCTGGATTAATGGCTGTTAGATAGGCAAAGGGCATGCAAGGCGGTGTCTCACACAAGGAGCATGAGCCATTACACTGATCGTGCACATAGCCTCCCATGGTCTGGCCCTAATAAATCAGTCTCCTTGTGTGTCAGAGAATCAATTTAGATTAGTGGTGGCATAGAAATTTAAAAACAAATAAGCAGAACCATGATGCGGGGAATGTAACATATTTTAGAATGATAAAGTTGTATTATGGGGAAGGAACAGAACTGGAGTTTAAAGTGAGAAATATGTGGGAGATGGAACTGGGTCAGAAGCAGAATGGGTAGGATACGTATTCAGCCAGTTCCAGCCCCATGCCCATGTTAGCTGCATGAAACCCACATTTCCCTCTGCTCTCCTCCCTCAGGTGCTGACTGCAGCTGGAAGCAGCCACCGCATCGATGTTTTCACCAACTTTGGTTACCGGGCCTTTTCCCTTACCTTCACCTAGTGCTATTCAGTATCTGCCTCTTGTAAATACTCCTCTTTCTTAATTCTGGTATCGAGCAGGGAGTGCTTGTGTGACAGCAGGCAGTCATCTTGGGTGACGTGTGCCATTGGTCCGGGAGGGCGGTGCTTCTCTAACCACCAAGGAGAACCCCACAACCCTCCCATAATCCTTTTAGGACTGCTTGGAGTGCATGTCCATGGCTTTACAGTTGTGGTGTAAATGAAGGGCACTGAAGATGCTGCCCATGCTGGCTGTATTCAGAAGCCCCCATTCCAAAATTGGAATAGATTCTGCACTGCAGGAAATTATCTCTTTATCCTATGTCAGATTAAGTGCGTTATAACAATGTAACATTTTTATATTAAAGAGTCAGCAAGTTTTGATTGCATCTTCTTACACCTTTTAGCCTATCCTTCCTTCTTCCTTAAGGCAGCATAAATGATTCTCCCCCTTTTTAATTCTCTCAGCAACCCTAGTGAAGTAGATCAGGATGAAAGGCAGTGACTGGCACAAGATCCACCCAGTCAGCTTTGCAGCTGAGTAGGGACTTAGAAACACAGAGAGTCTGAAGGGTCCTCCTGGGCCATCTAGTCTGACCCCTTGGGAGGCCTATCCCTGTCTGGTTGGGGATTAAAATGTATTATTAGGCAGCATACAAGAATCAAACATAGCAAAAATGCAGTGATAAAAGCAGTAAAAACAGCAATAGAATCACCAACAGCAGCACATAGTAAAAATTGGAAACACTAGCATAAGATAAATTAAACAAGACACCTCTGGCTATAACTCAGGCCAATAAAGCAATAAATACGCCAGTAAGTAGTGAAACTTCTGAGGTATATAATCAATTTATACCGATCAGTTTATTTGATCCAGTTGTCTTGCCTCCCACAACCCCTTGCTGCACCAGCTGCAGTTTCTGGACTGTCTTCAAAGGCAGCCCCATGTACAACGCCTGGATGTTTTACAGACATAGGTTTGTGAGGCAAGTCGCGTCCTTTCCAGGTAGGGCTGCAGCTGGAGTACTAGCCTGCACTGGTGAAAAACATTCCTGGGCATCCCAGTCACTTGGGCCTTCCCACCTGATGCAGAGTGCATGAGGACGTTTAAGCCCACACATTTGGGAAGGGACTACAACCTTATCTAAGTCCAGTTGTAACCTCCACCCTGGGTAAGTTGGTTTCCCAACTCAAGGTACCTGTCTTTTCTGGATCAGATTTCAGTTGCATGGGATTTGTAGTCCAGCACAACTGGAGGACACCAAGTTTGGGGAAGGCTTCTCTAATCAATAGACCACACTAGCTGTGTTGGGCTGGTGGAACGAGTAAGTGTGAAGACAAGTTGTTTAGGGTGTTTTTGCTGTCTGAAGCTTTTTTGTGATCTTTGGCCAGCTGGTCATGCTTTCAGGCATTCACCCTGCGACTGTGAGGGGTGGAGGCTTTGTCTCCATGAAAAGTGAGATAACTTGTGGTCCCCCAAATGTTTTGGGCTACAACTGTTATCACAGGCTGTGCTCTCCAGGTCTGATGGGAGTTGTAGGCTAAAACATCAGGAAAGTTGGCAGTGGCCCAGCCTGCTTTAAGTTGTGGGAAAGCTCGGGCAGGATTGCCACCTCTGTGTCATGGAAACAAAAGTGTAGCCATTAATTTCTTAGTTCTTTACATTGGATTGACACAGTCCTCTTCCTCAGAGATTTCTGCCTCCTCATACATATGTTCATCCTCCATCCTTTTCAGCTCCTTCAGCTCTTCTTGATGTTTTTGCTTGAACTCCTGCAGGGCTGCCATCTTCTCCTCGTATTCTGGGCTGACACAGTCCGGCAGCTCAAGATCCGGCATTAAGTATCCCACGGGATCAGCCAGCATGGCTTCTGCCTCATGGCAAAGGGCCTCCAAGGCCAAGGGCCGATAGATGGCGTTGTTGGATTTGTAGCACCTGCTGAAAAGGTTGACAGGCGCCAGGAAGTAGTGAGGGAGCCTTCTTTTGGTGAGTGTGTGCTTTAGGATTGCCAGAAGGGCTTGCAGTGCAGACAGCAGAGTTTCCCACTGTGCCTTCTGTGGATAAATTTCACAGCACCACAGCAAAATGGTCTGCAAGAAAGGGGAGAGAACGGAAAATCCCAAGGATAGGCAACTCCCAGAAGCCTCTAGCCTGCACAGCCAGTGATCAGGAATTCTGGGAATTGTTCAGAACATCTGAAGGGCACCAGGTTGGGGCAGGTCAAAGGGAGGTTACAGGGAAAGGAATTGGGACAGCTTTATCAACTGTGGTGTGGGGGGTTGAGTGGATGACAACCAATCTGGCATAGTAGTTAGGGTACTTTACTGGTAGGTGGGAAATCTGGGCTCTAGTCTCTACTATGAAACTCACTGGGTGACTTTTGGCTAGTCACTCTCACCCCAACCTACCTCACAGGCTTGTAGTAAGGTAGTCCTCTTAGAGCAATGATGGCGAACCTTTTAGAGACCAAGAGCTCAAACTGCAACCCAAAACCCACTTATTTATCGCAAAGTGCCAACATTGCAATAAAACCTGAAAACTGAGGTTTTAGTTTAGAAAAAACAATTCTCAGCCAGTCCAAGCGGCAGCACACTGACCGGCCATGTGAAAGCACGGATGAGTCATGGCTAATGAGTTGCAGGTTGTGATGTCATTGCTGGTGCCGCAACTCCTTTCTGAACATGTGCACGGCCCCTATGTGCACTGTTATCCAATGCTCGACTGCTGGGGTGATGCTGGGGCGACTTGGCTCACGTTCTGAAAGAGGGCTCTGCGTGCCCACTATGGCACGTGCCCCAAAGGTTCGCCACCACTGGCCTAACCCTACCCTGGTGACCTCCCCTAACCCTAATATAGCGTTAAAGTTCCATTGAAAGGGGTGATTTTGAAAAAGCCTTCCTTGAGTAGCTTCTTCTGCACAGCTCATCATTTCTGCCCATTCTAAACACATTCCAACCATCAAAATCATGCCAGGACACCTCGTGTTTCTAACCCTAACCCTGCCCTGGTGCACTCCCCTAACCCTAATATAGGGCGAAAGTGCCATTGAAAAGAGGGCTACTTTGAAAAAGCCCTCCTTGAGTAGGTTTTTCTGCGCAGCTCATCATTTCTGCCCATTCTAAACACATTCCAACCATCAAAATCATGCCAGGACACCTCGTTTTTCTAACCCTAACCCTACCCTGGTGCACACCCCTAACCCTAAAATAGGGCTGAAGTTCCATTGAAAAGAGGGCGATTTTGAAAAAGCCTTCCTTGAGTAGCTTTTTCTGCACAGCTCAGCATTTCTGCCCATTCTGAACACATTCCAACCATCAGAATCATGCCAGGACACCTCGTTTTTCTAACCCTAACCCTACCCTGGTGCACTCCCCTAACCCTAATATAGGGCGAAAGTGCCATTGAAAAGAGGGCTATTTTGAAAAAGCCTTCCTTGAGTTTTTTGAACCCTAACCCAGTGATGGTGAACCTTTTAGAGACCGAGTGCCCAAACTTCAACCCAGAACCCACTTATTTATCGCAAACTGCCAACACTACAATAAAACCTGAATACAGCCAGTCCAAGCAAATAAATATATATCCTTGGCAGTGCACTGACTGGCCATGTGAATGCTTGCAGGAGTTGTGGCTAATGAGTTGCAGCACGTGACATCATCACCTGGTGCCGCTACTCCTTTCCGAGCATGCGCATGGCCCCTCTCTGCGGTTATCCAGTGCTTGGCTGCTGGGGCGATGCTGGGGCGACTTGGCTTGTATGCCGACAGAGAGGGCTCTGTGCGCCCGCTGTGGCACACATGCCATAGGTGCGCCACTACTGGCTTAGTCTTTGGACTAGGATTGTGGAATATAAGTTGAATAAATAGATAAAGGTAAAATGAAGAGGAGAATTATGCAAGTCTCCTTCAGTTTCTTGCAGTAGGCAAAGTGGGATATAAATATATAGTATTCCTACTACTACTTTCACTGGTTACCTGAAGGAGCGCTTACACCCATATATGCCCGCCCCTTGAGATCTGCAGGAGAGGCCCTTCTCCGGGAACCCTCCGTGAAAGAAATTAGGAGGGTGGGTACTCGGAGGAGGGCTTTCTCTGCGGTGGCGCCCAATCTATGGAATGCACTCCCCAGAGAGGTCCACCTGGCACCGTCATTATTTGTTTTTCGGCGCCAGGTGAAGACCTTTTTATTCAAATGCTATTTTAATTGTTAATGTTATTTATTTTACTTCTCGGGCCAGGTCAAGTCATATTATATTGTTTTATACTGCTCTTATTTATTTATTATTGTGAGCCGCCCTGAGGCTTCGGCGAATGGGGCGGCATAGAAGCCTTCCAAACAAACAAACAAACAAACAAACAAACAAGTGATCAGCAGATGCTTTTGAGCCCACATCTGACTCACTGATGGCTGTCTCCCTGGCCCTCACCTGGGTAGCAGGGATGGGAGGGAGGGAGGAAGGAGTACAGAACAAGAGAGGAGCAGCAGAGGCTCTGGATGGCGGGGAGAGGGTGTTGGTTGGTCACTTCAGAAAGAGTTGAGGGGCATTGCCTTTTCCATCTACCCTGAATGTACCATCTCCAACTCTTTTTTTGTTTCCATGCGGACTAGAAAGCTTCCTTTTATATTTTTACCATGTGCAGATAATCAAGGTGTCTGATACTAGCCCTTGAAGAAGGGCTTCAAAGGGATCAGCTAAACTATCACCTTGGCTATGACACTGTTAGCATTTTGCTCAAATTTAGCAGTTTTACCTTGAGATGGTAGGAAGTCAGGATTTTGCCATACTCGGGGGTCCATCTTGTCTTGTTGACAAACTTCAGCAGTCTCAAAGCTGGCCGCCTCTGCCCTTCATCAGCATCAACATCTTCAATAAGCGTGGCCTCCACACGGCTGAAAGAGAGCCTAGCAGCAGCAAGAGGGTGGTTGTAAGAACAAGGCATTTATGGAGACATTTTGGCAGTTACTTTAGTTTGACGAACTCTCAAACACTCATTAACAGATCCTAAGTATGTTTTGACTTAAGAAGGAAAGGACTCATTTTGAAAAAGAAATCCCTTTAAACCGCAGCAGCAAAACAACTGGCTTCTGAAATTGTTGCCAGAGCCTAAGCACGTGCAAACTTCTGTCTTGCCTCCTGCTCATGACATCCGTGGAGCTTCATTTGTTTTTACCTCCAAAATCCTCCCTTGGCGACCAGCTCTGGCCCAAGTTCCCAAAGAGCCCTTGCTTTCCGGAGGAAGTTTTTCTTCTCATTGGTCAGGTCTCCATCCCACCAGTCAGAAAGATGGGTGAGGTCTTCCCTTATCCATTGGTTGGAGAGCTTGATGACTCCCTGAATAGCAGGCACCAGCTTCACTGGGACAGTTTCAACTCCTTCATCAAAGGCCAGCTCGATCCCTGGTCCCTCCAAATCTAAGGCCTCTAATCTTATTTTCTCTGTAAAGAGGATCAGAAGAAAGCATTACCCCAGAACTAAGGAGCAAGGGACGGAAAGAGGACTTATTTTTTGTATTATTCCTTTTATTGCATCTTTTCATGGAGTAGGAAGCCCATGGCAGTGCAAAACCTATACTTTAAACAATAAAAAGGGATGCTGAACGTCAAGGCTGTGTGTTATATCTGGCCTCCTAGCATTTTCTACATGTCCGTGCTCCTCTCCTTTTGATAATTTGGTGGCTTCCTGCCTTTCATCTGCCACTCCCCTCATTCCTCCCATTCTAAAAGGATTAAATACTTCTAAAATGTGATGGGAGGTTTTGGTAATTTTGGCCTACCCCACCACTGGAACGAGCCCCCAAGAGCGACTCTAAAATGAATTTGGCCTAAATTTTTATTTACAGCTCATGCATGTTTTCATATACACACACTTACCATGTCATCCCTCCGTGGTTTTAATTAAACCATTTATTTTGTACCTCGCCCCTTCAGTGCTTCTACTACCAGAGGAACTACATAAAAATAGCATTAATAACCATCCCACTTGCAAAGTTAAATAATCTAGAAAGAGAAGAAGCACTTCAACAATTGAAATTAAACTAAAACCAGAGAAAGAGAACTGAGAGGAGGGAAATAAAAGAAAAAAACAGGTGAAGGCCTGAGGAGAGCACTGCATAGGCAAGACACCCTTCCCCCATGGCCACCAGCTCCCTTGCTGCACCCCCCTTTTTTTGCTTCATAGTTTTCCTAATTTTGAGAAACTTTTACTATCAAGGCAGTTAATTCCAGGCTTGTCTTACCATTAGACTGAGGCAGCTCCTTGCAGGGGAGGGAGGTGGGGAAGAAAGGAGCAGTCGCCAAGTTTTGAAAGGCAGGAATTGTCCTGCGGTGCACCCCATAAGCTGGTCTGGTGCCCTCAATTTTTGTAAGGGGATGTTGCCAATGTTGAAGGCTGGTCAACTGCCCTTTTGGCGGGCTTTGTCCTTGGATGGGGCTGGCAGGGCTGGCATTCATGTCCTTTGTCTCTGCCAGCAAAACTTCTTGGGCCAGCCTTGATTTAATTCTCAGGCGCCTGAGACAACTCCAAAGCAGCCCAGTGGTGTGCTCTGGATGATCCACACAGGTGAAGGAATCCTCAGTAAAAAGGTATCTGGAGAGTAAATAAGCTCACCTCTAATCTTGTGCATCTTGGGGACTCGGGAGGGGAAAAGCCTTCTCTGGAAAACAGGATCTGATTGTTGATGAAAGGGGAAAAAAACCCACATCAATTCAAAGTAATGCAGATTTTATATGTTCACATGCCTCTTGTCCCAATGATGATTTAAATACTCACTTTAGCCTTACCATTTTGTTGAGGATGGGTGTACGCTGGGAAGGCAGGAAACAAAAATGGGAGAAATCGGTTAAGGGAGAATTGGTTGTGGACTGGAATGCTACACTGCTATTTCCCTCCTCCTGAGACAGGATTCCTATGCCTTGAAGAATGGCATGACAGGATAATCCCATTTCAAGAGATGTTTTGGTTCCTGTCTGGGGCTCAGTCCTTAAGAATCCTTTCAGAACAAGGGTTTGGTGCATCATTCTGACCATACCTGGATCCAAGGATATTTCTATACAGTGGTGGAAATCCTTCAGGATTTGAACTGGGTCAAGGTTGTGTTGGGTGATGCTCTTCTAGAAAAGCAAAGCAAAGAGGGTTTTGTATTCAGGGAACATCTGAAGGGAGAGAGGAAGTCAGCTCAAAAGTCAGTAGTGGGTGAGATAGTCTTTTCAACTGTTACGTTTGCCCTGGACAATACACGTGACTCTTTCAAGTGTGCATCTACCTAAAAAAATAATTGAGTCTATCTGGTGTCAAGAGGGCTGATTCACACACAGTGGAACTTGCTACGTTAGGGACTGGCAACTTGTTCGGGTCTTTAACTCCTCCACCATCTCTCCCGATCTACCTGGCTAGAGCTGATGGGAACTGTCAGCCAAAACACTGAAAGGGATGCAAGTTGTCCAACTAAGAAATAACTAAGAAATAACTTCAGTTAAGGAGCTTCTGTGAGCATCATGAGAGAAGCGCACAACTCTGTTCCTCTCTGTGTAGAAACCATTCAGACTTCATGGCATCCAGTTCCATTTTGCCAATGCCCACATTTATTTGTAGTAAATGTAATACTTTTGCAGCCACGGCAGAAAGAAACTACATAGAATGCAAAAGGTCTGTATTCATATCCTGCCTCAGCCAGGGCTTATTTCAGGATCATAGGCAAAATTCTCAGCATTCTCCCTCCACCTCAATAAAATGGAAATTGATGTTTTCATCCACTTTAGCCTTCCCCAGTGCGATGCACTCCAAATATTTGGACTTCAGCTTCCATCAGTCCCAGCAGGGATGTGGGTTTGACAGAAATTCTGATGTTGAAAATTAGCTTAATTTGCATAGGAAATATTTCATTTCACATCTGGAAAATGTTTTGATGCCCTAGATCAGAGTTATGTAAAGTGTGGCCTTCCAGATGTTTTACTCCATCATCCCTCACCATTGACTATGTTGACTGGGGCTGATTAGGCTTGTGGCTTAACCTCTGAAAGGCCACAAGTTGCCGGCCCCTGCTCTAGAGCAATCTCATTTAGCAATAATCTATGAGCCTTTCCCAACCTGGTGTCAGGCTGCAACTCCACGAAGTCCCAGGCCGCGTGGCCACTGGAGGGCGCAAGGCAGGCAAAGGCTGAGCCACGCGTCTTGGGATCCCGAGATACACTCCTCACGTGTGAATCCCGAGATGCAGGCCCGGAGCGAGGATGCTGTGCGGGCAAAGCCCCCTCGACCACCCATACCTGGCACTCATCGAGGCGATCCGGAATGATGAACTCTTCCTCTTCCTCCTCCGGGCCTTGCGGCTCACAGTAGATGTCCACGTACACCTCTCCCAGGAGCTCGAGGTCCACGAGGAGGCGGTTGCCGCGGTGCAGGACAGGCACGCCTTTCTCGCGGAAGATGTAGGTGGGCAGCCTCCGCTCGAGAGCGCGGGCGGCCCCCGCGGCGCCGCCGCCGCCGCCTCGCCCGCTGACCAGCGCCAGCTTGGGGTTGTACCGCACCGGGACGAGGTAGTCGAAGCCGTTGCAGTCCTCCGCTTCTTGGAGGTGCAGCCCCTCCGCGAAGCTCCCCACGGGCACGGGGGGCTTCCAGAAGAGCCCGTGGCTGGACTCCGCGGCCCACCTCGCCATCCTTTCCACCGTGTCCTTCGTCAAGGAGGAGTTCTTCCACACCCTCCAGCCCTTGTCCCCCAGGAGGAAGACCTTGTCCGCGTAGAAGCGCTGCAGGCTGCGCTCCCGCTCGCCCGGGTCCGCCTCGTCGCCCATTTTAAGCCGCCCCTCACTCTTCTTCGTCGAGCGGCTCCCCTCCGCTCTCAGTTTTCGCTTTCTCTTTCAGCAGAGCCTTCCAGCGGCGACGCTGCGTCCCGAAATGATCCCGCGGTGCATGCGTTGCACGTTTGTTGCAGCAAGTGCTCATGCACGGCAGGGCGGCGCGGTTGGGGCCTCCGCCTTAGGGGGCCACGGCAGAGCATTGCCTCGGGGGCCTTGCCCCGTCCCTTGCTGGCTTCCGCGCTTGACAGAGAGCTTTGTGGCTGTGCGGGCGAAGGAAGGGGAGGTGAGAAATTAGGGACGAACTTGCCAACTTTACTTTCAGAGCAGAACTTTCCTTGGGAGTTTAAAAAGCTAAGGTTGGACCAGCAGTGATAGGAGCTTCTCCTAACTTCTCTCCTCCTTAGAGAGGAGAGCAGGAAAGAGGAAAGGGCCAATTTCAATCCATGTTGACACCCCTCCCGTCTCGCCTGTTGGAATGGTCCGGGGTGGGGGTGGGGGTCTTCATGGCCAAAGCAGACTACTTCGCATCCAGCAGATAACTCCAGTACCTCTCTCTCTTTACTGTAGAATAGATGCAGGAGGGCAGATTTGGGTGTTAAAAGCACACATGCCTGCCTGCACACAGTGCATGTCTTAGGATCCCACTCTGAATCCGGTCCTTGTGCGTATTCTAGAGTAAAAGTGGAAGACAAAACTTAACTGCTAGACACATTTCTAAATGAATGCCTGTTTGGGCCTATAGGATTGTCTGTATGGAGCCTTTATGATGTGGGCTGGGGTGACATGTGACAACCAAACTACCAGAAGGGAATGAGGTGGCAGAATGGGTTGCAACGCTTGAGAGTGTATCAAGGAGGGCAACTCACTTTGCACCTCCCCATCCAAACAACAGCAGAAACAGAATGCAAAAGCACATCAGGCAGAAAGGTGCTGGCCCGGCCCATTTCTGTGCTCCTTTCTGTTCACAGTGCAAACAGACCCTCATCTGCCAGCTACTATCCAAATGCTGGAGTCCATCTCATTCTGCTGCCTGTGGAAACCCGGGGGCCCTGTCAGGGCTTTTCTTTGTCATAGAACGCACTGGAATGGCGTTCCTGCACCTTTTTTTCCAATGGATTTTACAGGTGATTTTGAATCACCAAAATCATTTGCTGTTAGCAGATCAGCAGCAAACATCATTAACATAGTGCCTGCGGGCTGCTTTTGTTTTCTGTGCTGATAGTGAGTGAGTGCTTACTGCCGGCGGGCGACCATTATGTTTATGTGTGTGTAGAGTGACTGGCTAAAGTGTGACCCCAAGATGTGAGTTCCAGTACCCTTTTTTTTTTTTTTACAAAAAAAGCACTGGGTCCTATAAACAGAGTCTGAAAGTCAAAGCAGACATGACTTTAAGTCTGTGTCTTTAAGCAGCTATGTCTTTTCCTCCCATGATTAGAGTAGCAGCAGCCTCCTCCTCCAGATCTCTAAATTGCCTCTGCCGCTGCCCCCATGGGCTTGTCCAGAATGAGTATACCGTATGCCGTAACTTTATACAATGCAGTCTGCTTGAATGGGGCTTCTCCATCTTTATCAAATTAAAGGTTTAGCTGTTGCTGACATAGTCAAGGGCTCTCCCTGCCCACAAACATGTTTTATCTGTTGCCTTTTGTATAAGCCAGGACTACAACTGTCAGAGTAGGCCAAACTGTGTAGAACTAGGTGAGCAATTTTAAAATGTGCTGTCATTAGCTTTGTACTTAAACCAGCTTTTCTGAGCAAAACCTGCCTGATTGTCACAGAAAAGAGAATTCTGGGTAGTGGAGACCTCTCAGCAGGAGAGAAAAGGTTAATTATGCATATATACATAAAAATTTGGACTGAATGGGCGAAGAAAGTTATGGGGGGGGTGTAAATTGCCTCAAATTTGCCTCACTTCTATAGTCCCATGATTATTGTAGATGGTGCCTCCAACCAGCAGATGGTGCAATATCATTACTTTATTACTAACCTTGCAAATTTCTAATAATATTATTATGGATTAATAATTTATTTATTATATTTTTATTTGATTTGTATAATAGCCACCTGTTAGCATCAGACTCTCTGGGCAGCCATTACAGTAAAAAAGTGTTGTCAGTAATTTGTACAATACAGATTTAGAGGCTGACAAGACGCAGGCATGAACTGCCATGTCGCTTCACTTTCCATTCTCTACCAGCGCAGCCTTTTCTTCTCTTGTAATCCTTTCAGGCTCCAAGAAAGACAAACAGAAGCAGCTGTTATTTAACTTTGATGTTGCTTTTATTGATTTTCAAGGCACCCCCTTGAAGGAAGATGGATGACAGTTCTATATATGGGCTATTTCTGGAGGCAGTGTGGAAGGGGAGGATTGGTTTCCCCCTCTAATCCATGGCTCTTCATCCCAGTGAAAGCCAATAGCATTGATGAAAGGCCCTGACCGTCCATGGATGGAGCGCAGGACCATGCCTGGGAACAGAGGCTCTGCCTCAAAGGTCGTCCCAGAACCAGAGCTGGGCCCAAAGGAAATGGCGCGGCCTAGGTTGGTGCGGAAGGCGAGGTACTCCACGTAGCTTCCAAAACGGCCCCGGGCCTGCACAAATCCCTCTCCGAGAAACAGCTGCTGGTCTGACGCTGTACCCACAGCACTCCCTTCCACGCTGGACCATGAGTCGCCATAGCGAACTTGGATGCTGTGTTGACAAGGGGAGGGGCAGTATGAGTTGAGGCTGCTGCCTCGGATGGACCAAGGCCCTGTGCCCTTGGTAGCTGCTTCTATGCAGAAATCAACAGAAGACACTCATGCCATAGGATGGCCACTAATGGATCACCCAGAAAGAGGATCTGGGATCCATAAGATCACAAAAGAAAGGGTGGTGATTTGCTTAATATTTGCCTATGCAAATACATCTGGCTATTTATTTTCTATTTGTATGTGTGTATATGCACATCTAGAAATAAGACAGTACATCTCACCATGATGTGGAAGACTGACTAGCTGACCTGTGTGCTGGCCTTCAGCTTGAAGCACAAGTGATAATTTTGAAATCACGATATGCAGATTTTATGCAGATCTTTGTCCCAAAGTCCTCCTCTGTCCTCTTTTTGGGTGATGTGTAAGTGGCCAGCCTATGTGCATGGATCCAGAAAAACAAAGACACAGCTCCAGGCTGCCGCGCATTCTTCAGAGAAGCCCACCGCTTCTGTATCTGCAGGTGGCACACACATTTCTTCTTCTTTTCCCCACCCTACACACACACGGAGCATAACTGCAAGTTTAAAAAGTCATTTTAGCTATCCCCAATGCACTGCTGTGATCAGTCCCTTCATACTTCCTCTCTTGCAAAAGTCCCCTTCAGCTGGCCCACACACATGGTGCCAGTGCAATAGATCTAGCGCCCAAGAAGATACATATACCTTAGGATGTACCGGTCATTTGCCCTTACTCTCAGGGCTGTTATGGGGCCGTCCAGCTGGTTACTTGACTGGTCAAAATGTTCCCCGCTGTTGCCACCATATTCTCCAGAGTAGAAGCTGAACCTAGGCTGGGCTGGATTCAAAAAGGGAATGAGCAAGCAGGTAATTAATTAAACAGGTGAATTAAGTATTCTATTATTTACTTTCCTGTGCCCCTTTTGAAGCTCTGGAGGACCTTCTAAGCTTTGCTACCTCTGGTGGTATTAAGTTACCTCTTTAACAGCTTTATATTTAAGACAGGTAGGGAATGTGTGGTGCTTCAGACAGTGTTGGACCACAATGTCCATCAGCCATAGTTCATAGACAGCTAGAACATCTTGGGAGCTGCAATCCACCAACATTTGGCGTGCCACATACTCTATGCCCCTGATGAAACCACAGCAACCATGGAAAGTGGTGATGGCAACCAATTTGGGTGTCTTTAAAAGGGGATGGACAGATTCATGGAGGAGAAGGCAGCTATCAGTGGCTACCAGCCTTGCTCTGCTACGCCTTCCCCCAGACCCAGCCTGTAAATGCAACTCTCTGTTCCCCCCCCCCCCACCCTTCTACCAGCCACCTCCAACAGCTAATAAAACATTCTGCAGGCTAATAACTTGCGTGGACTTATTTACAAGGTTGCTTCACAATAACCATACACTTGAGGTTGTTTTGAAGTCTCTTGTTCTATTGCAGTCGCACACACATGCACGTGTACACACACACAAACACAGCATCAGGTGCAGAACAGTGACAGCACTCTAGTCCCTCTGGTGTCTACGAGTCCTTTTTTACAGAGAACAGTTTGTTATTTGAGGGCCTGTCAGAAGATTGTCCTGAACTTGAAGAGCATCTTGTCCAATTCCACATTTAAGATAAAGAACCATTAGACCCTTTGCCCATCAAGAATTAACATGGGCACCTGCAAATATATGCAAATTTAAAGCAAACTGATGTCAGCTTTCTGTTCTCTTTTGGTGATATATTTCTCTCTCTCTCTTTTAAATGATTATAAGTGGCCACCCTACAGGTCAAAGGTGTGCTGAAATGTCTTGGAAGGAGCAGGCAAACTTTCTGGCCAATTCTAAAGAACTGAAAGGCTAAACACACATGCAGTTGCGATTAAGGGCATTGTTTCTGTAAAATTTTTGCTTATGTAGATAGAGTGTATAGATTCAATTTTTAATTCAAAAGTTTTCTTTTTTTAAAAAAGAGTATTTCTGATGCCAAAGGGTATCTTATCAGTGATAATGCAGTTTAAAGTATTATCATTCTTCATTCCAGTACAAAATAATATTCTAACTCATAATAAATATAGATTAAAGTGTTATCATTCAATTTCACCTCCAGGTCCCCTAGATCTCTCTCTCATTTGTGTTAATTTGTCCCTTTTGGCAATTTCCAGGACTTTGATTATCTGCTCTTTAATTGTTGGGATTAGAGAATTTTCTCAGTAAGCACAATCTTGGCAACTATGGAAAGATTAATGAAAAGGAGCTTAGAAGCAGAAGGATAATTTTCACCCAAGATGTTCTTATTTCAATTATTTAATCCGGACATGTAATTTAACGACATATTTATTTAAACCCTATCCTTTTACTGCCTTTCAGTGGGATTATGGTTGCCAGTTTATAGCCAGCCTCTGTAGCTGTCTTTTTACAAGCGGCTATACCATTCAGCCAGTTTCATCGTGATGCGTACAGCACTTCCATTTCAATTATTTCCAAAGTCATTATCAACATCTGTGAATTAGCATTTGAGGTTTTTTTCTTTTTCTGTTTTGCAATTCTGTGTTCCTCTTTTGCATTCTTTTTGAGATGTATTTCCTCTTTTTTTCATGATTCATAAGCTGCCTGTTTGCTTTAAGAAGTTTCAGTCTTTGTATGACTTCCTTTAGCTATCGAACAGAAGTAGTACAGCAAACAACCCAGGACAGATGTCCCCAAAAGCCACAGGCCGCGCTCCTAAATTTGACCTTGCCAGCACTTGCACACACTCACAGAACTGCTCCTTACTGCAAATTCTCACAACTGTTCTCTAATTCCCACTCCCCTGCTGTACGACAAACTTGGGCAATACCTGCCCCTTTCTGGCTCTTACCTGGATTACTGGATGCTCCCGCATAAAAGAAGGGCAGGAATGCAAACACCAGCATCTTGCAAGATGGAAATCGTCAGAATGCTGCAAAAGAGAAGAAAGTCACAGTTAACAGGGGCCTTTAAATTTCTTCTTTCTTTTTGAAGAAGTTTTATTATTTTCTACAAACTAAGACTAAAACATCAGTCATCAAAGACATTGGACATACTGGGTCAGCCCCTCACTTTTTTGTTAACAGTCCATAACCATATTCAAATCCTCGCATAGTCCCATTTCTCTAGCCTATAATAAAAAGAGTTCCAGGTTTGATAGAAATATGTATCCTCTTTCTCCTTCAAAGTCAGCCTGTCCATTTCTGCGCAATCCAAGATCTTTTTTATTATCAGTAGGTGGCTCTTCATTCCTCCAGTGTAGGGCAAATACAATCCTTGCCGCAGTAATTACATGTAGAATCAGATACGTTGCTTGTTTATCGAAATCATCAGAAATAATACCTAATAAAAAAAACTTCAGGTTTAAATATTAAAGATTTTTGTAACATTTCCTCAAGCCATTTATGTACTTTAACCTAGTATTTTTTGCCTTATCGCAAGTCCACCACATATGATAAAAAGTACCAGTTTATGTTTACATTTGCAACATGTAATGAGGGGGTGTGAGCCGCCCCGAGGCTTCAGCGAATGGGGCAGCATAGAAGTTCCCTAAATAAATAAATAAACAAACAAACAAACAAACAAACAAACATCCATTTGACATTTTTGGAAACATTTTTGCTAATCTATTTGGCGACAGATACCATCTATAAAAATTTTTATAAAGCTTTTCTTTATATGAGGTTGCTAAGGTTACCTTAATATTTCTTTCCCACAGCTTTTGCCATTTCTGTAACACAATTAAATTTCTTATTTAGGATGAAATCCTGTACTTGTTGACCTGGGATGAAGTCCCATTGAACCCAGTGGGAGTTATTTTTGAGTAGGCATTCAAAGAATTGCACTGTCAGGTAGTGAAGCCACTGGATTATCATTTCTTCATTCACGACTCAAAGAAGATAGTCACTGGATTAGAAGCGCTCAAAGGTAAGGGCAGAAAAGGGGTATAGGATTTGCTGGAATACATAAGTAAAATGCATGCAACTATAATCAAATCTGGATTTTGTGCCTTTGTGTAATTGGCAGAGGGAATGCATGGTTGGCTCCAAAAATGGCATATTCTTCAAGGTGATTTTTAAAAAATCACAAAGCATGCTGTTATTTTAAAACCAAACCTATTAACTGGGGATCAGAGGTACTTCCAGACAAGTCATTAATTCACTGGTTTTATGCAGGTTCCAGTTGGTGTCAAATTTCACTCATAAGCCTTCTGTTTCTACCCACCAAGCCTTCCAACTTTTTTCCCTTCAGTAAAAATAAGAAGGAATAGCTGCGCAACACAGTACTTCTGTCTGTTAGTACCATGACCCTTTTAATTAGAAGCAGCCATTGATTATTAGTGCAGTGTAATACAATATTGGGAATTTGGACAAAAGTCAAAATATTTTTTTTCAAAATGACTTAAGGCTAAGGAGAAACATCCTCCTAATTGTTGACTACCTTAACAATTCCTTTTTACAAACCTCATAAAAATTAGGCTTTTATAGCACAGTCTTACAATTTTTATATAGAAGTTACTTCTAGGAAAATAAACAGGACTGCACAGTCTCAACGTCTAATCTTATATATGCCTAAGAAAGAAGCTTCAATGAGTACAATGGAACTTATTCTACAGTAAGTACATATAGCATTGCAGCTGTATTCTCTTTTTTTGTAGCAGTCTTTTTTTTCCTTGCATTGCTGTGGAAAAGATTGTTTCATATCTTATTTAGTCATGAAAATGACAAAATCTTTCTTATCTTTGGTGGTAAAGGAGTGAGAGAGACAGGCGAGAGAAGGGGAATGTCTAGGCCTGCCCCATTTCTATCCCCCTGCCCAAGGCTAACTGAAATCGGCTATGCCGTAGGAAACAAGATTCTGTTTAGGTTGGACTACATTGCCCTTCAGGAAAAGAGCAGAGGGGAAGCAGGGCTATTTCTCCAGCCCTTCCAAAACTCTCAACTTAGTTTTTTCCCCTTTCCCTTCCCGTCTCTTTTCCTTTCTGTAACATCTTTTTTATACTGTAAACCTGCAATGAGGAACTGGCTTTTTAGCTGAGCGATGATAAACTGTTCCAAGATTCTTCTTGGTCAAGCAGCAGCAATATAAATAATATAAATAAGTTTCACACTGGTGAGTCTGCTTAGTTATAGCAATACTAGTTTCCCCCGCACAACTCTGCACCATTTACCTTGCTCTGGAGTGCTTGCAACCTTCACAGTCTGGTGTTCCAAATTATCCAAAAGCGTGCTTTGATTCTCAGGCACTCTGTAACAAAGGTGGCCTCATCTTTGTGAGTTGCTCCCATTGGTTGGGCAACAGATTGCCTTTTGGGGGGGGGGGTTCATTTTACCTGTTCTTGGCAATGGGGTATACTAACAGTCCTCTTATTGTGCTCTAAGATTTCTTGCTCCTATTCAACATTCAGCGAGAGAGGTAAGGGAGAGATCTAATTCCAGCAGATATTATTCGGATGAGCAAATGCTTCGATAATTGGTTTTTTCCCCTGTTCTTTCAAACCCTTGTGACAAATCAGAATTCAGGCAGCTCCCATGATTCACCACTGCCTGGGATTAAAAAAGGACTCTATTGATGTGAAGTATTAGACAGTAATGAGGGCAACATTTCTGCATACGGCAAGGACACACTAGAAGAGGGGAAAAGGCTGGCATTTGATACTCTCCGCAAGTGCAGCAAAATGTTGTATTGTGACATTATTCACTTCCCCTTCCCATTTGGTATTCTAGTTTCCTCGCAACACCCTATCCACATTGGGTAACTGGTCCTTACTGGGTTCTTCCAGGGCTCGCCTGCCCACCCTCACCCCACTGCTTAGTTTTGCTGCTTTTTGGACGTCTGCAAACCTCAGGGTCCTCCCCAGCCTGCCAATACCTCTCTTTCTTTGGCATCGGCAGAGCCCTTATGGCCACATCAGGACGTCCTCTCTCTGAACTCTGCAAACCGATGGAACGACTGGCACGTCTAGTTCTCTCATCAACCAGCATGTCAGAAAAAAACAAAAATCAGTGTGGCTGGCTCCTGTACTTTTCATGGCAGCTTGATTGACAGAACCCAGCTGATGGAGCTTTTCGGCTCATGTCTGCAGATCAAGTTATCATCTGCAGACATGAGCATCATCTGCTTATGTCTGCAGATCAAGTTATGTGTAAGTATTACAAAGGCGGGTTTAAAAATTGGCAACCCCTTTCTGGAGAGTCACAGAATGGCTTGGAAAACTGGCATTAGAGCACACTCCTACGCATAGGGAAGGCAATACCAGCAGTCTCTCGCTGCTTCATGTCTCTGTGTCAGGCATTATCCAGAGATCAGGCAAGGCAACCTTTCTCCTGATGCTGGCCAATCACCAATCAGCCTTAGCAGCATTGCCACATCACCTCTTCCTAATGGCCCTATTTTAAGAAAGAGTGCATAGTAGGGATAGGGAATTTTGGTCCAGAGGATGGCCCCCTCTGGCTCACTGGCCAATGGGAATTAAGGGGTTCCCCTCTTTGCTGCAAAGAAGTTCCACTGGGGCCAAGGGAGTGGCAGCGTTGTTCACGGGAGGAAGTACTGGGGAGGGGAGGGCTAACCCTCAGCTCTCCAGTGCTGAGACCCTCCCCTGAAAGGGTCTTGCTGCTCGCATTGTAATGGGCCTAAAAAAACCCCCAAACCTGTTAGCACCAGTGCAGGAAGGATGAGCTGCAAAGAAGTGCATGTTGTCCCTGACACGTTTGTCCACATCAGTTCGGCCTGCTCAGCTGGAAAAGGTTCCTTGCCCCGGTGAATAGGAGGGTAGCCTGGGCTGATTTTTCTGACACAGGAATAAGGTGAAGAAAACAGTTTAGTTGCTTTAAATTCTGAGGAAGGAAGGAAGGAAGGAAGGAAGGAAGGAAGGAAGGAAGGAAGGAAGGAGAGAGAGAGACAGAGAGATTTCCAGATCTGTATCCCATTCCATATCCAGTGAACAGTAAAAACTTTAAACAGATAAAATAATAAAAACAAAGCAGTATAAATAAGATAACGTTAAAAGCATGGCTGGCCAGCAAGCTTTGTTCTTGGAACAACAATACCTTCCGCAGGCACTGAAGACAATGCCGTGTTGAGGCGCCGTACTGAAAATTCTCCAGCTGGAACCCCCCGGAGGCTGTCTGCCAACGCTCCCAGTGACCGGGCAGCTTGGTAGAGAAGAAGGTGCCCCCTCAGGTATCCTGCTCTATCCTGTTTAGGACTTTGTATACCAAAACTTAGTATTGAAGAGCAGCCAGGGCAGCTCTTTGAGCAAGAGTTACAGTCTGAAAAGGAACAGCTCCTGGCATGTGTAGAGTTGATCGATACCCTCCATCATCCCCAGCCAGCATGGCCATTGGCTGCAGGTGTTGTGAATTGTAATCTCACGCATCTCAAAGGCACTGGGTGGGGATAGCCAATGTAAGTCTCTCCTTTCTCCTCTCTCAAATGCTGGTGGGCACAGGAAGCGATTCTCCCCCTCGTGGGGTTCTTGCTAAACGGGGCAGGGTGGTCAAGAACGAAGCACGGGAGGAGGCAGCACGTTCGACTTTGCTCACAGCTGTGACACGAATGGGGCAAACACGAGCCAGCCTAGGAGGCTTCTCAGTTTTCCAGCAAAAGCTTTTATTTCAGGGCCTTGGGAACTCCCTGCCACTATAACTCATGGTTGCACTAACAGATCCTTTGTCGCTGCCACCAGTTCTCTTAGAATATTTTAAAACCACCCAGCAGTCTTTTATAAGAAGCTCAGGAAAGCAATCCTGTAAACAGTGAAAACAAAAACAATCCCACAATAAGGCTGGGGAATATGGGTGTTGCAGGATCTCTCTCTCTCTCTCTCTCTCTCTCTCTCTCTCTCTCTCTCTCTCTTTCTTTCTTTCTTTCTTTCTTTCTTTCTTTTTGTCCAAGCATGCATAGG